ACAGTTGCTTCTTGTAATTTGGCCACTGCCTCCTTTTAAAGAGTGTCTGCCCCTTAATGGATCTTGAGCTACAGGAGCTGGTTAGCCTTTTAATTTATAAAATGCTATAAAAAGTGAACTGTTAGTTGCAGAGCAATTACATTGACTTGTTCATAGCTTTTTGCAACGAGGAGCTATGGCTCTGCCTTCAATCTGCAAATAACCAATTAGTTCTTGGGACACAGAAGAGTACAATTTTGAAACCTCACAGAATGTGGAGGTGTGTGTTGTGTTTCAATCTTTCAATTCTAATATTTCACACAATAAGAAGAGAAACACTTAGTGAGAGACAGTGAAGAGGATGAAGAAACATGTGATGGAAATTTCCTTTTGGCACCTTCATCCCTGTGAACGTCAGTGTTCTTGGAAGATATGAAAATGGTTTTGCATTGTTGGTTTTAATTTAGAAGAAGCTGGATTGTGAAGTTGAACTGACAGCTTTTACAGTATGGCTCGCTGACCTTCTGACATGAATTCAATGCACACAATGGGTCCAGTTGACTTTTTCATGTCTCAACACTCAAAAATATGACTTCTTACTGTGACTCTTATTTGCAATGCTATCCATCCGTTATCAATTAATAATATCCATCCTTCAATTTTTGAGCCATGTCTGTTACATTGAAGACTCAGATGTACTTTTAATTGTAACACTCAGTTAAAACCAATGCAGTCATGTTTGAATTGTGAATGGAGAGATCATGTAATGTTTATTAATGTTTAGTCTACCTTCATTGACATGAATGGGTTAGCACACATGATGTTTTGAGTTATTTTCAGCTAGGTGCACCTAATCAACTGGCAACTTTGTGATTACACTCCATGAGACATAAAATATGTCTTATTTTTTTTATTTATCCCTCAAACATAATGCGTGTGTAAGCATTAAATATATTCCTGCACAATTTTGCATGTCTGCATTTTTGTAAAGTTCCAGAAGCTACAGTAAATCCTGATCCATCCAGTCTTGTTTCATCGGTGTCTGCAATGTCTGTGGATCATCGCAGCAAAACTGTCAAAGGGGATAACTGTCTGAACAAAATGAGCTTACGGTTTTACGCTCCAGGACCACATAAAATGCACCAGAGAACCCATCTATTTGTCCTTTGTGCTACTACACACTGACTCATCATCTGCCCCACATTTTACCCTTTTCCTTACTGCCACTCCACCTATCTGGTCCCACGGGACTAGAAAACACGAAACACTTACACTGAATCTGTTTAAGGACTTATCTAATGGAGCCTATTTCATTTGACCTTCATTTAACCCTTTTACTTGACTTTCGACACTATAATGCCTTTATCAGTCACTGTGTTTCTGTTATCATTTTCTATTCTGGTTTAAACTGCTTTTTTAAGCCTCTTGCAATTTTTTTTTAGGATTTTTCCTGGTTTAGTCAGATAGCTCTGGCTGAAGGCTCTTTCAGACATTGAATGTGATTATGGGATGTACAAATACAATTCACTTGACTTGAATAATAATTTTTATCATGCTTCCTCTGCAAATGAATAGCCTGTTTGTTAGACTAAATGAAAACCAAGCGTACTTATTTCCTCGTCCAATTAAAACAAAATCTTTTCCACAAAATTAGTACAAGATCATTTCAGTCAGTAGTTTGTATGGAAATAAAATGAGCAGAATTTTGATGCCTGGTAAAAATTTAAATTTTGCTGACAAAATTAAACACATTTGGTTCATTTGAATATAAACCTTTTAAAAGAGCTGAATAACTTTCATGCTGGGAATCAATTATATAGCGCTGTGTTTTGTATTTCTGTTCGTCGACTAAAATAGTATAATGAGACAGCATAGACAGTGCAATCTGCAGTGATTTCCTTTTATGTGTTTTCAACCTCGCACTGGCCTTCCAATGGGCTGAGCGATCAGAATGAAACTCCTTTTTAATACCATTCTTTGAAGAAACATTTTTGTATTCATATTTGGGTCATATTCATATTTTTGTAAGAGTATCAACTAGTGAAAATGGTAATTTCTACGATGCATAGCGATGCAGACGTGGATGATTCTGCATCGATGCAGGGGCAGCACATAATCGATGCTGACCATGGTTGGAAATTTTGTGCAGCTTTGAGCTAAGCTTTTGTTTAACCTTTCAGCCACAATGGTGGGTAACCAAAAGGCTTAAAAAAAACAAAACGTAAATTGAATCCCAGTCCTGTGCTTGTTTTCCGCTCTGACTTCATGAGCAGAGCCAGGTGGTCCTACTGTACATGTGCACTGACCACAGGGCTCCACCGCCTCCTCGTGTCAGCGTTTACGGTGAGAGGCACGGTGTCTCTTTAGCCGACCACAGCATAGATTAGCATCACTATTACAGTAGGTCTACCTGCTGAAGGTGTGTTCAAACTGATGTCTCGCTGTCTTAAGTCAAAGATGATAAGAAGAGGCGGGCTGTGGTTCTGACTCATGGTTTAAGGAATTCAAATACTCCTTAAACCGAAGTTCGAATACTGTAACTCCTAACAGCAACAACGTACATCACTGCTAAGTGTAGCTCCACTAAAGCTGCGTACTATTTATGTATTTATATTGGCTTACAATGTATGTTGACATTGGTGTCTAAAGCACTTATCTGACTGCTTGTGTTCATTTTTGAAAAAGTAGCCTTGTGATATTGAATCATTGACAGGCCAATCGAATTGTGAGACCAGTGAATATGTCAAGCCCTAGAATCAACTCAGCCATTTGTTGAATTTCCAGATCTAATAATTGGCTAATGTACTTTAAGTAATAGCTGTGCTCAATTAGCTTCTTGCAACTTAAGAGGTCATATTATTCTCTTTTTGGGATTCGTATATTTAATCTATGTACCTACTAAAGTATGTTCACAATAGCTAAAGTTCGAAAAAAGTGTATGTTTTCATGAACTGCCTCTCTATGCACCGGCTCGCTTCTGACTCTCTCTCTAAGGCTCTGAAGTGCCCACGTTCAGAGTCCCCACGTGTGCCAAGTCTGATCTGATTGGTCGGCCTGTCGGCTCTGCCGTAATTGGTCAGTCGATCAGCACGGTTCTCGGAAATGTCACGCCCCTTTTACCATATTGGGAATGCAGCCACTTTGGCTCCGAGTGGAGCAAAAACATTAGCACCTTAGCACTACGGTGCTACCGCAGGCTGCAACATATTGTGGGCGTGCTACAGAAGTTAACGGGCCTGCAACATGAGCTTCTGGGTTTGCCACAACGAGCCAATGGGCTTAGATCAGTGATATCACACTGACAAGACGTCACACTGGCAATTTTTTTTCGAGGGGGGCTAGAACTGAGCGTTACATGAAGCTAATGCTGCAGCTAACAGGAGGATGTAGGAGAAGCTGCGTTTCCGCGGACTTTGAATTTTTGCACACAGATGTGCCTAAACTTGCACAGGACACTTGGAAAACACACTAAAGGGCATATAAAACAGAAAAAACACAATATGACCCCTTTAAGTTTGAATACAAACAAGTGGTTCTAATTGCTTCGTTGAATAAGGACGATGTTTTCAAGGTTTAAGCACATTTAATCACAAATTGTGAGATAGAACACGATGATGATAAGTTAATGGTAATGCATTTTTATTATCAGGATAATACCCTCTAATGATTAACTTTGGATGTCAATGGGAAAAGAGCTGCTTCAGATGATTGGATAGGTTAGTCAAGAATGATCCATTATCTGGTTTACTGTTAATCTCTGGCATTTGGACCATTTGCCCAAAGTGATTCAGTCAAACACATTGTCCAGTCAATTTGGTCAATCACTGTAATGTTTAACATTTTTTAATTTGATTTTTATTAATGAACAACCCCATGTAGGCAGTTACATTGGTTCATCAACTTTGGCTATTATGTACTTGAATTAATCAACAAATTTCAACTAAACGAATGCCAAAGGGAATTTAAGAAAGGAGGTTTGGCTCATGTTTATTAACATTTTCCTTTATTATGATTATTATTATTCACATGAGGGAATGTCACTTCTAAGGAAACTGATTTGGCAAAATAAATACATTTTTATCTGTTCACTTCATGTGCAGGGAGGACAGAAAATCTTTCTTCCTATTCTCTTCCACGCTGTCTTCACTAGATATCATCTTCTCTCACCGTGTCCCTTCACAGCTATGTGCCAACTCTTTCCCAGAACTCACACTGACGGTAGTACACACATTCACGCAATGTACCTCATGCATAATATAGCGTTGGATTTGGGGCCTTTTTAGTCACACTTCTTAGTCAACCACAGGGACCCTTGACTGTCCCCATGGGAGACTCCGTAGGAAACAAGTGAAGCTTTGTTCTAATTAAGCACTGAAACGTTAAAGGCTATACTTTTGTCTGCTAAAAAAAACAAATCTCTGTCTTTTTCATTATGTTTTTGATCAAATGCACCGACAGCCAGGGCATTTAGTTCTCTATACACACAGCATGATTTCATAACATATCTATGAGGAAACTTTATCATAGTTTATTTAGGGTACGTTGGCAGTCCGGCTTTGGTTCTTACTAACTGCTGAATGTTAATGTGAATAGTCCCAGAGCTGGCTGGGTGTTATTTCTCTTAAAGTGCAGGATGACTGCAGGCTAAAGAGGAAAGAGAAATGTCAATTTTTCTGTCTAGTTCATGGCTGCCAAATGGCATTGTCCATTTTTATGGGCATGATCATTGATTTCTACAGATTTCTTGCCTTGTCATTTTCAGAAATAATGTTTCTATAAAGATGTGGATAGAACTCTTACAGGGAATACCTGCTATAATATGAGCCACAGGCTAAAAATAAAGTTCCTGTTCCTGTTGCTGCTGCTGCTGTTGGATTTGTGTTTTAAAAGTTTGGCTTAGCATGTCTAGTTTTTTTTGCTGAAATAGTTTTAAATGTATTCATAATTTAAACAGTGCTTCATTCTAGTATGCTTCTGATCATTTTCTGATTTGGACTGTATATGTTCTTTGTCTGTTGTAGTTTCCCTGGAGGTGCAGATCACACCCAGTCAGGGTGAAATTAGCCTTGGAGAATCCAAATTCTTCATGTGTGAAGGTAAGTTGACCAACATGCTGTTTTTCAGATTTTGACTCACATTTATTATTGTTTACATTATTTTGTATTTTTTAGATAACATAATAGATAAAGTAATTCAAAAGAAGGGGAAGAAATGTTACTTTTACAAAAATCTAATCTTAACAAAATGAATTCTTCCCAAGACGTATTATGATAGCCTAATGCATAGATACTGTCATGCATAAGTGGTTCTCAGTCAAAGTACAGCAATTAAAGCAATATGTAATTCTAAAACATAATTGCTACTATAGAAATAACTTTACATGGCCAACCATGGGGGATTATATTGCAAAATCAAAGTCATTTCAAAGTACTATTTAAACAAACTCAAACCAATACTCACCTGTGGTTCCCACTGAATGATGTTAATATTAACTTTTATTAGTTTGTGTAACAAACAACTTTAGTATGCTCATCTAACTTTCATTCCCTAGATATTCTGTCATGCAAATACACAAATACACACACACAAACACACATAACTGCACTTCTCTTACACACAGAATCAGAATCTTTGTTCGTATTTTGTAGCCCTATTTTGTTTGTGTCCTTGCTCTTTGACATTAATCATTAGCAGAACTTTAAAGAGGCTCAAATCGGATTACTTGCATTTTGAAATGTTTCACTCGATATCCCGTTTATCACATCAGGTGATCCGCGTAGGAGGAGGCTTATTGATGATTACACGTATCACAACAAACATCCTAAACTAAGACTGCATGACAGCATCAGCAGCATAACAATATTGAAAAGATGGCATGAGAAGCTTCAGATTTGACATGAGTATTGCATCTCAGTTGATGCCTTTACAGGAGGGACATACGGACCTCTCTCTCTATTGCTGTCTCTCTCTCTCTGTCTCTTTCTGACTCTCTCACTCTCTGCGTGGCAATTTATCAATGAATAAAAAAACAGTCAGAAATATACCTAGGTGAGCAGCGTTATGTGTGGGAACCACTGCTCACAAATGAAGAATTGCTCTTAGTCATTACATCCAATAGCGATGAAAAGTAATGATTTCAGCAACAAGCTATCATAAGCATGATCAAAATAGCAGAAGTCACTCTTCCTATAAAGCAGTAGAGTTCACTCACCAATCAGAGGAAGGAGAACCAGAAATCACATGATAAGATCCATTCCTGAATGTACCACCCAGAGGGCCCTGTCATTGAGGGAAGTGTGATGACAATAGTGTGAAGTATCAAATTACTTTCTCAAGCTAAATATATGCAAAGTTGACACCCTAGAGCTATTACAGTGCACACAATTCACCTGCCAGGTTTAGGATCTGTGTGAGGTGATGTTTTTTTCTACATCAATTTACGTTAAACATCATGGTTATCTTTCCTAACAGTGGCACCGTTTCCACATCTGTGCGAGATAAAAAATTTAGTAAAGACAATATTTTGTCATTTTACTTTTGTGACATTTAGTTTTACTGAAATGACTAAAATGCAAAGATGGAAGTCCACACGGGTACATCAATGACTAAATTCATTTGTTAAAATCATTGTTCTTAATTATGATTATGATGTTAATCATTTTCATAAAAGTTAACTTTACCTCTTCTCTCAGTTCTAGGTGTTACCAAGCAAATAGACTGGTTTGGACCAAGTGGAGACAGGATAGAACCGAATCGACCAGACGTAACAGTAACCCGTAATGATGAGTCATCCTCCACTCTCACGTTGTATAAAGCTGGCACTGACAATGCGGGGACATACAAGTGTGTCGCTACCAATGGAGACCAGCAAGCGGAGGCAACTGTCAAAGTGAAAATCTTTCGTAAGTATTTTCTTCACCCCAAACACTCCACATTATTGAGTGCTACGAGCAGAGAAGAAGAAAAAAATTCCTGTGTATTGAACTCACAGTATTTTATTGACTGCTCAAGGGCAACACATTACTCTTTTTCTTTTCAAGTGAGCATGGATTTTTCATCAGTTCAATAAACGGTCGGAAGACCATTAGAGGGCTGCTTAATGATCCTGTCTGTTGTGCAGTTCTTGTGAGTAATGGCTTTTATTTTCCATGAATGCCAAGCATCAGCAATTGTCCATCAGACATGAAATCCTTTCCAAACACAAATTTCTTGTTAATTCAGCACCTGTTTTGGGTTAATATTAGAGCTGGTCACCCATGTAAATCGTAAAATGGAAAAACAACATTGCAGTTTCATTTGTTGCTTTGAAGTTTCTGAAGATAAGCATTTGTCCTGGCTCAGTAAATGTTAAGAACTTAATGAAGCTTTCAAACATTACTCAGAGAAGTTAAGACACATCACAACTTCTGCCATTTACAGAAACTCTAAGTATGGCAGATTACAGATAAACAATGCAACGTCACCTGCATTCAAAAGCAGCTGTATTTTAATCACTTGTTCCCCTTGGGTTCAACAAGGCTTAAAAGTTCCTTTCCGTGTGTGTGTGTGCGCGTGTGCGTGTGTTACATCTAACAAATGTAAGAGCTTTGAACAAGACATGAGCTGCACAGTATGTCTTCATACGTAAAGCTCTGTAGTGTTAAAGCGACCTTGTGTCGAAAAAGCTGAATGCTACTCTATAAATTTGGTCCTGAGTCTAGTCTCTTGTAACCAAACTGCTCGGATGAGAAACAATTGTAAATAAGAACTGGTTTGGTTCCGGTTTCCTAAAAACTTACAATGACATAGACCTTACTTAAAGTGATAGCTGATGGTTTGGTAAGAAAATCCTCAACAACCACTACAAAACAGCTGGTAGTTCAGGATTGGATGTTTTCAATATAGAAAAGTACGGTTATTGGGAAAATTGGGAAACAGTGTTTAATTTTCAATTTTTTAGTATTTTAAAACAAATGCTTAATCAATGTCTATATTGGCAGCAGTGTTTAATCCAGATGTGTTCCTTCAAACGATCAAGGTGAGGAGCTGGAGTTTAGATGAGACTCTTGCTTTTCTCCTGATGAGTAAAAAGTGATTTACTTTTTTTATTCCAGAAAAAATCACCTTCACGAATGCACCTTCACCCCAAGAGTTCACCGAAGGAGACAATGCCAACATTGTTTGTGATGTCACCAGTTCGCCTCCACCAACTGTCCTCTGGAAATACAAGGGAGCGAAAATACAGATGGAAAAAGATGGTGAGCGTTCCCTGAACAGTATGGGGATCAAATTTATATCTCACTTGATTTGATTGTAAGCTCTTGTCATCTGTTTTAACACAGCACATTCCTATTATTCACGAGTTGTCTTGACAACACGTTACCCGATGAATATAGATTATTTAAACAATGTTTATTATTCCGTTTGCATTATCAAGTTTGCATTATGGTTTGCATTAAATCCATGTGAGTCCCTCTCATGAGAAAGAATCCAAATAATCCAGAAGCTGTCATCACTTAATGTCTAGTTCATGTTTTATTCCTTTCACATTTTTAAAGATGTACTTCTGAGTGTAGAAATCAGACATGTATGAACTGTGATTAGTTATACACTTTGATGAATAAACCCTCATAATAGTCACCATAAATCATTCTCTTAAACAAATTATAGCCAAATAAGAAACCAAAACTGTGACCAATTAATTGTTACTGGGTTGCAAAAGGACCTCTACACTGCAATATAACACTCCTAAAATAAGCTGAACCGCTCAGATTGACCAGTGAGAGACTTGGAACTGCTCATCCTCAGCTTTTGTCGCCGTCTTCCTCCAGGGTGTATCCTGTGCTTTGGAAGGAAAAATTAATTTGGTTTTGAATTTGAAAATACAATTGAATCTGTGCTCTTCACCCCCCGACACTGAGCAATATCACATTGTGTATGGTTTTGCTGGTATTGCTCAGTGGGAAAATAATAACACAGGCTCGTGCGTGGGTTGTAATAGTCTTTAAAATTACTACATGATTAAATTTATTCTGTTCACATTTCATCTCAGACTGAGGGGGTTCTTGTGGGCTTTGGCCATGTTTCTCTTTTTTCAGGAGCTAGTGAAGGGAGTATTGGGGCATGTTCAGAGATATGAATTTGACAGAGTGGAAATGCATTTAATCTGGGTCCTAAAAATAAAAAGAGATTCTTCTTATGTTCAGTATGGTTTCCCCCTACACAGAAACAAATATTACATATTACTATGACTAGTGGAGGTTGACCAAAATGCATAAATTCCACCATAAAGTTTCTTGTAGTAATATGGAGATATATATTGACTTAACTCAACTTTAAAGTTAAAATGTGGTAAGTTGTGAGCCAGATACATCGAAGGAAGTCTTTGCCATGGTTGAAAAATTTGGACAACAGTTTTCTTTACATATGGAGTTTCATCTGATCAGTACGAATCCTTCTTGATATCGCTGCAGCTGTTTATCATCAAATACTTCCAGTGAGTGACTTCTGCCTCATTTAAACTAGAATACATATCACACCTGACAGTTTTTTTGTCTTCTTCTTCCTTTTAGTTCGCTTCAAAGTACTGAGCAACAATCACCTTCAGATCCGTGGCATAAAGAAGACAGATGAGGGCTCGTATACCTGCGAGGGTCGCCTCATGGCCCGCGGCGAGATTGATCTGCGGGTCATCAAGGTCGTCGTGAATGGTTAGCAGCCCTTCATCCCTCCCACTGTTTCCTCTTCCTTTTTGTTCCTGAGTGCATGTTCTTCTATGGCAGGTGTCCCATGACGCTTAAATATGCTGTGGATCCTTAGAGGGGACCTGGCTCAGCACCAGAGTGGAAACTGTTGCCCAGAGCAACCGCGTATCAAAGATGTTCCATGCTAATGAAGTCTGTTTCCTACAACTTCTGAGCCTACCAAATGAGTGTGCCTAAAATAAGTGTTCTGAATTTGTCACTGCCTCTGCCTGTTTTCCCTCCCACTATCTATTTATGTGGCTATGTATGATCTCTATCTACGAATGTATTCCTCTATTTATTGAATTATTCCTCTCTCATGTCTCAGTGCTTCCTACAATCAGGGTATGGCAGTCAGAGGTGAATGCCACAGCAGAGGTCGGCCAGCCTGCCATGTTAACCTGTGCTGTTGATGGCTATCCTGAACCCATGGTGACTTGGACAAGGTAAAACTCTGCTAGCAACTGCAGGGACAAATGCTTTTCACATTTCGAGCTGTACTTGTCAATTGTACATCATCCTAATAATTAAAAAATCCTAGTAGGGAATATTTTTAAAGTGGAAAACCCAAACAGATTAACTAAACATTTTAAGTAAAGTCTGTAGTAGTAGCGTTATTGGGGCTCCAATCAAACTGCTAATATGCCAAACACATGTATTACGCCTCGTTTCGGCAGGGCTCATCTGGACCACAGTCTGGCTGCATTGGAGATGCAAGGGAATGCTAGATGGTGGTAGCACAGAATGTTATATATAGTTCTAATGGTTTTGAAACGCAGTCACCACACAAGTAAAAACTGGCAGCAACAGACTAAAGAGAGATGGCTAATAAGAAATAATGGCTTGTACTTGTAAAATAAAATATTTAAAATGTTGAATGAGGAAATATTTCTCCTTCATTGTTTATTCCCCATAGGTAGTATTTAAAGTAGTTTTTGAATTGCCTCATTGCAAAGAATGAATTCTTCCTGCATAAGATGTCAGAGTCAAGCTTGACATTCATTATAGCTTATTAAACTTGTGTGTACTATGTTGTTGTTTTTTCTGTAATTCAGCAGGACTGAGTCAAGTGAGATTAAACTCCCTGCTGGTAAAAGTAACAATTACAGCCAGCTTTGCAATATTTACACCTCTTGTATAACCTTCTTTAAGTTGTTTTAAAAACAAGTAAATATGACTTAACATTGCCAATGAAATTCATGCTTTAGAATAAAGGGGTCAAGAGGAATGTTAACACACGTTTTGAAATATGGACACAGTCTCTTTGGTATTGGCCACATGCACCTGTTTACTGCCCGACACTCGAAGATATTATTGATACTCTACAAACTGGTTTATTCATTGCAACAGGATACTTAATCACAGGGTATCAAAAGGTGCATGTAAACAGTGAAACCTGAAGACTCGAGTGTCATCAATAGATGCTTTATACTGCGCAGCTGAATACAGCCATTGATAGGCGCTGTCTTTGTTAAACTGTTCCTGTTCATCTGGTTTCCAAGACAGCAGTTAGCTGAGTAGAGCCTACATTGGGGGGGGGGGGGGGGGTGCAGCAGCAGCCCAGGAGCTACTGTTTCCCTTATTTTCAGATGCACTTCGTATGTTTTTTTTGTTTTTACTTCTTGTGAGGACAGAGCTGTTGAAAGCTGTTTTAAAACTCAAAAGCAGTAATATTGGATGGTCAGAGGCCGAGGAAAATTGCTTTCGATGTCTGGCTCTGGTGACAAAAAAAAAAATTCAATCGTAGAAAATGGAAATTCATGAGCTATTATCATTTTGATTCGATAATGGCTGAAAAGTCTTTGAGGAGAAAAAACCCCTCAATTTTCTGACACATTTTCTTCTCAGAGATTATCATCCATCAGCTCTATTTGTCATTACTGCACTTCTCCTTTATCACTTGATCTTGTTCAATTTGTCGGTCATGAATCTAGAAACTACTGCTTATTTTCCATAGACCGAGGGACCACTCTTAGGGAACAGTTGTGTTTTAAAGAGAAGCTTTCAAAACAATGAAGACTGAAAATATGTTTACACTTGATTGGATTGAAAGACATTATGTTCAACAGTCATGCTTCCCACAGGAGTGAAGGAGTTCTCGAGGCAGGAGAAAAGTACAGCTTTAATGAAGATGGCTCAGAAATGACAATAATGGATGTCGCCAAGTTGGATGAAGGAGAGTATACCTGCATCGCCAAGAACAAGGCTGGGGAAAGTGAGCAGGAGCTCAGTCTCAGAGTGTTCGGTATGGGAAAACATTTTATATACATACTGTACATGAAACACAGTGACAATATACATTATTTCAAGTGTGTGGGAATATATATATACGATTATGTGGGTGCTAGAAGAACAATATAATGGTTATGTGTTTTCTAACGGATACAAGACTAGGTGTTGTTTCAGTGGGTGGTTGTTTCATGTAAGGCTGAAGCCTAAGGATTTAGAGAAAAGGACAAGTGGGATGAGCTTAGCTCAGATACTCCATGTGTTTTCTTTGAGTTTGTTTTGCTTTGGCCCATGAGGATGTTTTTTCTTTGTTTTGTCACTGAATGATTTCCATAATTTCAGTCTCGACCACAATATTGGTTTGTGTAGTCAAGTCAATTAAATGTACAATGTTTGTGCTGGTGCAGGTCATTCATTCTGAAAAAAACAACGGTAGCAGGGTCTAGCTTTTAAGAGCTCAATGGGTAGACAATTTCCATTAAATTACTCAAGGCAGCCTTCAAGGCACACTGTTTACTTCTTTATCAGTTTTAACCAAATTGTCTCAAAGATTTTCATGCACTCAAACATCTGGTCTCCTAACCATGTGCTTACTTGTAAGCAATTATTTGTAATAGAAAAGCTTTATAATTTAAAAGCGTTGTTTTTTTTGGGGGGGGGGGGGGGGCCTTTTTTCCTTTATTGGATAGAAAGCTGAAGAGAAACAGGAAATGTTGGGAGGAGAGAGTGGGGTATGACATATGAACTCACAGCCACTACAACGACGACTGTAGCCTCTGTACATGGAGCACACGACGTAACCGCTAGGCTATCGCCCCTCCCTCAATTGAAAGTGTTTTGACAATCGTATTTTTCTTAATCTCCCTGATTTGACTAAAGGTTGCTTCTTGCATATTCTTGCACCATTAGCCTAAATTCTCCTGAATACAAGGTTTCCATTTTTCTCCAACAGTTGATGATAATGCTTAAATGAGCAATAAGTAAAGGTAATAGGGTTGTAAAGATACACTCATGAGCTGAGACAATACACGATGTTGGGTTCACAAGAACAAGGTGAATTATTATTTTCAGTAAACATTGAAGACCAAATATATGACAGAAGAAAATAGTCTTTTATTTTAAGAGCTGCCACATAAAGGGTTTAAAAGCAGCAAAGCATTTTCTTTGGTAGTTTCCAGTTCAGCATCAGACTGTCATTATTTCTGCTACTCTTAGTATTTGTACTCATATCGAGAGACAGTTTTCACCTTTTTGAGAAATATCATCACGTATATCGCGAGATCTTGTCACACCCCTAAAAGGTGAAGCATTTGAACTCTTTATTTATTCATGGAAGGCTGAATGTTTTTGACTACACCTGAGCCAGTGAATTTAATCTTACTCCGAAGGCATATGTTGTTTGATTTTTCCCCTCTTCACTTGCGGTAGTCGAAAAAGACTTTCTGTTTTTTAACAAAGTCAGTAGTTTAGCAGCCAGGTGCGATGTCCTTTTATTATGAAGTGGATTATTGTTATTTATGCATCAAGAACAATTTAGTTTTCTAATTTGAAAATGAAGTAAGAGTCCGACACAAACAACAGCATTCAACATTTATCCCTTATTTGTCCACATTTGTCTTACTTTTTTATTTATCTGAATTTTATTCACCAAGCAAACTATGCAGAGTATGTTATAGAAAAAAAAAAAAAAAAAGCTCCAAGGCCCTCTCTCTTAAACAGTCACATTTCTTTAAGGCCTTTAAGGCTTTGAATTGTTTAAATAAGACATAAATATGACTGCTTACCTCCCTATCCAAAGAGCCCCTCACACCTACACTTTTTTGAGTCCAGGAAGCGATCGTTGCTATATGACTTTATTATGCGAGAAAACGAATGAAAGGTCCAGCGTGTATTTTTCTATGATCTCTCAGCGAACGAATAAAGTTTATTCCTTTATCTGAATTCTTTTGAATTGCCCCCCGGAAACAAATAAAGTTTTTTGAATTGAATTGAATTGTGACAATAAGATCCTCTGATAGTGTGAATAAAATCACACTATGTGATGGTAGTAGGCGTTTTTATGCTATGCTGTGACAAGAGTTATGTTTCAGAGAGGGAGCATGATTTTTTTCTCAAATTTCCTCCAGGAAGAGTCTATGCCACACGTCTTTATCTTCAACTCTCCCACGCTCCCCTGGGAGGCGGCTAATTTCCTGACGGTTAAAGTGCCGTGCAGAGCAATAAGTTAAATTACTGAGAAGCACCGTGAAAATTTAATTCCCCAGCTCCTCTGTAACGTAAACTCTGTCTGAACGAGGTTTTAGGTTATCATTCATCAAGATTTTAATGCACCTTCATCAGAATTGTGAGGGTGATATCTAAACAGTTTGATTAAAATTACAGCTAATAACCTCGCATCTGCCATTTGATGTACATTTAAATGCTGCAGATTCTGATTGGTACGCTATTATGTTACGCTAGATTTTCTCCAGCTGCATCTCACCCACTTCAAACCAGTGTGAGGAGCAGTATCTTTTTAAAGAAACGTGTTAGTGCGTAGCTGTAGCCGGAGAAAGTTTTAGGCAGTATTTCTTTCTCTACTGCGTGATCGAAAAACTGAAGTTTAAAGAATCGGTTCAGCAGCAGAAGCTTTTCAAAGGTGTCAGCCACTTGGAAATACTCAAAGCGGCTCTGCTCACTTCAGCTGCTGACACACATCACCAGCTTACCTGTGTTCATTTGTTCATGCTGGCCCTGGTCCTATCAATCAAATCCTGTAACACAGAGAAGTGCTGCCACATTTTAATGATTACAAAATAGATCCACCTTAACATAGCTAATAGCTTCTGTGAAAAAAAAAGATCAGCTCTGATTCAAATCTAGCTGATCAGTGATCAGTTTGTGACACCCCTGGCCGTGAATACAAATTATCAAATGTTTAAAAACGTGTAATTTACACCTACCTAAATGACACAGCAGCTGTTCCTTTATATATTTTTTAAATTATTGGTTCAGATTAAAGAATTTTAATACAAAGTTGTCATTGTTTTCATTGGACATCACTTCAGAACTTCAAAAATGATCAATCATTATCATGATCATACACAGTTTTGAAATAGCTTGTATTAAGCAAATATATTGCTTCCATCCAAGTATTCACTCTTCATGGATTGTATGAAAAACATCAGAGTGCAGAGTGTTGCTCCACTCTTGCCTCAGCACCTAGATTAACTTTCCTCAGCTGGTGTCACACTTTGGCTCCACTTTGTGCTTTCAGGTTAGTTAAGGAGTGCTGTAATGTGACAGCTTCCTTGACTATAAACAAAAGTGAAGACCGGCTTCTTTGAGATAGGCTACATAAATAATTACATAAATAACATTTTGTGCCACACATGGTTATCACAACTTTGCTGCTGCTGGGACTGGAAAAGCTTAAATACAATTTTTGCTGCCGTAAAAAAAATCCCACTCAACTGTCAAGCTACTGATCCTCATCCCTATTCCTTTGAGCTCATCCTAAATCTGCAGAGTTGCTCTCGTACTTATTGTTCTTGTACTGCCAAGCCACCTGGCCTGTCATGTTGTGTTAGTGCGGTTCTGATGACGATGTGTGTTTGTGTCTACAGTCAAACCTAAGATCACATACATCGTAAACCAGAGCACTTCAGAGATGGAGGAGCAGGTAACTCTGACTTGTGAGGCATCAGGAGATCCAACTCCCACCATTAACTGGAGCTACAGGGATCAGGTCTTCACTGAAGGAGATCAGGTAAACAATAAAGCCTGTATGGGTGACTGTGGATCCCAAATATCTACAACCTGAGTTTTTGTGAGCAGGTGCCCTGGTAATAAATCACAACTATTGAAAAGTGCCCCTGTTGTATACTATACATAAATCCAAACATTTAAGTACCTTGTACACACTGGACATAAAAGAGAGAGAAACGCCCAATGATTATCCCTGGTGGCAGCATATAAACAATTAATATAGAAATAGATCTATGAATGCATTTATTTTAATTTCATTTCAATAGACTTTAATCATTTAATGCCATGCAACATTCCATATATATACAAAATTAAAAAGGTTCAACCTTTCTTCCGTTACATTCTTCAAGTACACTTTATAATTTGGACTGTAGAATTGGGTCACATTGACTTGTAACCACTGGGGAGGAACACAGACCTGCAGGAGGCCGGTGTCTCAAGCAGAGGAATTGAATACATTTAACCCAGTTTAAGAGGAATATTGATCATGTGCAGGTGTGGGACTTGTGCTGTTTCATTGCCAAACACTCTGAACAAGGTTTATCCGCCACTGATTATTTCCCCTAAATTAGCAGCTCCTACATGACGGCCCAATGGACTTGATGTAATTAGCTCAGCCAAACTCCTGCCTGTAATATGGAGCACTCTCAGATTTGACTTGAGTTTTCCCAAATGTCAAGAATATCCACGTCAGAAACCCAATTATAACATTCCCATTATAAGCATGCAATTTGAGGCAATGATAGAACTCGTGTGATTCTTATTGTACGCTATGTGCTAGAATGAGCGCTTGAGTGATCAAGTGTTTGTTTAGCCTTTTCAATCACTGTTATCATTATGCTGCTCATCTCGGTGATTGAAAACATCTTTAAATAAAATGCCTTATTATTATAATTATCAATAGATTTTCTGCTACCATTTGTTAGAATTTGTTTTTGGATAATCCACATGCATACCTTCAAAAACAATGAATAGCTGTTTGGTATTCTCGTACATCTTATACCCACATGGTCCAGGTCCTCTAGGTCTTGGTGTCTTGCTACAGTTGGGATGTAATGAGGGGGAAAATGCTTCAAAGAGATGCTGTAGCTCTTGGAGGAATTCTGGAGCCAGTCCATTACATGCACTACATTTTCTTCCTACAGGCACACCTAAACAGGATCTATCAGGTATGAAATACGTGTGGCACAGAAATGTACTGAAGTAATGTTGCAAAGTATGCCCCTAGATTTCACAAAAAAAGAAACCCTCTGAAATCAAATAATCCCTTTTTATTGGAAATTTCCCAGCTGTTTCCTGAAAACCCCAAGGAATGATCCCATCAGAGTTTATGAAATTGATTCAACTGCTGCATGCTTCACACAAGTAGCCTGAAAACTTCACTGATCTTGTGACAGAAAGTGTCTGGAGCTTATCTCACGAGATCAGATGAATACTTGGTTAAAAACGTAATAAAGAGAAACACCATTTCTGTGTCGCTGTTGCCTGATCATTTCAAACTTTCCATCACAGCATGAGGTTGCCTGGATTCAAGCCCAGCTCACTCTGTCTGTCATCTCCATAGTACTGTAGATTGTCTAACCTTTTTGTCAGTGTCATTTTTAAAATAGAGGGTAAAAGTGCTCCACTTAAAATCTATCTTTTGAAAATCACAGAAACACTCAACCCCAGCAGACAAAAAAGAGAATACGATGGTTTGGAACATACTGATCAGAGAGGTGGCGAGTGGAGGGGTGAAATGTGCTTCAAGGAGAGCTTTAATGGGCTTTTTTTACTAACATTGAAAAGTGGAATCCATTGTAGGGGACATTATTTCAAGCAGATGACAGCCACTGTGCTTTTTGAAAATGGAAAAATAAAGATTTTTAAAGCCACCTGTCAAAGCCTGCAGGGCTGAGTGTTTGATATTCCCAAAAAGGGGTTTTGAGTAGAGCATCACCTTTAGTGTAAAACATGCTGCCACCATATGATGCACGTCACAACTGGACAATTTCTTTTTCTTTTTAAACCAACAGTGGCGAGGCACACATGAATGGGCTGCTCAGTATCAGTAAACATATCCATCCTCTTATCTTTTGTAGATGTCCCACGAGAAGCTGCATTTTTTCCCCCTGTAGAACATACCTCCCAGCTGCTGCACCACAACTTCCTCTTCTGTCCCTGTCAGCCTTTTCTTCTTCTGTGGTCTTGTAGCTGTCATAGTGGATGAGCAGAGACTCAACAGGGGCCTGGAGTTAACACTCTGCAGCTCTACATCCCACAGCCTCACCATTTTATCTCATAAAAGACATTGCCAGGTCAGCTGTACTCTGTGTGAAGACAGACTCTGCAGGTGTGTGCTTTTGAGAGAGTGGAAAACACACAGGCTTTTTGTTGTATACAAAGAAAAAGCAGCCTAATTGTGCAATACCCACAACACTTTTTACACTATGTGGTCCTGTAGACGTGCAGCACCATGGCATGTCCCATACCACATGTCATGTGACGCACAGCCGTGCTGGTGGCAGTGTATTTTACACCTTAGTGTGCAGTATGCTTCGTGATCTATGGCATCTCTTCACAGCTGTCTTCAAAGAAATGATTAGCAGCCTTACCACAGGACTGTAGAGTAGAAACAGTAGATTCTGATCATTCAGATATTTCTTAATAGTTCCGCTTTTTTAGTATGGGAAATTATATCCACAATGAATGTGTAAGAAAACGGCTGCTAATTGTTTGTCTTGTTGTGTTTGTCCATCTATGTATCATGCATTGTGTAATCATCATACAGCTGAATTTCATCAAGGACAGGTGTGAAAATGGAAACAGCATTCGTTTGGGGTGGACATGGTGATTTATAAATAATACAGCTGTTATTATTCTTGCCATATGTAGGATTTTTTCATTGCTAATTATATTGATGTGAGAGCTTTTGTGTAGAACGTACAGATGTACATTCTGCGGTTTCAGATGTGTGGTGTTGACAACCAGATGGGACGCATTAGCAGTATATTTTCATGTATTGTTCACTTCTTTGTGGTCGGTCAGACACTTTTATTTCCTGTCTGAGTGCTTCTGTGCTTTGAGTACAAAGACTTCCTTCCACACGGAACCCGACAATCCTAAAAGATGGAGTTTAATTCTTACCTAGTACTCTGCTTTATGCAAGTATGTGTCATATCCTGCTAGCTGTTTTATTTTTCATTAGCCAAAGACAAGAGGAGCAGTGATAGTATCGGGGATAAGGAGGGATATGTAACATAATTCCCCCACATTATATAAATATGGCATGTGGACATGTTAATGAAGCTGAAGTACGGTAGTTTTCCCATTTTGTTTCCACTTTGTACTTCAGTGCATAGCGTTGTATTTTGTTTTTGCATCCAACCTTACATCACACCAGATAAGAGTGATAATAACATTTTAATCATAATACAAGGAAGAAGTGATAGTCTTTGTTTAAGGTGGAGAAATGATGTGCAAATATTGACATCTGCATTGGCAGTGTAACAAGATGTGTTTGAAAATATTGCCATTGACCAAAAACTGCCGTTCTTTTAGTTGATACTGCTCTTTGAAAAATAGACAAATTTTAGTTCTGTTTAACGTTTTGTTTTTTTTCATCTGTGCTGAACTGTAAGACGATGAGTGGTAGTGTCACATTTGATTTTGTGAAGGACTACAACCTCTTTTCACGCTTCACTTCTCAGTCCAGATATATCAAAGTGTTCCAACTTGAAAAATCAGCCTCAGAAACTCAACAACAGAGAGCATTTGTTGATGTTTGTATTATTTATAGAACAAACCTATAAAAAAAAACATCTGTTTAGGGTGTATTTAACGGTGCCCTGTGGAGTATTCTTATGTAAACATAGAATGTTTCTGTTTACGTTCAGCATTACTCACCATAACACCTCCTTTTCCTTGCAGTTAGGGATGAATTACCACCTCTTGTACATCGGTGGAACAGTGTGAAATCTTTGGAAGGAATGTGCAGACCTCACATGTTGGTGTTGACATGCGAGAACAAAACTGTGCGGCCTACATATTAAATATAAGAAAAACCTTCTGGGGCTTAAAAAGAGGATGCTAATATGAAACACCTAATAACAGTGCAGTTCATGGAGTGGCAAATGTCAATCTCCCTTGAGGTATATCAAGATGCACAACTTAAAAAAGAAAAAAACACATTTAAAGCCTGTCAGAAAAAAGTAATATAAAAACTATTCTTGATTGCTCATTAATCCATTAATGACACAGACTCTGACTAGCCCTGTTCAGACTGCCGTTTCAAGGCACGATGTTTAACGGTCCCTGTGACGAATGCTTTGGCAGCCTAATGGGGGGATGAAGTGATCCCCACAAAGGTGATCTATGGCCCAGGTCTGCTGTAAACTCTTCAGGTGACCAGAGAAAGAGAAAAAGAGAGGGCAATTCACTTTGAAGTCTATTTGAATGCATTTGTTGCAGTGAGCAACGTCTGTTATAGAAAAAAACTTAAATTAAGTTTTTTGTGTGCAGTTGTCTCTCTCTCTCTCTCTCTCTCTCTCTCTCTCTCTCTCTCTCTCTCTCTCTCTCTCCTCCCTCTAGCGTCTTAACTGCATAACCATGTGTCACAGAAATTAATAACATTCTGGATTAGTTTAAAATGTTCATATTTTTTCCCATTCTTATAAATGCATAAGCAAAGCCAAATAATATAATACTTGGATTTATGTCTAATATACATACACTATTTATATAAAGCTAAACTTTATCCAAACAGGAAGTGTGCTAAAATACTAAGCATTATCATAAAATAAAAGCTAATCTAACAAATATTATTTAAAATTAAACTGATGTTAAAAACAAAAACTCACAATGAAATGAAAATGTAAAAACTAATGAAAAACACAAAACTATTATAACCTTGGTAGGTACTCTGGTGATTAGCTGACTATATCCTTTTGTTCCACACTGCTTCCACTCCTGAACTGAGACATGTAAGCCACAAGTTAATCAGGCATCCCAATGTTTGTGCGTTTTTAATCAAATACATAAACAACTCCAGTCAAAAACCACCGCACATTTCACTTTCACAAACACTGTCATTCGCTAACTGCTAAGTTGCCGGCTGCTGAATAGAGCCTATATGGGCACCTCTGTTCCACAAAACAAACAAAAGAACAACATCAACATGGCAACAGCAATGCCAGGCTCCAAAACTGTCCACCACTGTTGTCCTGAATCCACCTCTTAAAAACAGTCAATGCTGAGAACGTTTATATATGATAGTGCTTAAAGCAGTCAAACACTCCACAGGCCACCTTAAAGCTAACATCCTGTACAGTTATGTTGCTTTAAGGTAGCTACTCTAGTAGAGGTATTAAACAAGGTTACAGCTATACTAGCTTCCTGTTATGCAGCAGGTAGAAGAGACAGACGTTGTAGCTTCAGCTATTGAATTACACTTGAATGTTTGAGAAAAGATCCGGATTAAAGAACACGTACTACGTTCTGATCAGATTGAGGCTTTAGCAAATCATGTCTGGCTTCTTTTCTGTTTGCTCAGGCCTTAGCTTTCAAAGGTTAACAAGGGAAGAGACAAATTCAGTTTGAATAACCTCCTACACAAAATCGTCAGTGTTTGCAGACAAAAGCATCGTCTGCTAACTGTGAGGAAAGGGGTGCACAATGTGAGGATGAGGGAGATTACCGTTTCACACAAAAGAAAAGCCCTGATTCATGTAGGTGTGTGCCCGCTTAGAGTTGTGTTTGAAATTTCAAATTGGCTCTTATCTGGGCCTCATTTTGTTTTTGTTTATACCGCTATTAGAGTTAAGTGTTTATGTATTTATTTCCAAACTTTCATCAACTTTACGTGCAGCATTCAGTTGTTTCAGTCCTTTGAATGCATTTGCTACGAGTCGCTTCAGATAAGTGAGTCTGTTTAATAACTGAAAATGTAAATGAAGCATTTATCCATGCTTTGTACATTATCTACATAATGAATGTTTTGCTTCTTTGAATACATATTAAACATTCCGCTTGTTTCACAGAATTTTTAAGCTATAATTTTCTTTCTTTTCTTTTTGACTGAGGACTAATTACAAAACTTTAAAGCACGTTCAAGTTTGTAGTCTTATTGTGTCAAAGCACTTCCCATCTTAAAAAATACAAGGTTCAGACACATCTGCATTTAAGCCCTTCTCTGTCTCACATCATAATTGCTAATTAGAAATTAAAGACCAAAGACATGCATGATTATTTTTGAAGTAATTTGATGCTTGAAAAAATGTGTAATTAATGTTGTGTGGCAGCTGTTTAGGCAGAGCATCCGAGACAGAGGAATGCTTTTAGCGCTGCGTGCCAATGCAGAGAGAGCATTGTTTTGTCCCAGCACAAAAGGCTACTCATTTATAACAACAGGCGTGCTAGCTCAGTGGTGGGGTGATGTAAGGGTTTCTTTGCTAAAATGCGTGTCCGTTTTTTTTTGTGATGTACTGGCAGCGTTTTGATACTCAGCAGTTAATGACACAGGACGATGACAGAATGCATAATCATCAGTTTCAGTCAGGCGTCAACTCATGAATGAAGCCTTCTGTACATTTAGGTTTTTAGTGTGTTTATGTCAGTATGTCTTCATACTGACATTGAAATTCCTGTCAGAACAAAGAGCAAAGATAATTCTCTATGGAAGGGAATAACAGTGGAGAGGAAAAATGTCCCAAGGGAACCGTCACCATATTGTTCTCCACATTTGCTCCAAGGAGTAATTGTGTTTTTTGGTGTCTTCCATTGTGCATGCTCGCATCTGCTGTTGTTCATTGAGCTTTTGTCTTAAACAAACACCTGTCAGGGACATGACAGCAATACTTGTCAGCTTGCTTACTGCAGAGGCAGTGCCTCAGACGAGTGTGGATGAGGTGGTGATGTTCCAGACTATTAGGCTGCTTGTTTTAATTGGGCTACCGTTCTCTCTCAGCACGGCGGTGATATGCAGCCAACTGCTGTTTGTAATGATGTGAGGTGCACTGTGTTATGCTGTGGCAGTAGAGGACATGCACAGCTCTTAAGAACAAAGTAAATTACACCGAGGCAGGGAGCTTTGCATATGTTTTGTCCAATAAGTCTTTCAGGCCTTCCTCATTTTTAATATTTTCATGGTAAATTGTGAGGCAGTTTTTCCAGCATTAGAAAGTACTTGAATTCAAACAGCACATATGCTCCTGCTGCTTGATTATAAGAATATATTATAGGAGTGAGTTTTTGATGTGACGTAGTTGATGGTTTGAGTCACTGTTTTGCCCTACAATTATTCCAGCCAATTACTCGCTGATGCACCTGATGAAATAGCTGTTTATCATTATGCTTGGTATGCTTGAACATTTTCTCGCCATGTGGGTCTTTGCATCCCATTCTCATGCTTAACATGTGTTCCTCCGTATCATGAGATCTATAGAGCATGCTTTTCCACAAAGCTGTTTGTCTTGTGAAGTTGTGCTTTTCAGCATCATTGTGATTCAACTTGACATGGCATGTTGTCTAGTTCAATTCAAAGGTTTTGTTATCCAGACTTTTGATTTGATCTGTCATAACTCAAAATGTTCTGTATTGGGTTGGATGGGAGAAATGTCTGACATGATTATAATAATCACTGAGTGTGCTTGATATCTGTGAAACTATTTCCCCAGGAACTCGATACTCGATACAATGTTATATTTATATAGATTCTTGTCAACTGTAGAGTATGAATAAGCAATAAGCATTGAATATGATATGATTACTATGACTTTCTATAAATACACAGTATGTGCAGTTATTTAAACTGTAACAGCATTAATAAGACATGAAAAGTGAATAGTGATGCCTCAGTCTAAGAATTTGTTCACTCCATGATTTGAATAATATCTAGGGCTGTCAGTGAATTTAAAGTGCATCCTGTCTTATCATGCAGAAGTGAATCTTTTTTTAAACGGCCGAGCCTTTAGACCTTCAGTGAAGAAATCTTGCATATATATAAACACCCTCTGACATGAAGAGGTGCCATCATATCTGCGTCTAAAAGATGGAAACTAGCAGTTGTGAATAAATCAAATAACATGTTGGCTTTTTTAGGCTTGAAATGTAATCAGAGCGTAACAATATAGAGACAGCCATTTGAGACTGTAGGACAAGACTGTTTATACTAAGCGCACATAATCTGACTTGCAAAATAATTTCACGTAACACCTCAGGTCACCTGTATACAAGGATTTATTTTCCAGGTCTCACATGGGGTCCAGGGAGTGCAGCTTCAAAGCAGACTTTCTAAATCCCTCATTGCTTATTAATAAACTGACTGTTCATGAGGTCATGACTTGGAAACTCACTGTTTTTTTGGTGTAGAACAACAAATACTATGGCAATACTCGAGTAAATTCAGTCTCATTGGGTTGATGTCTTGTTACTGCTTTAAGCCTCAGACATGGACGTTGAGTCAATAATTGCTTCAATTCTTTTACCAAATAGGCCGACATATCTCTGCCGTTGCAGTGTAATGGAGTCGCCTCTTCCTGATAAACCAATAACCTTCTTATCTGTAAGCTTTTGCTCTTTCATGATGCCAGTAGACTTTCCTCTATGGGAGTTACCGGTTGAAGCAGCGATGTTTCAGGTTTGCAGGATTGAAAATAAAAACAGCATAAAAATCCACCCAAAAAATTCCCCTTTAAAAGAAAACCCTTATTGTCACATAATAGGCTCCCCCAGGAGGGAAATCCAAAGCAATTTTGTACCTGCAGACTGAAAGCTAAATCACAGATCCAGCTCAGGGACTGTGGATGTGTTGGAAATAAACTAGTCCCTTAATACTTGCATGCAATGTGCAGCATCCCAGCTTTGCCTGGATAAGGATTACTTTCTAAGCATTGCTTTGCCTTTTGTTTGCTGTTTTGTGTCTCTGTCCTCTACAGGCATCATGGACTCGGCCAGAGCAGCACAAGGTATTTTAAATGCATGACTTTCTCCTACACCAATCCATCTTTCATGTCAGTGGGGTCTAATTTGATTCTGGATGGATGCAGATCAAAATTCTTGATCAATTAAGGGTCAGGGAGAGTACAAACCCTGAGAAAGATGCAGAAGCTAAAACAGGCCTATCATTGCAGGTCTATCCGTCTTAGTCTTTGAATGGTTTTCCCTGTTTGGTTTCTATATAAACTCAACATGCACCTTGACCTTTTCACCAAGCCTACAAAGACATCATTCAATTGAAGACATCTGCCTGCTGAAATATGATTTTATACAATGACTTTTTGTTAATCAGTTATAGATTTGATTCTCATTCTGATGCATGCCGTTTTTCAGTTTGTTTTCTGTCCAAGAAAAATTGATTTTCTTGGTAAAACTTTTCTCAGATCTCTCCGTCCTCACTCCTACATCTCACTAAATCCGCTGCCAATTCTTGTCTATTACATCAAAGTGTATTTTTGACATGAGAAAAGAGTTATCTATAGTTCAGATGTGTGGACTTCGGATTGATGAAAATATATGTAAACTAAGAACACTGTGTTTGAACAGCAGCACAGAACGTAAGCCGACTGAAGTGAACAAAGTCGAATGGAAAGCTTCCCACAGAAGCTTTCCTACATCTTACCGCATTGTTGGAAATGTGTCATAGATATGTGAGATTTTGAAACCTATACCACTTTGTCACTGGTGAGTGCACTTTACTGCAGGATAGAGCTGCTAGATTCTTCTTGGCTTTCAACTGAACAGAAATTTGGGGCTTTTACTAAGTATGTCACAACATTTAGCCCATCGCCATTTCAGGTGTGAGATCACACATTAGGGTTGCCATTGTTATTTCTACTTAGGTACCATTTGACAGGAAATGAATACGTATTTTTAGACCGTTTTGTTCCTCAAATAGCCCTGCTATTTTATTTTTAAATTGCAGGGAGCTCTGCACAGCACGCTGAGTGGTCTTTTCCTTTGACTCCACTCTGTAATAGTTTTGAAAATGGTCTTCAAATATCGACATCCTGACATGCATTTTATTAATACCATTTCTGTCTGACAAACTCAAAGAATAAAAAAACAAAGATTGCACACTGCTCACTTTGGGAGGTGAGGAAGAACCTTTCTCTTCCAGTACATGCCTACAGTGTGTGTGTTAGTGTCAAATACATATGGTGGATCCTGCATTTAAGGCAGTAGCATTGCTTTGTTGTTGTTTCTTTGTCTATGGTTGCTTTTCTCTCTTACCCAGGAAGTGAAGTCAAATGTATTATTTTTGAACATTTATATCGGTAATCAGCTCCACAACAATGACCCCAAAAAGCCAAATCAAAAGCTGCTTAGTTTCTCTGAGGGATAAAGATTATCCAAAGTAAGAAACAAGAACAAACAGTTCTTAAAATCTGAATAAAGCCATGCTACTTAATATGAACTGTATTTTAGTGGTCTATTACTCACAAGATGCATCTCAGCAACACGTGCAACACAGCGGAGGTTTCTACAAGTGAGTGCATTAGATTACACTAATGGATTAGTTTTAATTTGTACTTTCTGACATAGTGTTATTGTTTTAAAGTCTACCTGCACTCTGAATTGAGCAGCGTGCCTCTCTGCAAGACATCCCATTATAAACCGCACAGGGGAGGGCGTGTGAGCACCCAGCAGTTTGAGCATGCTGAGCATGTTTTTTTTTTTGCAAATACGTAGGCAGCTCAGTGTTTATTTGACAAGGCAGGGATGGGTAGGTACATTTGTATGCTGGTCCAGTTTACATTTGGTGAGACATAAGTTTAACATGTCCTTAGTGTATTCTCAATTTTATGCTCCGGTGTTCTAGCAGTGTCTCTCTCTTCTGCTCCTAAAGCTGCAGAAGCGGTTGCAGAGCTCTGCTGTCAGTTTGCTTTGATTTATTAGAGAAGCTTATGTCTGAAAGTCTTTATTTTCATCCCTCATCTGTGTTTTGTACAAGGTGTTCACAGACACGTAAAGTGGGCTTTATTTCTATTTCTTGAAGGAGGTTAAGTCAACAAATCATGAAAAATGCTTCAAATAGACGATCGATCCTTGTGCAATCATACTGAAAATCAATTGTTATAAAACATGAATGATTCAGTTGCTGAAATTGTAGTGACTGCATACAGTCATTTCCTCTTGCATATATAAATGATGGGCTTCTTAAAGAGAGCCAGTGGTTAGATCGACATTAAAAGAGAGTCCATATTGAAGCATACTGACTAACATGCTTGTACATAGTGTGGCACAGATGCAGGAGTCAGGAGCAGCACCACAGGGGGGTCGAGAGAGAATGCTTTCTGCACAGGGGTCAGAATAAAAGGGTACTGTGTTATGTAAGTGTCTCCCTGGTCCTGCTACCCGCTATGCATAATGAATGCCCCAGACATGCTTTGTCTATTGAATTTGAATACAAACTAACGAGGGTTTCTCTTACTTGGCCGCCCAGACTGGGCCCTAATTCAATATGTGTAAAAGCATCCGTGCCATTGTTTTGCCTGCAGCTTGGACCAAAGCCATTAAAGCGGCCAATAGAGAGGCTTAGGTACTCATTCCTGCTGCACCTTGTTAAAGGAACAATACATAGAAAAAACAAAGCTGACGGTATTGAAGGGGGATTTTTTAAACCCTGTATATCGAAAGTCTGTACATTTAAAAAGTAAGATTTTAAATCTCAATAACATGAAAATTAGACATTTTGTATGTCTGAAACTGTACACAAGTGTCACATGACAGCAGCAACGAAAAACAACACAGAGTTGTTGACCCAGAAGGTCAGGAAGTTGTGGTCAGATTTTGTAGCTCTGCATATCAAGTTAATGAAACCAGCTTTCACAACAGCAGGATGGTCACTTACACATCTCATTAGCCAGCTGTCTGTTGTTATTTCCTTGGATTCTAACGCTATCTGACTTGGCACATCCTCTTCATCAGTAAAACTGGGACATGTCCTGATAGTGTGAAGTTTGAGAACTTTGCATCTACTTGAACCAAATATCACTGAAAGAGATTAACTTTCTGTCATTTAACCCAAAAGAAAATATACAACACTAAGCCCTCAATGTCTTCAGTATAAAAATGCAAGCGTGGCATGTAAAGTAATGCTCTGATGTCTACCGTCATGCTTCAGTGTATTTCACGATTTGCTAAGTCCTCCGTGTGAAAAGCTTGAGATGGTTCCTAGTGCGTTCTGTCATCTATTATTGATAAGCTCCCCTGTACTGTCAACTGTGTCCTTATGTTTCAACGCATTGCCCTACAGTGTGTGGCTCTTTCCTTAAAGCAATGTCTGTTCTCATTAAAGACAGGCATTCTTAAGCTTTTCTTTTTTCAGGTCACACATCCTTTCTGCAGAAATGAGCTGAGTATATGTAAATGAGCAATATGGCTTTACAGTTGTTGTTTTTTTCTTCCTAACCACACTATTTTTCTCTGCTCCTGTTTAGAGTCAGGATGGAAATGTGGTGGTGAGGAGTCATGCACGTGTGTCCTCCCTCACTCTGAAGTATGTCAAGTACACGGACGCTGGTCAGTACGTCTGCACAGCGCGCAGTGCCATTGGAGAGGATGAACAGACAGCATACCTGGAGGTCCGCTGTAAGTATTTCTTCTCTTTTAATGTCTTTGTTTCAGCCTGCATAACGAGCACAGTGTAGTTAAAGTGATATTTCAACAGCATCCTATTAAACTAAACAAAACAAGTAAGTCTTTATTATACAAAGCTCTTAAACACACTTTTGCTAACGCAGCCTTTTTCAAACTCCAAGATCTGAAATGTTTTGGTATATAATCTGTTTTTTTCCCTACAACAGATTCCCCTAAGATTCATGGTGCCATAGCAGTGTATACCTGGGAAAGAAATGCCGTCAATATCAGCTGCGAGGTCAAGGCTCATCCCAGTGATGTATCTATAGTGTGGCTAAGAGATGGACTGCAGCTCCCCAACTCCAACACCACAAACATTAAGATCTTTAGAACTCCATTATCAAGCTACCTTCAGGTAAACACACAAACATGCCAAGCTACGATGTTCAGCACATAAAATGCATCTACACATATACACAGTGCTCCATGTGTACACATACAGTGTAACCGCTCTGTCATCAACATTTTATGAGCATAGACGTGCAGTGAAGGGTTTTCTTTCAGCTCCATTGTAGGAAGTGAAAAAAAAAAATCAGATGAATTATTCAGTAGCAGGAAAGCTCACAGCAACAAATAAAAATAGTCCTCTGTAATGGACAAACAAAAAGGTCACCTTCACAGTGTATGACACATACGTTTATTCATCTGTTTTGGTACACTACCCTTCATATATTTGCTTTTTGTGTCCTCCTCCAGATAACCCCTGAATCTGAAAATGACTTTGGGACCTATAACTGCACTGCTTCAAACGAGATGGGCACAGAGTCCAAGGAGTTCCTCCTCATTCAGGCCGGTCAGTTAGGATTCTATGTGACTTGTAGCATTTGAATTTATTTTTTTCTTAGGGCGATCAAAAATTGTAACAGGAAGACGTCTCCTCTGGAACTTAAAACACTGATATGAAGTGATAACAAACAAAAATCACTTAGCCAAATTTCACTGTTGCAAACAAATTGAATTGCAAGGACCGCGCAAGGCTCTAGGCTTCAGGAACACATTTTTCACCAATTTTCAAAACACATTAGACCAAAACATCGACCACAGTGTGAGATTACACAGAGCAGTTCTTTTTGTAACATCAGATAATTTAACGTTCCTCCCCTCTGGTTGTTTGGAACGTACAAAGGCTCAGTGCAGTGTTGAAAGAAACAGCATAGTTTATTGTGCACTGGATTATGGAATGAAAGACAATTCATCAAAGTTACATTTCATTCAGCAGTGTATGCTCGCCAGCACATTAGACAAATGGGAGAGAGAGCGCAGAGATAACTGACGCCACAATCACAAGGAAACAAATTGAAACACCATTTTTTTCCCTAAGAGCAGAACATGTGAAACCACGGTGATCAGATCATACATTTTCAATTAAAAGATCATACATATATAATACTTAGTCATATTCAGACATCTCAAGCCACTGTGGTTTAAATTGTATGAGTATTTTCTTTCTCTGTAAATAAGAGTGTAGTGGTTTGTCAACCATCATTTGGTTCTTTTGATCATTAAACTTGATTAAATTAAATCAAAATGAGGAAGTTTGGGCTATTCTACGGGACAGATATTTCCTCCAAATCCATCATGAGGGGTTAAGAACATACCCAAAAGTGTATTTTCAACTCTACTTCTTCAATACCAGCTGTCTAAAGGCCACATATGATGCAAAATACACTTTACCATGTTTTTCAAGCACTCATGTGTGTCCCTAGCCTGTCTACAAACCTTCCTAATTATGAGAAAAGTTCAGACGATCCATCTTATGCCTGCTCCACTTTTCAGAAAATGTGTGCCAAAACAAGCCGTTTGGAGATTTTCCCTTTGTGACATCACAGCTAGGTGTTTGTTCTGCCCTCTCAGTCTGTCTTTGCAACATAAACATTCAGGCATGGTGCAAAAAAAGCTGAAGCGACCGAAGCCCTTCCAGGGCGTGGTCAGACACAGCTCATTTGCATTTAAAGCTATAGACACAGAAACAGCCTGTTCTGAGCAGGGCTGAAATGGAGGGGTTTATAGGCATGATGAAAATCATCTGAAATCTTTCTTTTCCCACCTCAAAAGTTTATCAAAATAAAAAAAAACAGCTCATTATTTTCTGTGGTTTTTCTCTGTGCAATCATCATTTAAGGCTAACTTTGGATTGGCTAAAAATTGCAGCAGGAGAGGAGCATTTGGATGTCTTTCCTGCCCTTTATTGTTTTCTTCCTGAAAAGATTTGAAGAGTATGCAGCATTCAGTGCCGGAGTAACAAGTCTAATTTCATAAACCACAGATGTCTGAAGTGCGTTAAGATGCATTTGGGAACCATTAGGAGTGTTGGGCTAAGTCTGTAAGTGTAAAGGAACAATGAAGTCTGACAGTGGCAGAGTGCTGCAATCTTAAAGCTTTACTTGTAATCACGCTGCGTTTCCTCCCTTTACCAGACGTGCCATCAGCTCCATCCATCCTTGAGGTGAGACCCTTCTCTACCACAGCACAGATCCAGTTAGAAGATCCTGAATCCACTGGAGGCGTTCCTGTCCTGCAATACAAAGCGGAGTGGAGGACTCAGGGCAGGGGCAGCTGGGTACAGAAGGTCTTTGAGGTCCAAGATGGTGAGCACACAAACCAAGACAAACATTGAAGTGTTGTTTAGGGGTAATTGGATTTCTGAGGCAGCAAAAAAAAACCACTAAGAATTTTCTGCGACTTGTTATGAAGAGTTTAGGAGAAGAGGGTTTGTTGTCATATGACTATGTTTGTTTTCTGTTGTTGAATGAACAACTTTGGATTAATTTTTTGACTTGTATGATCATTTTAGACATGATTAAAACATACAAATGATGGCAAACAATAGAGCTAAAAATGTCTTAAAGGCAGATAACATAGGAACCTTATTTTAAGGTGAGATTAATGGAAAAAAACGTCACGTTCATTCCAAAAAGAATCCATCCATATACCAGTAGGTTGATACTGCATAAGGATGTCAGTGATGTGTTTCTGTACAGCTCTGGATTTAGACCTTTTGAGACCACCTCTAAATAGATTTATCTGTTGTTTAAACATTGTCAGAATGAAACGAGAATCAAACTAATGGCTGTTTACTCGTGATGGGATTAATTATGCATGTATTGTTTGAACTCTGGGCTGGGTAATCAAAAACTATCAAGGTGTTCCCATTGGGGTTGGCACTGCCTCTGATATGATGTTGTTACAGGCTCAATTGGTGAGGTGACTATCACAGGCCTGAAGCCAGAGACCAGCTACCAAGTGAAGATGTCAGCCATCAACGGCAAGGGTGAAGGTGAAAGCAGCCCCGCTGAGTTCTTCAAGACAGAGCCTGTCCGTAAGTGGCACATGTTGCACGCTTGACAGCACACTGTAGACTTTCACCACACCTTTGTGAACTGTCTCCACAAACACTGTATCTGAGGTCCTCTCTTCGATTTTTGTGTTTGCCCATCACTGATCCATAGAAAGAGATGTTGTCAGCAGCTGGGCAGCAACCCACATGTCAGTTTTGAGTTTGTTTGGTCGGTGTTACTAGAGCCACCAACATTGTCTTTTCTTTCTGAGTTTGTCCTCTTCAGCTTGTCTTTTTTCCGTCCAGGAGATTAAATGAGAACAGGAACTGAACTAACCTTGTTGTTCAGTTGATTTAGTATTTTAAAAAAGGGATCTTTAAACCTGAAAATTCAGGAAACGTTTTTGTGTGGAGGTCTTACTAAAGACATTTAGTTCAGACTGCACTCATAAGATAGTTTTATATTCTCATTTTTGTTAAAAAAAAGTCCATGAAATAATGTCTTTGGCGCTTACAATACAAGCCTTGCAGTCAATAGTGAGCCCATTATTTAGTCTTTAGCTCCCCCTGTTGGTTTGGAATGCATGTTTTTGGAAGGCTAGACTGCCCCTCCCTGTTGGCTTCACATTTAATGTGCCTGCTGACTCATAATTGATCCCATTTTCATATTTGGACACGACTCTCTGTTGTTTGCATGCTCATCATCTGCTCATAACTTCTGTTTATCTTTTTAATCATCTATTTTCTTTATCCATTCGCTCATCTGTGTGTTGTATCCATCAGGCCACACTTACAACAGTAAGTGCTTCATCTCTTTTTTCATTTTTTTCATTCTCTGTTTGCAGTCTATCATGTCTCTCAGTTGACGTATATTTTTATATTTACTCTGTTTTTCATAGATGATCTAAGATTCTGTTTTGTTATTTACAGCTCATTATTTATTGTCTTCAAATGTTTATGGTTTATTTTACACTAATTGCTAGACTAAGACAGCGCGCCACATAAACAAGGTGTGCTATCAAATATTCTTTGACGTCTGCTAAGTGACTCATTTCTAATAAGACTAACCACAGTTTATTCCAGTAATATCACCATGACTACATTTCTAAAACACAACCTTTCACGTCACACAAGCTTTGCAGCTGTGACTTAAAGCAGCCTTTCAGTCGTATGTGTGCTGCTTCTGTCTTACTTTGACCCTTATTGTTAAATAAATGTTTAATCTTCTCTACCTCTCCTGGTTTATTCTGCAACAAATGAGTCATGCCTAACTTCTCAATGAAGTGTTCTAGCAGACATTCAGGTAGTAATTTGTGCAGACAACTCATACTGATTGCATGATATCTTCTCTTTTATGTCCCTAGACGACATTTCCCATTTTTTCACTGAAGACACAGGTTTGTTCCGTAGTGAGGATAATAGCCAATCAGTTCTGATCACCGTAGCTCTCTCTATCCCTGCAGGATAAACCCATCCTCCTTACTAATTAGCTGTATTTGTGATAACTTTGAAGATAGCAAATCATGTCAATGTTTCTAGAGACTGACCTTGTTTATCCTGATCATCAATGCAAACCCTGTTCTGTTTGTCACCCGCAGATTCTATTTCAAATGTATCCAGCTGAATAAGAATATTAACACCATTTTTGATATCCCGCATGGAACTAATTGGCCAAATAACAGTATTATAAATAAACGACAAATCTCTGTTTTTCATAAGCTCATTTTCCCTCTGGCTGCAGCAATTTGGTGTTATTTGGGAACATTATCGTTTGCATAAGGCTCATCAGCACTGATTAATTAGTTGCACTGCAAATTAAAAAAGTCTCTAAAGTCAAGAGGATGAAGCTGTTCATGTCACTTTTAACATGATATCTCAAACAGAGGAATGTTGGAGCTTATTTTGGTATTCATCAGATGTAAAGCTCTTTAATGGTTTTATGTCAGTATCTTTCTCTATCTGTGTTTTGTTGTCTTTTCTGTCTTTGATGTAACTCTTCCTCACAACCGCTCACATGTGCCATGTCATGTTACTGTTATCTGTTTTGCATGGTCCTGATGATCCTCTTCACTCTGCAGAAGGTAACTTACTGTTGCAGGTTCATGAAAAAAGATGTCTTCCTTTAATTGGAGAATTCTCCCAATGACACAACACTTCAATTGCTTCTATGCATTCATGTAATATTTGTCTACCCAAATCCATTTAATCAGTCTTGTAGACATTCACCTCAGCAGGATAAATGAGACAGAGCCAGAGCTACCTACACGGTAATATGTAACAGTCAAGAGTGTTTAATATCAGCTTCACACAGAGCCTAATGATAGCCCACCACCTAAAGGGATGTTACCTCTCCTCCTTATAGGATGTGTTCCTATAAATCAACTGTGTAATAAACACAGTTTCCTCTAATCACTGGAGAATCATAATCAATGTCCCACCAAAACTGCTCCTAGCAGCAGTTTGCTCTGGTTCTCAATCAAGAGTTTGAGTATTCATTCATACTGAGAGCAATAACTCCCCTCAGCGTGTTCATCCATAGCGTCTTTCATTTTTAACCTTAGCCTGACTTCCATGCATTGAAGGCTTAATCAACTAACTTGAACCGATTGAATCTGGATGTTAAGTGCAAGCGATGTTATAAGTCTTGAGTGTGACCACAAACCAGCATGAACATGTGTTCTTTTCTTTTGTTAAGTTAGTAAGTATTCAATGAAGTACTTACATGAAAGACAAACATATATTGTTAAAGAATCAAAACAAAAACATAGATCTTGAAAATAGTTTTATAGCAATCCTTTTAGCTGGTATGACTCAGAGAGAGAGAGAGAGAGAGAGAGAGAGAGTAATTAACCTTGGAGTAAGGACAACATGAGCTTGATCACCAAAAGTCCTCAACTTTGAGAGAAAAACAACCGGGAGTTTTTGTTCTGATAACTTGAGGGTTTTACCTCAATGAGATCTGAAACTCATTGACATATGGTGGAGCCAAATTGTGAAAGTAATTGGAAGAATTTCAAGCGTAGATTTGACAGGACGCCAGTGTATTGCAGCTGGCACCATGGTCTGACTGTAGTTAGTATCCATGCAGCAGGATCCATTGTAGACAGGCTACAGCTTCTTGGCTTTAACAAGGATTCATTGCATTACAATAGTCAAGAGCCAAGAAGACAAACCAATTAATGTATTATCCAAGCTGTTGGAGTCATAAAGTGGTGTACTCTGGTAGTGTTTCTTCATTACAAAAAGGACATGGTTGAATAACTGCCTTAAGATGTTTCTTTAAATTCAATTGGGAATTAAAAATGACCCCAAGATTTCTGGATACCAACTTTTAAATTAGATAAGATTATTACATTTAATTAAATGTCATTGCACCAAGTAAAGTAATGAGACGACAAAAGACAGTGTTGCACCAGAAGTGCAGAAAGTAGTGTGCAGAGGAATCTATATAAACTGAACTCCACGACATTTCAACCACCTGTCCCCCTTTTGAAACCAAAAAAGCTTATGCATGGATTCGAAAACATTTTATTTTTTAATTTCCTGAAGTATCCTGCACAAAGCATCAGCAGCAGCTCCTTTCAGTTCTCTAAATCCCCTTTCACACATGAAGTGCACTCCAGAAAATTCTCTGACATTGTCCAGGTGGGATGTATGTGTGGATGCAAACAGCCAGATCTGTTCATCCCAACCTTTTCCCGTCATCCCCCCCTGTAAATTCACATGCAGTCTGGGTGAGCCAATGTGGGAAGTGGTGATGAAAATGTCCACATGGAGTGGAGTTTTTGCTGCTTTATACTCTTGCCTGCTCGCAAACAAATGAAAAGTAAAACATTTTCTACTCCTGACTTTTGATTGGGTTAAGTCTTCATACAAGTTGAAGAAACAGTTACATAAATTCTGTTCAATACGAGGGCTTGAATGTCATGAAATTATCTAAAAAATGACAGCAATTCATATGTGAAAGGGGGCATAAGTAAGGATCCTTAATGGATCTGACTCATTGTTAAGCATAAAACACAGATGCTCAATAGGATTGACATCTGGGGAATTTGAAGGACATGTACAAAATATTGAACTCTTGTTGTATTTCTCAAAGCTTTCCTCATCACATTTTGCAGTGTGGCAGTGTACATTGTCCTGTTAACAGAGGCCTCTGTCATAAGGGAATATCTCTGTAATTAAGAACAATGAACAATGTATTGTATGCTGTCTGTGTCAAAGTTACAACAACATGACTAACAGTATACAATGCACCAGGGACCAGGCCATCCACATGATGTACTTGGTTCATTTGACTAGGCCACGTACAGTAGTTACATTGCTCCATGGTCTAGTACTGATGCTAACATGTCTATTTTGAGCACTCTGGTGGGTGGACAGGGGTCAGCATAGGCAAGGCAAGTGTATTTATACAGCACATTTCAGCAACAAGGCAATTCAAAGTGCTTCACACACGACATCAAAGGCATAATGACAGGGGAAAAAAAGAAACATTATAAAGTGGAGGCAATCTGCATCATGACATTCAGCTTTCACCTTTCTAACCATTTGTGTTACAGTAGCTGTTCTGTAGCATCTGGCCAGATTTTGCTAAACCTTTGCTACCTAAAGGCACCCATGACCTTGGAAGGTACCGATAACTGCAAGTCTGCAAAAAAAACAAAACAAAGGACCTACTATTTGGCCCCTTGTTAATGTCATTCAGATCTTCAAGCTTAAGAAGATCCAAAGCTTTTTTAATGACATGGAGGCACTGTTCTTGTGGATTTGAACAATATCAATTTTAAAGTTCTGCAGGTTCAAATGTCTACAAATCTGGGAATCCTTAACGGAGCAGAGAAATAATAGCAAGCCTAGTCCTATTTGACCTTTAGTTGTGTTTTCTACATAGGTAGTTTAACATTGATTAAATAAATCAACTTGAGGCTATCTTAACAGGCCATTTTTTTTTAATGCTTTAAGATGCTAAAAACCTGCAGTGACATTCCAGTCAGTGACAAATAATCCTTTCCCCTGTGGCCATGTATACTGGGGGAATGTCACTCAGCATTTTTATACTGATTGAATGTCACTCAACAACTCAGAGTGAATCAGATAAGCATGTGGCTGTGTGTCATTTGGTAATTAGTCTGACTTCAGACGTACCATCTTGAGGCAAGCGATTAAGGAAGGTCAAGACTTGAAAGATAACAAAGAGGCCAGTTTCCTGCTTCACACTCGTTTTTACGAAGGTTTTTTTAAAATTCTTTATACATTTAAAGGTACTTGCTGGACTGACACAACTTTTTCCCAATTAAATTAACCCCTCACCTTCATCATCTGTGATAAAATCCTTTAAATAATCAAGAGTCTTGCTCTTGTGTGCCTGTAGGGAATCCCAATCCTCCAAAATTGGAAGGGATACTTCAGCCCAAAGGAAACTCCCTCAGAATCAGCTGGATCAAGCAGGACGATGGTGGTTCCCCCATTTTACATTATCTAGTCCGCTACAAACCAGTAAGTATGACCATCAGTGCATTTTCAGGGGGGGCAGGGGGAATGTAAACTCTGTAGTTGAACGTGTCTCTTTTAACTTTAAGTGTGTGATAGAGAACTTAAGTTGCAGCCCTAATCACAATTCTTATTAAGCTCCACAGGTCTGTCATTAGAAATGACAAAGGCTGTCTTGTTCTATCCAAGATCTTGATGCACAAAGAACTGAAAACAATTACTCGATCAATTAATGGATAAACAGAACATTAAGCAACTATTTTCACAACTTTTAAGACAAAATAGATTATAATTTAACGTCATAGAAAATGTCTTTCTTGGTCCTGTACCATCGTAAAGTTTTGTTTTCTGATGATTTATAGATCAAAGGAGTAACTGTGTTTTAAAACAATAAAAAGTTGATGAATTGATGTTTATTAAGTAGCAGCTCCAGATGTATTGACTGTATTTTCTTGGTATGTATCATTAGCTTCAGGAATCAGATTGGAAGCCAGAGATCAGATTGCCCGCCGGCAGTGAGTACGTGGTTCTGAGTGGGTTGGAGTGGGACACTGACTACAATGTCTATGTGGTGGCAGAGAATCAGAAGGGAAAGTCTCAGCCCGCATCGATGTCCTTCAGGACGTCTGCACAGCCAGAAGCTATCCCAGGTATCCTCCCTCAGGTCACTCACATTTAACTGGAACTAAACATCCAGAAAACTAAGGAGCCAAACTCAAAGCTCAAAACTAGAGTGTCACATTCTATTATTAACTTTCCAACTTTGATGAATGAATAAGAATTGGGTCTACAGAATTTAAAAAAAAGAGATTCCTGGATGACGTTGAGCCAGGAAAGATTCTCTGGATGATTTTTTCGCACTTTTAAGATTTGACAGCCCATGTTAAATGAGCTTGAGTTTGTGCTCACAGAACTGGGACAGGCTCTTCCCACAGAGGATGAAATTGTAGTTTTTCTATGGTTCACTGTTAAAATAGCAGATAGAAAGAATAGTTTGTCCCTGTGTGGAGCAGCCTATTTATAACCACTGATTAACTTGCACCTTGAGATCTTAACTGCAACTGAAGGTTTTTACCAAATGTACAAAAAAACACACAGCCTGTCAGATTTTTTTTAGGTCCTAGGCATTGCTGAGCACTTTTCTGAAACATCACAACAAACCATCTTGTCATCCCTCACTACTTTTCTAATTCATTCTCCAATTTAAAGCATTTCCCACTCACCCATCACTGAGTCACCATCTAGCCAACACTGTGTAGTTTCCCCCTTTGTGCTGGGCTTCTGCTTTGATGTGTTGCTGTGTTTTTTTTTTTTATCCTCCCCAAATGTAAGAAATCAGTTTTTTTCTTTCCTCTTTTTTTTCACTTTTGGTTTCAGACCTGACTCATTTTCACTTTCTCTCTTCCTCTGTTTTCCCCACCCTTCTCTTTTTTCCCTCTTTGTTTGTTTTCATCCCTCCCCTCTCTTTTCTTCCTTTACTCTTTTTTGTTCCTTTCTCTCTATCTCCTCTCTCAATGTTCCTGCTATCTTGCCTGGTCCTGGACATTGGTGTGGTGGACCACGTGAACATTTCCGTCCCGACCTGTGTGCATTTTCGTGTGGTCCTCAGCCACTCAGGGCTGTTCATCTGTGACATGCACTTTGGCATCACTCATCTTGTCCCTCATCGCTGTACTCCTGCTCTCATAGTTTTTGTGGGGAATTCACACCATCACTGTCAAGGAGAGCCTGCCTTTCTATGGCCTGGCTGTCTCTCTGGATGCTTTCACTCCTTTAAAACAGACTTTGTCCATGACAGACCTGTCTCTGTTATGGGTGAGAAAAGGGTGCTATGTAGCTCCAGAATAGACCAGACAGACATAATGGACTAAAGGCATAGGAAATCCTCCACCTCCCACAGATCCACAGATTTCACTCCGCACAGCATTAGCACAGCTAGTCATCAGTACTAGACAACAGAGAGAGGTGCCAGTTTACAGTAATGAACAATAGTGGAATTGAAATGAAGTTGTATTAAAAAATAGCGCTTAGAAAAAAAAAGAAAAACACTGAGTGCTGGGCCTTTCTGTTTACATAAACTCTGTTCTATACTCTATACTATAAAAGATGATGCTTATATACTGTAAAGGTCATTAACATTAACGTTTACATTGTTGAATACAGAAACGCCTAACTGAAAATGTTTATAATAATAATAATATGGTATTGTAAACAGAAATATCATGAGGAAACTGTTTATTTTTGTGCTGTTTACTAAGAACAATGTGAAGCTATTTCTCATGCATGTAATGTGTTTCAAATATTGGTCCAAAATACCAATTTTTATACATTTATAGAGGAGGGTGCTTTACCACGTTGCAATATATTCTCCAGCAGATTTATCACCTGCATCTAAAGAGTTAAATGAATCTTAAACAGAAGAGATTGGTGACTTCTGCAGTCTTCAGCTATATAAGTAAGATGGAGTTTACACAACCAGTGACGAGTCAACAAAGCCTTGTGTGATGTTTGGAAAAAAGTCTCATGTTAATTTTGTCCACATTATTTCTACATAACCAGCAATGCCGTATAAGCTTTGGTTTGCTCTTCTTTCTAATACAAAATAAAAGGCCAAATATATGATGTGTCTCGTTGAAGAAAGCCTTTTGCATATGTCTGCATCAACATGTATTACACAAACAAATAAGTGAGTTTACACAAACACACCACAGTGCATCATAATTCATGCTGAGACAACTAGATCGTAATGGTGGTCCAAAGCAGGTGAGTTGTTTTTTGTTTGTTTTTATGGAAGACTTTGTGGTCACAGAAGCATAGCAGCAGTTAATTCAGTTGTTCTTGGCAGTTTTAAAAAAAAAAAAAAACCGTGTGATGCTACAGTTGTTCAGCTCTCCTGCTCTTGTCTCTTGTCTGGCAGATCTGGGTGATGAGGCAGCGCTCTCCATGGGCATCATGCTCTGGGCAGGGATCCTTGTTGTTGTATTTATACTCCTGCTGCTCGCCGTGGACGTCACCTGTTACTTTGTCAACAAATGTGGACTCATCATGTGCCTCTGCGGAAAATCCGGCACAGGGACCAAAGGACACAACTTGGAGGAGGGCAAGGCAGCTTTCATGTGAGTACTTCAGTGACAACAACAATATGAATATGTCATTGTCTCAAACAGTGGCTATTTTCTTTTGCCAGACAGGTTATTTAGACTGTTTCTTTCTTAGTTCTTCACAGTCTGTTCACTCAGTATCCACAGAAACCGGAAAAATACACTTACATTTTAAAAATGTGCCAATAAATGAAATTCTGAGAATGGATTTGTCTTTCAGTGGAAATATGAAAGACGCTTGATTTAAGTGAAGCACTGAACAAATCCTCTAATGTACAAAATAAGATAGCCTTGAAATATTTGATTGGGAGGTTGCATAATGTATTGATTCGTAGAAGCTCCACTTAAATACAGCCACATGTACTTCTTCACTGGAGTTAGCTGACTCAGATATTGAGGCTTTGATTGAGTTGAAAAGATGATCCATTCACAGCTTGTGTTGACATGATCACTGTCTACTGCTGTTGTAGTCTTACTGCTCATTGTGGAGGACGTGATACTCTTTTGTGAGATAATATGTTGGTGTTTTAAAAATGATATTTGTCTCTCTGTCCAACAGCAAAGATGAATCCAAAGAGCCAATAGTGGAAGTCAGAACAGAGGACGAGTGCACAGCCAATCATAACGCAGCAGGACCAACAGAACCCAATGAAACCACACCTTTAACCGAGCCAGAGTGAGTCAAAACAGACATACGTCACAGCCTACCGCTCAATTCTTTTAAGCTGTTGTACATTGCACTCCACATCAAAGAATAATTATCTTATTCAACAGCAAAAAAAAATTAGACCCTTGAAATTATTAAAAAGTTCGACCATTCTTGAGTGGAGTCCACTGACGTGTTGCTTTTCTGTTTTTATTCCCTCTGAGAGGGATTACTGCACTTTGTGTTTTCTTCTCCAGCCTTTGGAGATTTTCTTTCTTGTTTTCTCAAGGTTGAAGCAATACCAGTTAAAGACACAGAAAGACTATTGTCCTCATGAGTGTGGTCAAGTTATAAGAAGCCATTTGACAACCTTAGGAAGCCATCTCTCGTATCAGCAGTCTGGAAAAGTTAGATTTCCCAGTACGAGATTGTCACTGGTACTGTTTAACCCTTATAGGTGGTTCTTCGTGGTTCTGTAGTTTCTGCAGGAAGACTGGTTCTTTTCTTAACTCCATTGGTTTTCCTAGTCAGTGTACTCGATGTTGGTGTGTGTATGGGACGTATCCTTTAATGTTCACTCACAGCATGACACCCTATCTTTTTTCTTTTTCTCACTAGGCTTAATAGTTTCTGTTTTTGAGTTGCTTTGTCTATGTTTGTGTTTGTTTCTAAAACCAACTAATCCCTCTGCATGCTCTCGTTCGAGCCACCCTTCCTCTGTCACAGTCACCCTGGTGTCTAGTCTGTGTGTCTCTGTTCTCTCCCTGCTCTCTCAGGCTGGCGGCTTTCACTGCTGCTCTGGCACTGGACACCCTCTCCTCCGTAGCCACCAACTCTGACACAGCCACAGCGACAGTTCAGGACAGCCCCTCTAGCGAGACCACTACTCTCACTTGTAGCCTGTCTACCCCTGCTAACGACCCCTCTGACCCCTCACCTACCTCTGTCCCGGCCCCGGCCCCGACTCCAGAGTCAAACACAGCCCCGCCAACTCCCCTTTTCTCCACGTCTGCCGTCGAAGCTAAAATGGCACCATTAGTAGAACAAAGAGGGAGTAACACCCTAGAAGAAAAGGAGACAACAACCTCCCCACCTTATACCCCTGAACAGACTAAAGCTCAAAAACCCGTGACACCAATACCACCAAAGCGTAGGCATTCTCCTAAACTTGCCGCTCTGAATGCTAAAGGTAGCCCCCCTGTGTCTCCACTCGCTACGTCCTCCCCTTCATTCTCTCCCACCTTCGAAACCAAGAAACGTGCTCCAAGACCTCCCGTCACACAGCTCAACACACAGCCACACACTGTAGCCTTAAACTCAGAGATACCAGTACAAACTGCCTCCAATCTAGAAACTACTGCCCCTCTGAAAAAAGAGCCTTTTTTAGATACTGCAGCACCTGATGCCAGTGTAAGCAGCCTTGCTTCGTTTGACGCTAACAATAAACGCACTGACCAAAATGTAGATAAGAACATGATCGCTGCCAAAGATGCTGCAGCTAGCCCTCCTTCAGTGATCCAAGGTGCTCATAAAGTCCAAAATGCAGAAAAAACTGCTACTCCAGTTGCAGACTTCTCTTCTCCTTTACCCGTTACTCCTATTACTTCTTCTTTCGCACCCACTGCCCTCGAGGCGCCGATTTTAAATGATTTCTTCATTTCCCCCTCTAACACATACGACTTACTAACACCTGACGTCGGACTCAATAATGCAGATTTAGAATTAGAGTTGACAAACGGGACAGAAAGATCTTTTGCGCCACCCGCGGACCTTATTAGCTTAGACAGCCCGCCCTCTCTGGCCAATGGTGACGGAGCAGACCCCCCATCAGGCCCAGTTCTGGAGGCATCAGAGACTCTGGCCAAGACTGCTCCTCCTGTCAACGATGAGTACGGCTCCCTCTAGAGGTTTATCTGTGTGTTTGTGTGTGTGTGCGCGAGTGTGCGTGTGTGTGTGTGTGTAATTTGTATGCCCATTCATTCACCACCGCATCTTGCCATTGACCACACAATATGAAATATTGCAATGGTAAACTGTGGTAATGACATTGGGTTTGTTATAAGCTAGATGTTTTGGACTGTTAGACGAGTGATATGACGTTTAGTATGGTTGTGTGTGACTCTCTTCCATTGAGGAAGTCCATTTTCTCTACTTTTGTTATATACACAACAAGAATATTGCAGCCCATCTCAGACTGTCACACTGTTACATATATGTGACAGAAATGTAACATTTCAGTCTCATATATGAATAAGTCAGAATGACTATACTATATAGAATACTAGGTTGTGAAAATATAAACCCACATAGACATAGTGCAGATGTGGATTAAGGCCCAGAATGAGTCTTCAGAAGAACTTGTCTGATTCATGAACAGATGTATAAAGCTCATTCCCAGACATCTTTCTGAGGATGTATCAAAAAACTGCCAACCTGCACATCCTCTTTGACCTTTGATTGTCCAGGTATTCAGAGGGTCCTACTCATTGATGTCACTACTCCCTTTTGTGCACCAGGTGGTAGTATCGCACAAGAATTGCGCCTTTTTCTAACGTTCATGTTGCACTTGAGTAACGCTGTGACAAACACCTGTGTATTTCTGAACTAAACAACATCACCTATCTACCACAAGATGAAATATCAGTAATGTTACAAACTCCATGTCTGAAAGGGGCTTTCTTTTAATGACGGACTCTTTTGTCTCAGGCTGCTGAATGTTGCTTCACTGACTCTGCAGCTTGACAAGAGAGAACAGAGGCTACACGGTGTTTGTTTTCCTACTCTGAACTGCAGAAGGGAGGCGTGGAGCTACAGGCAGGATCTAGATTCTGTGCCTCACCGCTCTAAGATTAACATTAGTATCACATAGCACCAGCCCGGGGCTCATTTACTGTGCAATCAAAGTCTCTTTGAAGTAGAAATAAACTGATTAATAGATAATATTCAGTAAACACTGTTTATTTTGGAACAGGAAGGTTAATAGAAACAGGATGAATTATTTGGGTATGTCATCTGTTTAATTTATCTGACTGTTGTCAAGGTGGTGAAGAACTATGTAAAAAGACCTCTAAATACATACAATGTCTTTTTACATATTGGGTGAAGACATCATGGAGAGTAAATGGTTTACATTGTGGTCAACTCAAGTGGTTTTTTAACGGACAATATTTTTCCCCTCAGCAGAGAAGACCATGTTCCTAATTTTGGGCATTCTCTCTTCCCCATTGCAGGAAGAGTTTTGCTGATGAGAAAAGCAAACTGGAGGAGCCAGAGCTATCAAAGACCCTGACAGAGATCCCTGCAGAACACAACAGTGTCATACAGACAAAATCCAGCCAGAGCAAAGCATGATGGGAAAGGGGAAACCCAAACCCCTATCCAAAACATTTTTTTGCCGAAGCAACGTTCGAGAAACACTGCAGGAGTTTTGTTTTCCAGTGCCCTTAACTACATATTTAAAAGAACACACACACACTCAGACACACGCCAGTCTATAGGTTAGAGCGGACTGACTGTGCTTTGATTTCTGGTTTCCTTCATGAAATGTTTACTATACCCAAGGAATTAATCTTTAGGTCATAAGAGATTTATTTTATTTTTTTATTGTTATTTTATTTCACCAGTCAGGATGATTAAGAATAATCCCTTATTATAATGATTGCTTGGTACAGATGTGGAATAGATTCCTTTTTATTGTGCTTACAGTTTGTGATGCCATTGCACACAAGTATTGGATTATTGAGAAATGTAAAAAAAAAAACTTAAAAAAAAAACAACTGAATATATACAGAAATTATTTTTCTTATTTTCATGTTCAACTGTTAAAATGTAAAACTGTTGCATTTGTTTTTAGAATGGACTCTTACCTTGTGGGCTAGTCTCATTAAATAGCTTGTCCTGCATGTCTGACCTGCAAGTGGTTGTGAAGTTTTGTTTACAAGGTTAATGGTTTCACTGTCTGTTACAGGGATGTGTCATCTCGCACAGATGCACTGGCATTAATTAAACATAGGCCCCAGTTCAGTGTTTGGATAATAAGCAGATTTGTTATGGTTACAAAAATACAGGATCAACCCACAACCAGCTGCAGGGGAAAGAAGACTGACATACACGGTGACAGTGTGCACCATCAGATTAGATTTGGCCCATTTAATGAGAATGTGTATTCAGTCTGTCACTGCCTTGCCAACAGTGTAAGTTAATATATTCAATCATAAACATGTATTTGATTCAAGAGGCTCTTCCTTGAACACCCAAGTGTGTAGAGAGAGAGAGAGAGAGAGAGAAAAACAATGCCAGCAGAGCTGCCGTTTCTCAGCCAAGGATTTAGGAACTCCAAGCTACGATCTTGTGCTAAATATACGTACGCCATCTATTTGTTTGGGGAGCAACAACAATTGCAGATCAAAGGTCTAGCTTCCTACTTTTGAGTTGTGCATTTGAAACAAAAGATTAATAAATGAATAAAAACATTTTTGTACTATTTAAAAACTACAAAGATTTCTTTTCCATTTCCTGCCTGCGAGCTTGTGCACTGTGCCTGTGTGTCAATAGATTGTCTTGTCATCAGTTTCTATGATAATCTGCATAGCTTTGTCGTGAGAGATTTAGCCTATTCTTTTAATTTGTTATATTGTATTATTAGAAGAAAAGTATGATCAATGGACTAATGTGGTCATTATAACACGTGTAGTGTATAAAACTGTCCGTCTCTGGTCACAGCACTATATATTGCCAGTTATATTGAAGGAAGGTGTTTTGAACCTTGGCATGAATTCAGTCAGTACTTCATAACATTTAACTACATGCAGATAGACCTGCCGATGTCTGTATGGGGGGAAAAAATCTCATATGGAGTAATTGAGTGTTACATTTGGGGCTTGTTCTGGCAAAAAATACATATCTGTTTTTATTTCTCCCCCCCCCCAAAGTTGTCATTCAAGTGTTCTGTAAAGTGGATTTTGAATTTTTATTTTTTATTTTTTGGGAAGTTTATCGTCTTTTTGTACAAAAGTCACTCACCAAGAGCGACGGCTTGACAAGCTGGCAGGAAGCAGGGTGGTCCACTCAAGACAGAAGAAGAACAAACTTCTAAGCTTCAGATAACAAGCTTCATATGGTTACATATGTATGGTATATAGAGCAAGAAACGCTTTACTCACCTTGTGCCCCACTACTGATACCAGACCACCTTGCTCCCTTTGTCTCTGGATGCTCCTTTAGGTTTTATTGGGTCAAACTCAGAAAATATCTGTTGTGTACAGTCTGAGTGCTTACCCATTTACAAAATAAAAAATGGTTTCCAAATCTAATTGTGTACTGGCCCATTGTGTTATTCTTTCAATTACTTTTTCTTTTTTTTTTGTATTCTATATTCAACTCAGAGCCTGCAGCAACATACTTCTGACACAAGATGGCAGTGAGTACATATTTATGGATTCCTTTTTGATTTCGCCATGTCATGGACACAGGACTATTTACAGAAAGGTTACAGTGCAAACAGGTTATGTTAGGATGGAAATTTGTTCTTGTCCAGAGAGATGAGGGGGAGCAAATAAACACGTGTTACATAATACATGTTGATGCAGGAGTAAAGTTAATACTTCCAGGCTAGGATGTCAAAATACTATGTACCAGTGAGGGCTTGATATTTTGGGCTGTGGTATTCTTACCCCCTCGGTCCCTCCTACGTGACATGACCCCACAAATTGGAGCCATGTCACCAGAGTGTCAACAACCACGACGGCCCGCTTTGACCTAGTATGACATCCTGTCTCACTCCAACACGCTCCTACCTCATTTTACTTCCAAGAGTGAGTTATTACAATAACAAACTGGTTACATGCTAATATCATTCACCAGTTTCTGCTCTTGTTTCAGGATAACACTCTGGTCCTGACCTGTCAGCCTGTTGAGATGCCCTGTAGATGTCTCTGATCGCAGCCTTGATGGAGAGACGTGGAGCAGAGGGCGATCATTCAGAGCCGTGACGTCGCCCCGGTGATTTGCAGCCAGTCAAGTCTGCAGCAGGTATCCATGATGAAAGCGGAAAGGCGATGATATGACCTTCAAAGTAAAATGCAGAGGAAAAAAAGATTTGGATAAATGGCACAAGTGTTAAGCTTTCAAAAATAACGCGAGTTGTAAACAATAACTCAGGTTTGAAGATAGACTAGTTTACTTAAGAAATATGCCAACCAATCTAGAGTAAATGTATTCACATTTTTTGATGATCTTACTTTCTAGATTCAGATAAACACCCAAAAAGTACAACAATTAAATATCATGATGTATTTTTTTTAATCAATAAAAAAAGTAGCCTGATATCAAAGCTAATGTACATACCCCACAAATAAAATATTCTATATTAATCCTTGATTTCCCATAAATTGTCTCTTTACATATCAATATGCTGTTCTTTACATGTTGTTCATTTTGTAGTAGAAGTTGTACAATGAAAACAAAGTGAAAAAAAAATAAAAATAATAATAATAACTTTATTTGTATAGCACTTGAAGAGGATTGGAAGAGACACCCAGCCAACACCAACAAAACTCCAACTGTTAAAGAACCCAAACAGAAACCTTATCAACATCAGAACCCGAACATCATCAGCGGCATAATAGCTCATAATAACTCAAGCAGCTTAGGTAGAGAACGAGAGAACTGAAGTTGTAAGAAGATAAGTAGGCAATTACAAGAGATAGAAACAATAAAAAGTGTCTAGAAGCTATAAACGAGATAAGAGAAATCTTTGAAGATGAGCTCAAAATAATTAGAGGGGGATATTAGCTATAAAATGAAATAAACAATAAAAACAGCTGAGGCATTAAATAGATTAAATCTAATGAATGCACACTAAACTGATTACCAATGGAAAATTCTGAATTTAATCATTATGATATTTATTTTATTTAACCAGGTAGGTCCCATTGAGATTAAGAATCTATTTTCCAAGGGAGAGCTGGCCAAGACAGGCAGCAGCAAAAACACAAAGTTACAGACAGAGACACAACAGGACACAAAGTACAATTTACAAAACACACAACACAAATCTGGGAGTCAGTAGTACAAGCAGTCAAGCTAAAAGCATTGACTTCCTATAGAATCTTCATCCAAGTCAAGTTCATTTTGGATTTAAAAACATTTAAGGACACCAACTCCTTGAGTTTCTAGTCATTCTGCAACAGATTCCAGGCTGAGGGTGCAGAATACCCAACAGCACTTTTCCCAATTTCTGTTTGAGGGGTCTGGGAGAGGTCCTGAGAATGCAAAGAAAACTGTACTTTTCTGCATATAAAAACACATAGATGAAAGCAGACCAATAATTGCCCTATATATAAATGTGTACCAGTGTAAGAGCCTACGGGTTGCCAGAGCAGTACAACTCACAATGGTGAGTCAGAGCTCTACAGCTTGTTATGAACCTCAAGGACGCATGGTAGGCTGTATCAACCATATGGAGACACTGACCAGAGACGTGCATGTACAAAAGATCACCATAGTCTAAAACATGTAAAAAAGTTGCAGCGACAAGACGCTTTTTTTCATTCAAAGAAAAAACACAACTTGCTTTTCAAATAAAAACCAAGTTTTAGCCTCAGGATTTTTACAATGCGCAGCACAGCATAATACAGAGCAATCTATGAGTACATTCAAATACAATGCATATTTAATAGCTGAATTTATTATTACTATTATAATTAAATAATATAAATGAATCTGTTTATTTAGGGAGTTTATTCTAGGGGTTAAAGTCTTTAATAAAATGTACTCAATTAAAAAAATGCAACAACACTTTGAAAAAGAAAGCATTAATCACAACATAAGGGATAATGGACTCCATGTTGCATTATTACTAGTACTATACTGCTTTGTTGTTTTACCAATACAATAACATTTACATGACATTTCATTGTAGCTAAATTTGCAAGGAGTTTACTTTATCATGATTATTGTACAAAGTATGTTTTATGCATAAATAATCTCAAATAATAGTAAATAAATAATTAGTATTTAGAACATTAAGCCGGTAAATTAATTTATTAGAGCAAAATTGGAAGTTCAAACAGATTAACTCTAGTAAAGAACCAGTATCCCAAAATTGAGTCAAATTTGTCATTACCAACCACTGTACTCTACTATTTAAAACACAAACATATGGTGTGTATTTTATAAACTGACCACAGCCATTTCAGTCTTGATACGTTTACAATATCTTGCTTTTTTGTCAATATCAGTGAAAAACAGAAAAAGAAGTCACTCAGTACTTACCCACCAGCGATTGATTACAGGATGAAGAACTTGAACACAGTTTCACTTACATTTTCTCAATATGCTCTGGTAAATCACATGTATAAGTTATGTCATCCCCAACCCCCCTCCGGTGGATCAGCGTTTCACAGCAAAGAACTACCCCCACATGTTTTGTAGACTCATAAACAAAAGTATAGTCAAGTTAGTTTCTTGCTATTTTAATCTAAATTGTATTTATACGTTTTTCAACAATTCTGACTGTAGAAATATATTACTCTGATTATAGAATTTGAACCCACCATTAACAGTTCAACTAAATGATCTGCTATCAGTTTAGGAGAAATTTGAATTCAAATAAAATAAATCAACACAACCTATTAAGTTCCTGATGGCCTTTTTGCCTTTGTGTGGAGCTCCAACAATGTCCAGTCCACTGTGATACGAAAATATGCAACAAAACCACCATGTCTGGATGCATTTTCAATTTCTCAAAAATAATGTATAGTATGTTGTTATATGGGCTTCATAGTCTGATCTGTGCATTTATTTTGAACAGCTACCATGGAAATATTTCACATACTAAACAGAAAGTACGTCAATAGAAATCAAGAACACTTTAAAACCAATGAAATAACTTGATCATGAGAGGATCCAGTATTGGCTCAGCAAACTGATAAAAATCACTTAAACATATCTCCATTGTGAAGGTAATAACCTATACTTTCATCTCCACAGGTTATTACTTAGAATTAAGTATTGCAACAACTCATTTGAACTTATATTGTTCTCTTTTTTATTGTTTCGTTTTTTTTTTTTTGTTATACCCAATTTAACTTTGAAAGTTATCTTCATTTATATCATAACCTCATTCTTATGACAACATCAAGTTCTCGCAAAACCACATTTAAAATTATTGAAAGTTAGTTCTATTTAATATCATCTCTAATCAGCCAACCATTCTCTTCATTTCATAGACTTTTTTTTTTTTTTTTTGTCACAAGGCTTCATCTGCTCCTAGCGGGGAAACATTTTAACACGTGGCTCTGAAGCAAAAGACGGATTTTATTTTGAAAGTTCTCTCCGGATGTGTAGTTTCCCCCCCCCACGCTGGCTTGACTGTCGCGGCTCGGTGATGATTTGCTTACTTGGAGCAGGACTGAGTTTGGAGCGGGTACTGTGAAATGTGTAACCATGATGTTACCCGGATAATCAGCGGAGGACGTTAGGAGACAGAGGTAAGAACAACTGTGACAGCTGACACTTTTATTATTATTTGATTTGATTATTTTATTCCTGTAATTCTGCTCTGATGAACTACTTTTCTGTCTCAGACTTATTCAACAATTTATCCATTTTAAATAGTTCTGGTTTTGTGGCGGGTTTTTGTTATAATTTCGTTTTAGAGCAGTCATGTGGAAATCGTCCTAAGTTTGGCTGCAGCCTGATTCATGGTTTCACAAACTTGATTAAGCACGGACTCTATCGCTGACAGACATCTTCTGACTATTTAGGATAAATTGGGTTGTTTTTTGTTTTTTGTTTTTTTTATCTTCGCACAGCACGCGGCTGTTTCTCCAAACACAGTGCACACAGTTAAGACGCGCGTGTAGAGGGTTAATTTGTCGCAATGTGTTTCGATAATAAAGGTGGATTTTTGTGCGTGTGCACCTGATGCGCTCTGATGTTGCGGTTAGTTGAGGATGCCGCCTGTCACAGCATCAGTCGAGGTGCTGCTGAGTGATCCGACAGCACTACTCATCACAGAGAGCATTTTTTTTTTCATCACTCTGCTCTGTCATTTAGGTGTTTAATGTTTGTGAGGAAAAAAACATGTGCATCCGTGCCAGGCTCGCGCTTCATTTGTATGCGTCCATCGTCCGGATAGTTTGATAACTTATTCAAGGATATTCTGAAGAGCGGGTTAATTGTGTTTAATGCGTCTAATCATGAACGTGCGCAGCCTGAAAGAACTAATCAGCCCTCAAAGGCGTTTGTCAATAGCAGTCCTACCTGTTGAGGGCACCGATATGTGTGTGTGTGCGTGTGTGTGCGGATGTCTGTGTGAGGAGCTTGATAAATTGGACCGTCACCTCTCAGTATGCAGACGTTATTACAGCGACGTGACCGCTCTCAACGAGACCTTAGACTAATCACCTGCAATGGAAACTGTTGCTTTGCTTATCGACCTGTTGTCTCCTTTTGTTCTTGATTAAAATGAATAATCATGCAGAGGGTATAAAATAAAATAAGAAAAACCACTGAAGTGATCAAGCAGTGGTTTATATTTCTCAGAGTATATTTAATGCATTATTTTCTGATTCATGTGATATTAAAAAATACTCCTTCTGACTGATAATGAACTGACTTTCAGATCACATTGTAAGCCTGACAGACACTCATGATTCTCCTCCCTCCCTCTCTACCCAAATCACAGACTTGCAACTAGCTGAAGGCAGGTGCAGCAGGCAGGACAGCCACAACTCATGCGCGGGCTCAGCAAAGGTCCGAGTGGATACGGGTCTGACAAACATGGGTGTCCTCCAGCTCCACAACCCTACTCACCCCAGCACGCTTCTGCAGCGAGCCAACCAGATGCGTCTGAGTGGCACTTTATGTGATGTCATCATCACAGTGGATGGCCAGGAGTTCCCAGCGCATCGCACCGTCCTGGCATGCACCAGCAAAATGTTTGAGATTTTGTTCCACCGCAGCAGCCTGCGCTACGCCCTGGACTTCCTGTCCCCCAAGACCTTCCAGCAGATACTAGAGTATGCCTACACCGCCTCGCTTCAGGCCACAGCTGAGGACCTGGATGACCTGCTGTACGCCGCAGAGATCCTGGAGATCGAATACCTGGAGGAGCAGTGCCTGAAGGTGCTTGAAACCATCCAGGCAGAGGAGAGTGAGGAGGTGCCGGTGAGGAATCACAGCTCCGGAGAGCACAGTGACCACAGCAGGGCCCGGCACTGGAGGCACATGTTGATGTCCAAGAAGCATTCCATACAGGACGGACCCACCCGGACCACTCCCACTGCTCTGCACAACCTGGCACTCTACCACATGACAGATAGGAGCTCTCCTGGTCCAGAGTCTGTGGTGGCACCTGAATTAAGCCCCAAACTGGACATGGAGGTGGACATGGAGAGTTCCCAGCAGCGCCAGCGTAACAGCACAGAGTCTCAGGCTGCATCTCTGGATCCTGCCAGAAGTATTAAATCAGAGAGCATGCAGGTGGACGATGCCAACGGCTGTGAGGGCCGGTCCTCCAGCACCGGGGAGGGAAGCTGTGTGTCAGACCAGCCCAGAGATGAGGGCCCAGGGACGCCTCTGAGGGGCAGTGTGATAACCAGCGCCCGAGAGCTGCACAACAGCCCCGAGGATGGAGGACAAGCTGTGGGGAACGCTCTGGACTGTTTCCCCGGGATCGCTGAGAAACATCTGGCCTCCTTATACTCTTTGCCCTCCAACCACACAGGGGAGGGGATGCTGCCAGTGTCCGTCTCAGTGGCCCCGTCACTGGGTGTGCCACTTGACCCAAGGGCCTACGGCGGACTGCTGCATCAGGGTCTCCTGCACAGGGAGCTTCTGAACAGACTGGGCCAGTTTGCAGCGGGGATGAGGCACGAGGGCCAGACTCAGGGCCAGCAGTGCTGTGGAGAGTGTGGGCTTCAGCTGCACAGCCGGCAGGCCATGGAGCAGCACAGGTAGCACACACAAAACATCCATCAACACCACTTTTTCAGTCCAATAGCAGCTCTTCCCAATATATATTTTAAATACATTTTACAATCTCATTGAAAAAATAAAGCAAATATTTTTCTAGTTGGGATCCAAAATCTTATAAGCACTTGTTAAAGCCAAATGAATTGTTTTAAGTCCCTGTGACATTGTGCTGAAAAACTGAACAACAGTGCTTCACATTTGAACTGAGAAATGTGCAGAGTCTAATAAAAGATGTGAGGGATGTGCTGGTGTGTCTGCGCTTTGATGAATTTGAGCTCAAGAGTTGGCAACGCGGTTAGGAAAAGTATTGGACATGCGTCTCCCTAATTGAACGGTTATTGAGCGTCAGGATTGTCTCCCCATCATGTTAAAATCCTTTGGAGTTAAAAGCTGCAAGAAGCAACAGCAAAAATGTAAATTTATTCTCAGGGACACCTGCACTCATGTCTTAACAGTGAGACGTCTCGGGAAGCTTTTGAATCGGGTCTTTGTAAGGGATTTGATATAAAGAGGCCTTGGTGTCACATTAAGCTGTTATTTACAAAGCTTTATTTTCTCAATTCTGTTTGATTATTTGTGCAGAAGCGTGCCCCACACAACAGGCTGTCTCGCAGGCTATTTGATATGCATTCCTTTGCATCAGCCGAGAGGAGCCTCTCAGCGGGGACCGGGCTGGCCGCTTCAGATACATGATGGATAACTTCTGCTTAACGACACGCTCTGTTGTTATTTCTTCAGTCCTCCTTTATTTACGAGCTTGTCAGTTTAGATTTTCTCGTTCTACACAGAAAGTTACAGACTAGCTCGGTGACCACTCTCATTAATTTGACTGCAGATGTTGATAATTGTGCGTGTTTGACAGAGTTTGACTCATCACTAATCATTAGAAACAAGACAATCTGGGAGCCTAAAGTCCTAATATGCAGCTAATCCGTGATTAGGATCATGGTCCTTCCCTATCCGAGACCCGCGGCTGACATTTCAGCCTTGTGCCACTCCAGAGTTGAGGTGACACGGCCTGGGGAAACCAGCATCCTGTGGGATAGTTAGTAATGTACGTTTCTTACTCATGGAGACAGGCGGATGTCCACAGGTTGAAGGAGTTTCATAAGTGGCAGTGCTTGCGGATGTAATGAATTTGCTGTAGGTCTGTAACCAGGTCACTGAGCATATACCTGGTCTCCAGATTGACATTTTGTGGTGATGTTAAAACAGTATCTCCTGGCTCTGCTCTAGAATAAACAACGAAACAAACCAAAGGTTTGAATGTTTCAGTCTTGGTGGAAAAAAAGTGACAGAAATGGAGAAAATGCATTCACTAAATGTGAATATGCAAATATTTTCCAAGGTGATGCCTTTAGTGAGTCTGACATTACCAGTGAGTCTCAGGTAATATATTAGGTTATTGCAACCTATAATGATATTAATAAAATACAAATAATTAAAGTGATAATATGAGGAAATCATTAACTTTAAATACATTTTAAAACTCAACAAATATCTCTTGTAGACTGACATTTTGGCATTGTTGTGATTACACGTTCTTCACCTCAAACCTCTGGCCATTTCTTTTTTCACCCTTTATCGATAGTTTAAATGGCCGAAAAAACAAATGTCATGAATCATGCTTGAATGATTGGGCCAAAAAAAAAAAAAAAAAAAAAAAAAGGAAAAGTTTAAATCTCTCACTTGAATGCTCAAGTAAATTAACAGTTACATTGAACATTTTCACATCTGCATCATAGAAAGGCCGAACAAAAACTTGACTGTTTCTGAGCATGAGGCTCCAAAATGATTAGCTCTCCTCACTGTGGCACTCTTGATTTCATGTGTGCCAAACTTCGTCTCAGGACTCATTTATCCTGACCACAGAGTGTTTAGCTGTGGACTCTTCTGAGGCCGTTTTTCTCTGCTGTTAGCGGGGTGATATAAGGATAACAGTACAGATGCCTTGCATGCTTGGATGTGTGTGATATGATATGATAGTTTTTGCTCTCGGCGCAGCTTCAGCGAATCATCTTCTTTTCTCCTTTTCATTGCGGTTACAGGAGAAGTGTATGAGTGTGCGTGTTATACTGGGATGTGAGTTTGAGTGCATGTAATTGGTGTGTTTGTAAGTGTGTGTATGTGTGTATTTGTGTGCATGCCCAGTGTCTTGCAGTGCTGGCGGGTGGAGGCACGCGTATGTCTGCACTCTGAAATTAGCCAGATATCCTATTGTCTGTGTTCTTTTAGCATTCATGCGTTGTGATTCACAACTCCAAGGGCCTCTTACACTAATGATGTTGCATTCAGCGAGTGATTCTTGCCTGAATTAAAACATGCTCCCCTTGTTACGAGGACAATGATGCTTCTGGGTTTGGGAGACCTTACAGAAAGACAAGGCGCAGAAACGAGATAGATACTGTTATTATCGCAAGTACGTCGCTCGCTCTGTTCTCCTATGTGTTAACACGCTCACTTCAATGTTTGTCTTTCCGCAGGAGGCTGCATAACGAGGAGAAGGGCCACGGCTGCGAGTACTGTGGCAAACACTTCCAGGACAGCATGCGTCTGAGGATGCACATGCTGTCTCACACAGGTACTTAGTAACTCTCACACTCTCATCTTAGAGTATTCAGTGCTTATGAGGCCTCTTGATAGTGCGGCCTTTCAAATGCACCTGTTCATACTACAGACCCCCCCCCCCCCCCCCCCAACCGGTTAGTGCTGCTCCGAATATTTGGATCATGCTTTCTTTTCCATGCTTTGGTCTGTGTACCTCTCCCTCCCCTCTCCTCTCCTTTCCTCTCCTCTCTGTCTCTCTCTCTAGTCTCTCCGTTTGAATCGTTTCTGTGTTTTTTTGGAGACTCTGGCATCTCGCCAGCTCTGCCCCTTCTGAGTGATGACATCATCAGCTGCCGGCAGGCCTGGGTGTTCTGCCAGTGTTCCGAAGCGTGTGTGATGGCTCGCTCGCAGATGTGTGTCCAGGAACACACTGTACCCAAATGCAGACTTAATCAGACCTGACTGCTCTCCCAGCTACTTTATCCAAAATAGAGAAAGGGGGGGGGGGGGCAGGGGAGGCAGATCAGAGACTAAAAATGAAACTAAAACACAAACCTCAGATGGAATTTGTGTAGAGACAAGGCAGGGTCCCTGTCCTCTCCGCTTGCTTTTTGAGGATTGTTCTGGAATGACATACTGCTGACAGATGAGAGAGAATCTGTTTCTTTAAACTTCACCTGAGTCGTCCCCTTTTCCCCTCCTCTGAACCTGCATTAACCCTAAACACACGCGCTGTCTTGAAATACTCGCAGACCTCGACAACATGCTTTAATTTTCAATTGGCAGTGACATTCACAACAGCAGCACCTTTAACCTAATTTGAATTTTTGCATAAACTCTCCACATCCCAATGTGTCAGCCTATAATACTACAAAAAAAAAAAGAGATGTGGATCTCATTTCTTTGTCACTGTGTATTTCGGTATAGCAGCCTTAGATCCCGCTGGTTGCTAAGGAGCGAGTGCTCCACTGCTCTAATGGGCTGATTTGGTATTCAGCTCGATGCTGGCTCTTATTTTGGTATGCCAGACAAAGTGTTTTGATGGAGGACGATTGCAGCCGCGTCTGGAGACAGTTTGATGGTTTATGGATGAGAGCACACTCCGTGCCTTTGACTGCACAAGACAATGCACTATGTTCTCTTCTTCCCTTATCACACAATCTCACACAAAACAACACACCACACTGGACAGCGTCACACAACATCAGCATCTACAACATTGCTCCTGTGTTACTACTTTTTAAGACTACTTGCTACCAAGTTTTATTTTTGCTCCAAACAGTAACAGTTTGTTTACAAAAATTGTTGTTTTTAGAAACGAACAGATTGAGGCTTTTTTTGTTTTGTTATTTGTGTGTAGCATTGGGAACAGTGGCACAGTGTCTGCGAACAGAGGCATCGTAAGAGTTGAAAGAGGACCACATTTAGGCTGTAGCGCTCAGAGTTCCCAAAGCTTGTGGGTGTTTTAATGAGTCATTTTAACTTCATTTAAAGCCAGCTGAGCAGAAAATAGATCAGTGAATGAGCCCTGGGCCAGTATGGATCTGCAACCGATTTACATCTCTGTGAGAGCCAACCCACATCCAAACAGCTGTGTGTGCACGTATGTGTGTGCGTGCATGTGTTTGTGTGTGCATATCTGTCCCTATGTGTCTGTCTGTGCAGGTGTGAGGTGAGTGCAGAACAAGGATTGAACATTTCTGCAAGCAGTCTGCATACTTGTCTCTTTCATGTCCTCATCACAATAGACAAGGGCATTACAAAGGTGAACTGGGAGCTGTAGTTACACTGTATATGATGGGATTTAGGGTGTTGACTTTTTTTTTTTTTTGATAAAGGGATGTGCCGTAGGCGGGAAGCGTCTGCTGTAGAGAGAACACCCAGTCCTTCTGTGGCCTCTCAGGCAGACAGTCTGCTCACTGTTCAGAGACTGATAACAGGGCACGGTAAATAAAACTCTTCAGCTTGGCTCTTTTTGTCAAGAAGAAGGGCCGTTGCACCCTGTCTGGTGCTTTTGTTTGTCCTGCGTTGTGTTTTTTACGGTGCTTTCCTCCGCTCCATTGTACTCCACGCATTTGCTTCCTCGTGTTAACACCTGAAATGCACAAGTGTGTGACAAGCAACGGGTCTTTGGTGACTTTTGAAATAGGGCGTCTTTGTTCCTTTCTTTTTACTTTCTCCGCTGCTCTCTTTAAATGCTAAATTAACAGACTTGCTCTGTAATTACAAACACAAACATGTTTACTGTCTGATCAAGAAACCTTCTTGTAAATTTGATTTTATCTACAGCTCCTGCAGAGGCGCTGGTGTGTGATCAGTGTGGAGCAACTTTCTCCTCAGAAGATGCTCTGGAAGCCCACAGGCAAACACACACAGGTACCTATAAATATGTGCATGCAAATGTACACACACACACGCACGCACACATTCAGTCTAGCCTGGCCAGCATGTATTGAGCTGTTGAGTAAGCCGTGACTACAGGACTTGTGATCATGGCTCTAAACTTGCCTGTCATGCTCGCTGGGTTAAACTGTTCCTGTCATGATGCTCCATAATTTATCATCAGGGAGGTGGGAGGCCCTCTCACATATCACCCACTAATATCTCTTGGCATCCAAACCCACTGCATGCCACTTTGCCACAGCAGTCCTTTACAGTGCCAGCATCACGATCCTCACAATGTCCTGCCTAAGAGCATCTGTGGGATTATTTACCTCAACCTCACAACAAGATGAACATCTTTTGGTTTTTTTTATCATCTCAAATAGAAGAAAAAAATATTCAATTTCAAGCTTTTCTCTCCGGAAATGTCCTGAATTAACAGTTGGCAACAGCATGCAAACCAATTTTTTTCTCTTAAAATTTGTGGTTCTTGTAGATGTCGACATGTGATTAGGAATCTGAGCTCTAAATAGTTCTGAACAATTTGCCTGAGGAGCTGGATTTGTTTTGAACTTTTTAATCAGTTCTCAAAAGCCACATTCCCAGACTTTTAGTATTAATAGTAACAAGTGTCCTAACACAATAAATATTAAAGTTATTTATAGTTGAAAGGAAAGAAAGACGACTTTATAAAAGACAAGATTACAAAAAGAGTGTGGCTGTGTCATTCACCTCTCTCTCTCACTCCCTGATTTCCGGCTCTATCCACTGTCCTGTATCTCTAATAAAAGCATAAAAAGACAAAAAAAAAAAATCAATCTTAGACAATAAAATACAATACTATACAATTATCTTATCCAAGCAAAGTACATTATAACATCAGCAAAAACAGACATGAATTAATATTTAGACAAGTCGCAGGTATCATCTTCTGTACCTCCATTTGAGCATTGTTTTGTTGTTGTATAGATTCTGTGAATTCTTTCTGGATTAAAATGTTGAAAAAGTCTGAGTTCAATATAGAAACAGTTATTACTTATTATATAATGTATCGCTTTAGGCTGCTAAATTTGCTTTCTAATAAGTAAGTCAATTGATTAGTTGAATGACAAAACTTTGTTGAACACGAATAATTGATTATTTTTGGAATATTGAAGATATTTACTGCTTGAAGCCTCTTAGTCAATGTTTTTATTTATTTATTTATTATAGAAAATGGAAAAAATTGAGGTTCACACTCTGGCTTAAAAGTTGTACATTTTTACTATCACCTGACATTTAATAGGCCACAGAGAACAATGCTTAATGGAAGCCTTATTTTTTGTGATCCATTTGTTCAACTTCCTGATAATGTTTTGTAATCACCAACTGACATGGCCTGTCACTCCATTAGCACAATCCATGACTTAATACGGTCGCTTTTTGACAGCTTCAACATCATTGAACGCTAACTTGTGATAGTATCAATACGCAACATTACAGCTGAAAAAAAATAAACAAAGAAAAAGATTAAAGCTCTTGTGAGGAGTTTTTAGGTTTTCATTGAAACAAACTGAAATGTATACTGATGCCTCCATATGACAATAATGGAAAAGACCATCAGCAGAAGGCTTTCTGGGCTGTTTTTAGTGCCTGATAAAAGTCCTACTGGGTTTAACATGGAAAAGATGCACAGTGCATGGTACTTACAACTGTTAATGGACAGCAAGACAAGATTTTCATATATTTTTGGATACAGGACAAAATCGAAATAAGATATACCACATACGTCCCCAAGAGCTATACAAAATTAAAGTTCCTTACAAAAGCTTTAAAAACAACTAAAACCTCCTTTAATTTTTGAGGCCAAAAGTTTACCCTGAATTGCTGTAGACTTTTAAGGACTGCCATTACAGAGGCAGAGGTAACAGAGGTGTTACAGGTGCGAGAGGGGATTGGTGGAGCCTGTTGGGAAGATCAACTGTGTGTGCGCATGTTGGAGGTCCCACTGTGCTGTGCTATCTCACGCTTCCTCAATACCTTAATGCAAAGTGAGTTCCCCAACTGGGACACAAAATTATTGCCATTGTGGAATTAATACCAATGTCTTAAGGTGTAATGATGGCGGAGCTGCGTTTCAGCGCTGTTGAAGAATTGCCCTGTGAAGAATTCTTGTTGCTTTAACTATTTATAATAATGCTGTTCTCTCGAAGTGAGAAATAGTTCACAACAAGAGTTGTAGTCAAACCTGCCCTCTATTGTCATTAAAGGTTACATATGCCTGACAGTGTCTGAATCCACACCTTTTCTGCTACTGTCAGAGAAAGGTGATCACCCTCTCAGGAGCATTGGCATGTAACTGTAACTCCAGGTGGCACACACAGTATGAATACTTAATGGATGTGGACATGGAGGGGTGTCAACGATGCCCAGAAGTTTCTACCCTCATCTCCCCAACTTGTAAACACCCAGAGCTCGGTTTCAGCTTGGCAGTGTATCCAGAGAAGGGCTTTACTCTCACATTTTGTCGTGATCTCAGCTCGGCCTACTGTGACGCATGACCCTATTTACTGACTCATATTGGAGCCCAAACCTTCATGGGCCACAAGTAATGTATCAGCTGTTTTGAGGTTTTGTGGGGAAATTGTAATATTGCTCAACTCAATGCAAATATTTACATTAAATAAATATTATCAATTACAATTGATTATTACAATAAAACCTGGATTTTATTCCTCCTCAAACACAGGTATCTTTCAGTGATTCCGTGCCGACTAGGCAGCCTGGGCTTTAATTTGCCATGTGGCATATCTTGTGAGCCAAATTAGTTTTCTTTTAGCAGATTAACACTTGCCAGACCTCAGCAGCTGCAGCACTGCTGTCCACCTCCTCAGGAGGGGAAATAATACCACTTTTGGGAGATCTTACTCTGAAGCAATTTGGCAACACTAACTACAGTTAAAGGCTCTTTAGGCAGTTTGATATGTCAGAGGTGAATGGCCGTGGGTTGCTTAAGTTGGAGATCAAAGGGGGGTGGTTGGGGGTGGGGTGGACTGTGGGAAGGGAAGGGGGGGGGGGGTATGTAAGGACTTCCTGGGGGCAGGAGGATTGCTGCTGGTGTTGGATGCCAACACTGAAAGGAAAACAACATCATGTGCTGCTGTTTACTCCTCACCACAGCACTGTCATAGTCTCCTCTGACCTACTTGTCAGTGCCCAAAATAAAAGAATGGGTCTGTCTCCGAACCGCTCTCACAACAAAGGGGTTTGTTTCATCAGAGCAAGTCAAGGCTTTGGGGCAACGAGCATTTAATTTTTGGAAAACCCCAAGACTGTTGCTTATCTACCGCACGCACTGAAATCGACCGTATATGCTTCGAACCATGCTGGCAGACCATTTTGCCACCTCACCTTCAAGGCAAAGGCCATAAGAGGGCTGCCTTTGTGTACTCACAGCAGCTGCACTGTTTCCACACATTACAGGCTGCTTCGTCAAGTGAATAATATTACCTTCTGTCCAAGCTCTAATTAAACAGTCCTGTAGTCCATTCACATGCAGCCCAGGCTTTACAATGCAGCCCTCTTAATGTAGACCTTTTAGCGCGCCTAAATGCATGTCTGTCATCAAACTGCTCCCTCCTGTTAATACCCAGTTGTAATTCTTACAAGCCCTAAACTGAATTGACCATCTGTTTGAACACTGTGCCCACAGTATTGATTTGCATTGACAGTCATTACACTTGAAGCCCCTGGATGCCCTGTCATTTACTGTAGAGTGAATTCTAGCAGATAGAGGGAAATATTGTAAACATTCCAGGAACCGTGGCAAACCAAACAGTGCGTGACCTAAATGAACCGATCCATTGGATGGTGGTTAAACACGAGCAACGTATCTCTTGTTGCATTAATTATTAAGTCGCTTGTTCCTCTCTCGGGTAGATTAGCAGTCTACTGATGAGTGCCCGGGGTTGTTTAAGGTACTGTAGCGTTTGTTCCTCTCACAGCGCTGCCACATCACAGCCACGTCTGCATGAGCACATACAGTAGCATGAATGCACAGGGTCATGTGAGGTCCAGCACATAATGTAAGCTGCATGACTGTGTGTGTTTAACTGGGGGATATCAGTGAGACAGCAGACGGTGAGCGCACTGTACTGAGCACGGCCTAAGGACAGAGTTTACAGCGACTTCACATTGCATTCTTTAGCAGATGTTAATAGGGGTGATTTAAGATGAGCATTATTAAATCTGTGTGACATTCTTTGCCCTTTTGATGATATTTATTCAGATTTGAGTTTGCTGCCATCACAATTACCAAATCAAATATTGTAAAAGATCACATTCTAAATACATGCAATAATAAAAGGACAATAATTAGCTGATTTGCAGATAAAGATTAGTGTTTCTCCATGAGTAGCAGCAAAATATAAAGACAAATAAATCACTTTAATTAGATGGCTCTGGACACTGAAGTTAAGATGAACACAGAAGAAATAATACAGATTTGCGGTCGTCACTGAATACAAACTCTTGTTCAATTTGCAGTGGGTTTACTCCCAGATTCTCAGGGTGGGAAAACTTTTGTTTGGCGCTTGAAAAGAAACAGGCTGCGCTTATTTGTGAATGAAGGGATTAGCTTGAACACTTCACCCCAACAAGGACCATGATCCTATCTGGTTGCCTAGACACATGGTTTTGTCTCTTAGGCAGCGTGAGAGCGTGGCTGGCTCCCACCTCTGCCGCGAAGAATAAGTGGCAGATGTATGAAGGCAGACCATGTAAAATCACATGAGCGTACACATCTTCTTACTGGAGATATGTTGAAATGGCATAACAAACTGAAACCGTCCTGATTTACCGACCCAATTGTGCATTTCGACAGGCAGCTCAGTAATATAACACACACAGTAAATGTTTGTATTTTCTGTTTCTTCCAGAAATTCTTTTAAGTAACTCATTATTCTCACTTTTAAGGCTCCCTCCCACTGAACACAATGCCCAGTCAACTCTGCAGTCTTTGAGGAATACCATTGATTACATGGTATTTGCCCCATTGAGGACCAAGGGTCAGGGGTCATCCTGTGCCTTAAAACCCAAATCCCAGGCCCATTGTCTGGTTAAGGGTGAGAAAGCAGGGGGCAATGACAGCCAACTTTAGGGCTTATTCTCTCATAAAGAAGCTCCTCTGCACTTATTACCAAAGCTTACTGGAAAACTCTACAACTGCAAATCCTTTTTGTTTGAAAAGTTAACAGAGCGCAGCGAGGCGAAATGCCACCACTAACGCACACAAACACTTCCTCGGCTCCAAAGGGTTTTTTTGTTTACACTTCAAGATATTATTTGTTATTTTTATTTTCAGCACCGCTTGCGCAGAATAAAACCAAAAACGACTCCTGAGCTGTTGTCAATGTGTGTCAACCTGAGATCAAGAGTGAGATGCTTGTGACAGAATATTTGTCACATTTCTTTACTCATGTTTCCGTATTGTTGGTGACAGAAGGATCAGGATATACATCTGTGAGAGTCTGCGAGTGTGTCAGGGAGTTAAGGTTTACCTGCACAAAGAGAAAGTGTCTTGTTAAACTTTCAGAGCAGACGGTACAAAGTATGCAGGCTGCATTATACCCAGAATTTACAATATATGATATTTAAGAAAGAAAGGGTGGTGAATTGATGATTAAAGTAGCTTTGAAGTATCTGCGAGGTGGATATTATGTTCAGTTTGTTGAGGATTGTCTGCCTGCAGCTTAACTAACCTGGACACATTGGAACAGAAAGCACTCCCCCTGCTGGCTGCAGAAAATATTACCAGACAAACTACTTAGAGGATCATGCAGACTGAAATTTGTGCTTTTTTATGTCTTCAGCCATTTTTCAGATAGATCATTATACAAACTCTTGTGTTGCTCGGTGCATAGAGAAGTTACTTCAGTGAATTCTGACTCAGGCAGAAAGTGAGGCTGGTTAGAGAGTGAAAGGATTTCCTCTGGTCAGCAGATAAGGGGAGAGGGGAAGGGGGTAGAGGTGTTGGGAACGGAGGATCTTTTGTCTCCAACTAAAATATTGTGATCTGTGGGTGAGAAAGGGCTTTGGTCATTAGGTGACAGCATAAAGACAGGGATTGCAGGAGTTGCATGAGGACCCTATGACTAATGGGCTTGGTCAATGAGGGCCAGGACCCTATTGTGTGCCCTTTGTGCTAAAGTCCGTAGGCTAAAGCCTCTGAACAGGTGCAGTTCATTCCAGCAGATCACCCCCATGCAGGATTGTTAAGATCAGGGAATGCCTTTCATCCTGTCTTCTTTCTGTTAATTATTAGAAATGATCAGCTCTATTAGTGTCGGGAGGATTTTGAATCTAGGTCCGAAAAAAAGGACAATAATTTCAATCAGGAGACTCTAATGCATCAATGCCAAATATTACTTATCCGTGAAATGTGAAGTCTAAAAAAAGCGTCTTGCTTTGTTTGGGCAAATTGTGATATGTGGATTAGTAAACAATACACAGTGGATGTCTCTGATTTATCCATGAAAACGTGAATTTGCTTCATTTGTTTCCCTTTCTCTCCGCTCTCAACAGGCTTGTCTGTTTACTTGATCGAACCTATAGCAAGTGTCTGACACTCTTCCCTCTTAGTATGAGTGTGCTGTATCCCTTTCCCTGCGTTAATTCCAATTTAATTGCCAGTTGCCTCAAGGCACTTCAATAACAGTAACAAATGATTTGATTTAGTGGACCTCATCAGACTGCATTTTAAATGCGACACAGCAACCCCACTTGAATTCCAATGAAGTGCTGGCACAGTCCTCTGTTTACTAATGATCCTCCGCTGGAGATGTCTGATTGAATCTGAGTCAGAAGCAATGGGACCTGCTAGCATTGTAAATGATCTGCAACCTGAGCAGACATAGAACTAAGGAGCTCATAATCTCACATTAAAGCCTCACTCTGTAGGACATGCACATTATGTCCAATACGGCTGATTAACTAGTCCCTCTGTCGCACCACAAATATGAATATACATCGATGTGAACGCCAGAGCAGATTTGAGAGCTGGCGTCCGCAGCCTGTAGATCAAGTGTTGACTGTATATTCTTCTTCACATACCCATTTTGACTTGAGCTACACTGCCAGCGTCTCCCTATCTGTATTCCTCCCCACACTTCGTGCAACAGGAAAGCAGCCCCAAAGAGATGCCAGGTCACACACAGGATTAAACTGGATTGTGTTTTTTCCTGCAGTCCTGCCTTTAATGGCTTGATATCACTACTTAACATTCTGCACAGAGCACATAGTGTAGGCATCATTTAGGGTGGAGCTACTATCAGCCGCTCTTTGAGCACACAGACAGAGGACTTCACAGGCTGGAGCTGACTCCTGATGGGGAATGAAGAGAATAATTACACATCTAACACACCAGGAAGGAGCCATTGATTGTGTGATTGGCATGCTGTGCATTGTGTGGGAAATTCTTAAAGAAAACAATGACTTTCATGGTTTAAAATAGAACGTATAAAGACTCACAGTTGAAAGTGCCTCTGGGCTTTTAGGGGAGTTAGTTTAGGTAGAGGCACTTGCTCTTTGAAAGAAGCTTTTCCCTCAGAGGACTCACACAAAGTTGAAGTGACCCAGTTTCCCCACTTAAGGCCCTGTCTGTGTATGGTACTGAAATAACTGTGTCTGTGTCTTGTGCGTTCTCCAGGGACTGACATGGCGGTGTTCTGTCTGCTGTGTGCGAAGCGCTTCCAGACCCAGAAGGCCCTGCAGCAGCACATGGAGGTCCATGCAGGCATGCACAGCTACATCTGTAGCCACTGTGAGCGACCCTTCCCCAGCCACACCACCCTCAAAAGACACTTGCGCTCGCACACGGGTGAGAGACAAATCAAATGCAGTATCATCGAAGTCTGTGGTGTTATTTCCTGTCGTAAAGCATAGACGTGTGGTGTTAAACGCATGAATATATTAGAGGAATGCTCTATTTAGAAATGGCTGTATTTATTTTGGTATATGGGTTAATTTCCTTAGGTAACTGGCTTTAAGGTTTTAGTCAATTTGCATGCATCCTCTCCCACCCTCTGTTCCCCTTCTCTATAAGATGACTCACCTCTCTGATGACAGCACTGTACCGTTATGGCCGGTGCATATTTTGGGCAATTTCATCCTGTTTATATTTTGGGTTCTTAGACAGCCTTTGGGCTTCTGCAATTCACGGCTGTCAGTTCTAGTGTGGTTCACCCAAAATGATAGAGGAAACCCAAATAAATATTGAAGGAAAAGCAAATGGAAATGACTTGTCTGTGTGTTCTACCGAGGGTGAGTCTCAGAGCCGCGGGAGACGGAGAGATATTTACTGAAAAGATGTCCCCCTTTCTTCCTTTACCTTAAATAACACTCCCAGCTGTCACGACGGCTTGATGTCTAGACAGGAGAAATACATAATTGATGTGAAGAGACAGAAGTGAAGGGAGTTTTGGCCATGGCAGCGTATCTTGTTTGTATGCCATTCTGCTTGGAAGTAACATTTTGTAAATGTCATCTGCTCCACAGTGGGGTGGGGGGATTGGGGAGAATCGGCCTGTAATGAGGAGAGCAATGTATCCTCTGACTTGGCTGTTGCTGTGGACACTGAGATAATGAGGCACATAGGTCATTGGAGATGAGTCAAATCCTCAGCCTAGGAGAGAAATAGATTAACTACTGTATAGAGAACAGAGCAGCACATGGCTTGAGGACTTTTATTAGCTATTAGCGGACAGCCAAGAGGAGTGTCCTCATGTCATAACATTAGCAACGTCTGAAATCACATAATTTTCCCGCTTGATATGCTTGTGCAAGAAAGAGCCTATTTGACCTATGCAGCTTCATATCCAAACCCTGTCGTGACAAGGATAAAGTAAGCTTGTAATGCCACGTCATGGTAACGGGCTGTGTTGGCTGTTGTTTTGACACGACTTTGTTTTCAGGCGATCACCCGTTTGAGTGTGAATTCTGCGGGAGCTGTTTCAGAGACGACGGCACACTGAGGGGCCATAAACGCATCCACACAGGAGAGAAGCCTTACGAGTGCAACGGCTGTGGGAAGAGGTTCAGCCTCAAACACCAGCTGGAAACACACTACCGAGTACATACAGGTAAGTTTTCAGAGTCACAAACACACAGAGACAAGTGGAAGATAATGAAATAAAAATAGATATGGCTGTTTTTTTTTTTTTTACTTTCAAAAAATCCCTTGAAGGAAACAAACCAGCAATGAAGTGTCAGGTGTCCCTTGTGCAGCCAAAAGTCTTCAAAGTCTTCTTCCCATAAATAAGCAACACTGTTGCGCACTGTTGTTATGATGAGCACACACACAGTAGTTCATTTTGACTCAATGGCAGACAAACTGTCATGCTGCTGTCAATATTATCTTGATATATATTCATGTGCAGCCTTTTTATTTTCCTATTACTGCTGTTTTAGTAACATGCTAAACAAATCATTGTCCAGATGTGTACGGTAAGTAAATGTATTTCTCCTTATGTATTTGAGAACTGACTTTAAGAGAAAATAACTGACTGGCTCAGGGCTTAAATGATGTGTGTAAAAAAAAGTCAGTAATTGTTCGAGTCAGAATAACATATTAATGGTTAATAAATAAATACAATTTTTTTTATTTAGTTTTAGGCTTAAGTGTGGAAATTTCTGAGTCAAGAAACTCAATTTATGATGAAGTGTTTTTCTTTATTAAACTGAGACTAAATACATGTAATTATTTTTTTTTTGAAAAGTAGTCGTTTAGCACCTTTTTAAAAAACGTATTTATGAAAGTGGAAACTAACAGAGAGCCAATAAATGTATAACTTTATATATAAACATAATAAGGTCACTAAATATGCTCTGTGCTGTGGTCACACAGAATCCTTGTATTTGTGGTGGATGACACTGACATACCTATATCGCTCTAATCCTCTACACACACACACACACACGCACACGCACGTGCACACACACACACACACACACACACACACACACACACACACACACACACACACACACACAATTGCACCACAACAAGAACAGTGGACTGTTATAGGGGCGAATCCTGTTTCACATGGCAGGCCTCTGGCTTCAGGTCTACAAGGTTAATGCTACATTGTTGAATTTTTCAGGTGAGAAGCCATTCGAGTGTAAGCTGTGTCACCAACGGTCTCGAGACTACTCGGCCATGATCAAGCACCTGCGCACACACAACGGAGCGTCTCCGTACCAGTGCACCATCTGCCAGGACTTCTGCCCTAGCCTGGCCGCCATGCAGAAGCACATGAAGGGCCACAAACCCGAGGACGTGCCGGCCGACTGGAGGATAGAAAAGACTTACCTGTACGTCTGTTACGTCTGAGCAGGACTTGGACTTGAGCACGGTGCGACACACAGGGCCACTGCTGGGTGAAAACCTCGCAACTCCCGTGTCCCTGATTTTTCAAGCTGAAAGATTACAAATGTTTGTCTGTGGGTTTAAAAAAGTACATCAGACTCTTTTTGTTCAACTTAAAAAAATGCATTGTGGGCTATTGTTGAAGTTGTCATTCTGGGAGATACAAGGTCTCTCTTGACAGCAGAGACATGCAAGCAATAATAAAATGTTGACACTAGGGCTGCACCAGTTTCTTTATCAATTAGATTATTTTTACTACTAAGTGATTCATCTGAAAAATGTCAGAAAACAGTCACACGTTTGTGTCAAGGTTTCATCTTCAAATTGCTATTTTTGTCGCACCAACAGTCCAGCCCAGTGAGATTCAGCTCACAGTGATACAAAACAGAGAGAAGCAGCGAAATCTCACATGTTAAGAAACAGGAAACTCAAAATATGTCTAATATGATTGACAGACAACAACGGTTTCCTAAGAAACACATGTTCTCCCTCCCTCACATGCACCGTTTGAATAAAACTGTAACTCTAATGGTTCCACTGTGGTAAGATTTCGAGCCACAATGGCTGCGACTGCTGACCTGTACGTGTTTTTGATTGATTGATTGCTAAAGCTGACAACATGAGTCATCTCAGTGATTGTGCACTAGATGTTGAAAATAATTCCATGAAGGCTTGACTGGCTGAACTTTGCAACACTTTATCTCCTAAATTCTTGTGACTTCGCAGTTTGTTTGTTTGTTTGTTTTTTCCATTGTTGGGCTTTTTTTATTTTGAAGTTGTTTACTTTCTGCATGTTTCACTTGAACGGCTGCCACGTTTTGACCTCATGAGCTTGATCTCTTTAATTGCCTTGTCTTTTTCTTGCCGTGGGTGATATTATTTCAAGGTAGCTGGCTTACAATTTGAGTTTTCTCCTGCAATCTAAGAGGTCTTGCTATTTATATGTTGTTTATTTGTTACCAAATACGTGCTGGTTTCTTCTTCACACACTTTGTGTCTCTCGGGATGATTTCTAGTGGAGCGAGCTCTACCTCCTCACTCTTCACTGTTTGTTTAACCTACTGCAAAGTATTCATCCATCTGTAGTTTTTTTTTTATTTCAAAGCAGATAAGTCATGATTATATGGTCAAACAGTGTGTAAAAAAAAAAAGCCTCAACATGGCTTGTATGTGTAGTTTTGTATCTTTAACTATATATAGATGTCTTATAAAATCACAAAATCAGAATTTTCTAGGAGAACATTGAAGAAAAAATGAAAAGTGTTTTTTTTTTTGTTTTTTTTTACAAACGCTGAGAAGAAAATTCTGACATTGAATCACTATGAGCAGGTAATTGTCAGTTATAGTGTAGCTGTAATGTACAAACTGTCATTGTATGTTATTCCCTTATGTGAGCCTAATACAGGCCTTATAGAACAAAACATGTTGTATTTTTGTATTACAGTAATTTGCTATCTGTTTACATTTGGTATGATTTGAGAAACATCTTAATGTGTGTGTTTTCTAAGTCTGATTCGATCAAGATCCCTCCCTCGTGCCTCTTTTATAAGTAGAGCATTGATGTGCTTGAGTACATGGGTCTGTGCTATTGGTAGTCGTTTCTGGGTGTTTGTTTATTGTTACTTATGTGATTAAAGATTAACTGCCATGTACGTCCACTTTGTCTGAACATGCAACTGGAGGCAACATACTGTGATATTGGCTGGTACTCTGAGACAAGTGTGTACACTTACAGCGAAATCTCGTGGAACTCGCATCAAATTGTTCCCTTCAAAGTGACAATGGACGCGGATCTTTGGATTTAAAAAAAAAAAAAAAAAAGTGTGTCTAGCAAATCTTGGCATCTGTGGGCATTAACACTGCCTTCCTATGAAGCCGACAACGCTCAGTGCCATGAAAACACACATTCACTGTATCTAATCTACATGAACATGCACTATAAATGGATTTCCTTGGTGGACCAAAAGAAATAGAGCACTTTTGTTTGAAAAGGGTTTTTTCTTTGATCTTTCTATGTTGTGATAATGCAGATGTCCTTTTATTTGATGTGTCCTAGAACGATGTGATTAGCATTGTTTAGATTATGTCAATGTCTGTCTACCTCAGGGCCAGATCAAAGCTCGACCTGGTGTCCAATCAGGGTTGTTCTTCTTGCCATGTGTGCAGTAAAATCCCTCTTCATTACAGCTTTGTAACACAGTGTGTGAAAGTGTTTTCTCAGTGTGGATTCAGGCACAACTCTGTATGCGTCAGTGTTCGGTGGCATGGTTAAAAAAAGAATAAAACAAGTTACTATTTTATGCATCCTGTCTCATTTGCCTCATGATTCTGCTGTCTGGATTCAATAATGAAACCCTGTTTGACACTGGTTCTCAACCTGTTTCTGTTAGATGTGCTCCCACAGCCCCCTACTGACGAAATCCCTACACTGACGCCACACGTCAATGGTAGAAATGTCTGCTTTCAATTTGACTTGTCATTGGATGTCATTGGACACAACTAACTATTTTTTTTTAAAAAGGATCCTTTTCTTTCTTTACCTTTATTTAACCAGGAAATTAACCCATTGAGATCCCTTTTTCACCAAGACCTGCAAGAGCACACGTCATGATGAATATGACATGATTAAGAGCAGACAACAATTAAAATGTGAAAACGGTTCTCAGATAAACTCAACAATAATTAAAATAATTAAAATTTAACAATAATTTAAATAAATTATCAATGTTTAGCGTAGGAAAATTGTTGGGCACTGGCAGGAACGTGATTGGTAAAATGTATTTTTAACAACATTTTGGACACATTAAGGATGACCCCTTTTTCTTTTTTTTAGCTTTATAAAGTTAATCCAAGGCTGAGCTTTACAAAAATAAAGTCAAAGAAAACAGATAAATAGCTAAGTAACAAAAGCAAAAGCACATATAATGTGAATTGAACCACAAGTGTATAGCTTGAGGATAACAAATTTTACATTTTGTCCTTAACTTAGGCTTTTTTAACATTTAAACTTCTATTTAATTCTAATATTACAATTAATTTATTTCCACTGTTTATCTTAAGTGTCTCCACCTAAAGCACTTGTGACTCTATTAGGTTTAGAAAACCATTTCCACCATTAATGTACCTTTTTCAGCTTTTAATTTACCCTATAACTTTTCAAGAAACCATTTAAAATTTTTAACCCATTATCCTCAGCCAACCATTGATATTTTATCCATGACCCTACATTAGCTTGAGTTTATGCATTTATATAATTTTCTTTTAAACAATTTTCCATTTCTTCTTGCAAACTATTTCAACAATTTAACCCTGAACGTAAGATAACTTTTGGTAACCATTTCCCCCACAACATTTATCCCTTATTATTCCCTTAACATCCATGTTCTTCAAGCAGACTCTCACCCATACATCCTTTAGCTAAAGCAAACCATTTAAGTTCCTCATTCAGATCTCTGATAAACGATCTAAACTACCTAAATGTTTCCTAACCTTTTCAACCCTTTTATCTGTTCATTTAGATAACCGCTGTCGTCCCTGCTGCTTGCCAACTACTTTTCAAGCAAATAAAATAGCAACACATGGTTTTCAGGCATCACAGCTGAAACAATAAGGGTCATTGTAGTTTCTAACTTTTCCAATTAGTCGAGTTTTGGTCTTTCTACATAGAGACAAAGACAAAGGGATATCTGTGTGAATTTTTTGACTCTATGATCCTAAATCACCCGTCGAATTTACTTTTACAGCCCTGCTGTAGCCCGCCATCGTCTGGACAAAGACAATACTGCTGATCCCTTTTAACGGTTTATTGGCTCCTGCCACAAACCTTCACAGTCTTAAGCTGTTTATAGAGTTTATGTGTCATCTGGGCTCTGAGCAAACAGCTGGATTTACTCCAGGCTCATGAGGTGACCTGTGATGGATCTCTGCCAGAGACACAGCTGGCTGTGTTTTATCCCAGATATAAAAGCAGCTAAGAAACAGAGTATCAGGTCTGCTGCTGCACCCTGCACCACACAGGGAAAGTGAAACTCTTAATTATAAGCACTGGCAGCATTTACTGTACGCTCCTTTGATGTCTGGGTGTTTTAGGTTTGCCTAATGCCGTTGGGATTCAGCAGGTTATCATGCGGGTGCAATGTGTTCCTTTACTTTTCTTTCCTATCGTCCTCATCTAACCATAAAGTTTCCCCTGAGTACACCGTGAATGTTTTATTGTGTAATCTATTTTCTAGCTGTGTGACTTAAACCATGTCAGCTAAATTCCAGCCTGCAGGCTTTACAGTTTCTCTCTGCAATGATCGAGCCTGTGTGTTTTTTTATTGCTCTGTTGTTCAGGCTCACAGTTTTGCCTCAGTGATCGTTTACAGTATATGACTGTGTTCAATCTTGCTGCTACTGAACAACAGTGTAAACATTGTGACCGTGTAAAGTATAACTAAAGCCTGGAGGGATGTCATGAAAGTGACCAGGTCGTCCGCTGTCTCTGGACACTTTCCTGCTCGTTCGGGGGCATTATATCAGAAAGTGGTTTCCAAGCTGTGAGTTAGGGCCCACCTGAGGTCAAAAGGCACAAATACAACGATTCTGCTGAATTGAAGTATGTACACTTATGTTACAGCATGTATGTTTGCAGTTTTCTAGTTGAATATAGAATAATATTACCACTTTGATTCTCTAAAAGAATGCATTTCAAAAACCCTTACAAGGAAAGAATAAGTAGTTTTTCTTGTAATGTTGTAGTCATTGGACAAAGTTGAGCACAGACATATTCCAGTCATTACATTATCACACGTTGCATAGCCTACATATGAAGCTGTTCATAAGTGGATGTCCGTTCATATTCTCTGATTTTAAATAGGTCACATGTCGGCTAAAAGAGGCAGGAGATACAGGCTGCCAAAGTCAAGCTCCTGAACTGGTTGGAAGAGAAAAGAAAAAAAAAGATTCTCTTTCTCCAGCTTCAAAGTCACAGCTTCAGATCTGCCCTTCTTAGAATTGAAAGAATTGACACGACTCAGGTTGCTACATTGATGAATTGAGAGACGACGCGCGAAAGAAGAAAAGAACATCAGGCGGCAATTTCAGAAGGAATAGCCTGTTTAATTTATTTTAAAATACAAGCTATCTGTGATTTTGAACACTGGTTTCCTCATTCGAAAACATTGTTAGAATAGTGAACGCTGACGTTGTCGCTGAACACGGTAAGATGATATTTGATGTGACTCTACTTAAAGGAATGTTACATACAGGCCTACATGAACTCAAACATGCTCCAATTTATGCCTTTTCAGATAAATAATAGAAAAATATAGGATAACAATAAACTTACCACAGGAATTAGCTTTTAAGATATGTCTTTTTGTTCTCTTTTTAGTCATGCATTAAGCATTACATACAGTACATACTCACTTATAGGCATAGACCAGATATAAACAGAGATAAGTTCCTTTGCAAATGTGTAATTTTATTATATATTAATGAATTGTTTTCAAAGAGCTAGTAAGATTATGAGGTCCATTATAACCCGACAGCTCTGTAAGATGCAGTATCAGTTACTCCCTGTTCAAGGACACTGAGAAAGTCAACAGCAAATTATAAGTCACTTCCAAATGCCCACACATTCCCCCAACTATCTGAACTGAAGTAAATCTTTCCAAGCCCTTCCTCCTTTAATTCCCTTATAAAAGGAATTCATTAAGCTTTGCGGTGAATTGTAATTTTGACTCTGCCAAAAAATGACAATCACCTCTGTAACCCCTGCACCTCTGATCACCCGCCCCGCCCTGTGTGCACGGCCACGCTCACTGGAGGAGCAGATTGAGCAGGAGCTGGTGTTAATGTAATCTCCTCTGTTTAATTAGAGGGAGCATGGTGGGCAGCTAAAGCAAACCACATTACCCACCATCTGCTGGGGAGCCGCTCTGCTCTTACCCTCTCTCTCCCTATCATTAGCCTCTACAAGACAAGACACCAACACATACATGACAGCTATTTATTCATCCTGCCACTTCCAATACAGACACCACTGCACCACTTTGCCATTTACTGCTACGAGGAGGTCACACTCAGGTTTAAACCTGTCACAAATGTATTGTGGTGTAATTATAATATGCTGCACGTCAAAACCAAAATTAAGATAGTTGTAAAATAATTAGACAATAAAAGCTACAAACAGTGCTTGCATAGTAGTGAAACAGCCATTTCTGCTTTAATAATTGCGACACCGCAACACATTCGAGATAATGGAGAAAAAATACCTATGAATAAATAACAATTAAATATCTTTTAAAGCAGCTTTTTCATTGATAACTTTCAACTGCTGTCAGACTCAAGTATAAATAAATCTTCACAGCCTTGCACGGTTGGTACACAGGTACATATACATATATAAGCATGTAACACAGGAAGAAACATACAACCAACAGGAAGAAACACATAAACAATCAAAGCAGCCAGTCAGCGTGGAAGCTTACTAAGAGCTTCAATAGCCAAGGGAAAAAAGCCCGGACCCTCTTCCAGGTCAGAGTCCTGTATCTCTGATCTAGCTGTCATGTATCACTCAATACATGACAGCTACTTAGCACTCATTTCTCAGGTGGCAGTCTTTATATTTCCACCACAAGAGGGCAGCATGCAACCACAGCTAGCACTTTTCCCAGACTGCAGGAGGACTCTAGGATTTACTGCTCTACTGAGGAGCAGAGCTCACCGGCAGCCAGTAGACCAGTGCAGATATTGAGAAGTGTGTGTGTGTGTGTGTGTGTGTGTGTGTGTGTGTGTGTGTGTGTGTGTGTGTGTGCATGCGCCTGTGTGCTGAGATAGATAGGGATAGATTATTGGCTCCTTCCTCACCCCCTGCTCTATTCTGACCTGGACAGTTTATATGGGGCTTTACCTCCTTTCACACACACACACACACACACACACACACACACACACACACACACACACACACACACACACACACACACACACACACACACACACACACACACACAAACCCTGCAGGTTGAAGACCAGTCTCGCTGCTGCATCGGTTTGATATTGCAGAAACAATACATATGTACATACATACATATATCTACATGTAGAAAGCCGACCATTATGCCTCCTTGGGTTACACGTTGCATGAGGGGCGTAAGGGGCCTAAGTATCCCCAATCAAATGGAAATCTGTGAGCACCATTTTTGAGTTGAGGCAAACCAGTAAATGTTCAACAAAAAAATACTTGAATGAATGTGCTGCTCTATTAGCCTCACACTGAGATGCGTGAAACCTTTACATTCACATCTGCAGGCAGTTTAAATGTAATTTTCTATAAAATAATTTATATGATTATTTTAGTAGCTGTCATTCACCTAGGCCCTTCTAAATTTCGCTGCATGTTATAAATGTCCATACACTCCTACTTACTTTCTTCTCTTCTGTTTTTTTCAGTGACTTCAAAAGCATTCCAAGCTTCAGAGACGTGATTGGTATGGTCACGGGCTGTGAGAGAAACCATCAACCTGCTCAAATGTTACACAAGGAGAGAAGTGCCCATGTTTTAGGCTTATGAAATGAATTAGTGTTGAACAATGTTTACAAAATAATATATAAATCCAACAGAACAGCAGTGTAGGGTATATAACACCAAAACAATGTTCTTGTTGTGTCTTGAAAGGTGAATGTCAGAGTCTCCTTCACATGTTCAGTGTTAAATGTTTGTTCGGGTTGTGATAAGCGCTGAAACCACACTATCAGAAGAAACCTGAGACACAGTGTTAATGTGTCAAGTACTTTACAAATGCAGTTTAGTGTGTTTGCTTAGAAAATTGGTATAATTGAATAAAATAAGCATCATCCATATGTAAAGTCGTATCCTTGCATGTTTTTTATTATTACTTTGAGTTGTTCTGGGTGACAATAAGGTTCATACAAATTTCAAATTTCCTAACCCTAGCTCACAAACATTTAACTCCACATTGTGGCTTCTACTCCCGTACTCTCTGTGTCTCTCTCTGTGTCTCTCACTCAAACACAGATTTCTTCTTTGTCATGCTGATATTTAATGACCACTCAGGCATGGAGGGTCAAAAGAGCCAAGGTCAAAGGTGAAATGAGTCCACACCGTTTCAGCAGCGTTTTACATGAGAATGTCTGAATATGGCTTTCCTTCACTGAGAATATCTCTGCAAACACACACAAACTCATTTAAGATCAGTGGACACCAGCATCATCAGCCCTGAACTCAGAGCAGCTCACACTAACATAGTTGCAGGAGTTGTATCAAATGAACTATCGTCATTTTCAGGAAGCCTGATTACCAATACCATATTGTTTTATAAAATAAGATGAAAAAAAACAAAACTTTTCATGACATATTTGTTTCTTTGTAAGCTGCTACTGTATGCTTCGAATTCCCTCATATCAATAAAGTATCTAGTTCTATCTATCTATCTATCTATCTATCTATCTATCTATTATCTATCTATCTATCTTTCAAAAAAACATAATCAGATCTCAAATCTGCTCATAATCTGTATAATTTGTTCTATCGGCAATGATTCAATAGTATGATATGTTTGCTGTAACCCTGTAGTTCAAAAACAAAGAAGTAGAAACGAGCGGATCAGACACAAGCTTTTATTTTCATAATCAGAAGCTCATGAAGCTCCAGCGAATGAGGCTAGAGGTCTGCAGCCTTTAGTCTCCAGCCTGGAGACTTCTAGCCTCATCTCGTCTCATGCCCTCTCACCTCACACACTCTCTAAATTGTTTGATGAAAAAAAATTTGACTTTCAAAATGTCAAAACATTTTAATGAATAAAATTTGACTTCAAAAAGGCCAAAGATTTTATATTTCAAATATATTTATTGAGTTTTCATCATATAAACACAAAATACAAAAAGAAAAAGAAGAATAATAAAACATAGAAAACACCAGGGTTGGGCAGTAATATTACACATTGCCACAAATGGTATAGAAATGTGCAGAACTAGTAAGACAAAAAGTCTCTGTGGCAGTGACAGTAATACCTGATAAAGCCCTTCCAACCCTCCCATCCCCAGCTGTAGGCCAAAGACTTTAACCAAAAAATTATGACTTCAAAAATGTCAAAAATGTTGTTGAAAAACATTTGACTTGAATTTCTCGACGTTTCACGAAACTGTTTTACTAAATTTCTCACAAATTTTCATGAGAAAATGTTGACTTCCAAAATGTCGAAAATTGTCATCAAAAAATTTTACTTCAAGAATGTCAAACATTTTCTTGAAAAAAATATTGAAAACTTTTATGAAAAAATTTTGACTGCAAAAATGTTGAAAAGTTTCACCAAAAAATGATGACTTCAAAACATAGACTGTAAAAAGGTCATTGAGTGAAGCTTTTTTTTTTTTTTTTAGAGCTCCCCCTGCTGACTGGCTGCAGTATAGGTCATAAGCCCCGCCTCCTCAATGATAACAGACGGGATGTTGGTCAAACTGCAGAGTTAAGATACTCGTCACATAATCTTTTTTCAAACCTAAACTCTGCTGTGATCATTAGTTATTATCACACTACACTGTGTTCAAATGCAAATTTTTCAGTTTAGTTTCTTTTAAATAAGTTATTTGAGGCTGAAAAAGGGGATTTTACGTCATAGTTGACGATGATTGACAGCTGCCGATCCTGCGTAGCTCTCTTTGGGAATAGCAAAACTACTAGGCCAACAGAGCAACAGTAACATTATGATGTCAATAATATGTTACTGATACTTTATCTCTTTATTTTAGTAAAGAATCGGAGGCGAAATCCTGATAAACTATGCTGGCTGTGCTTCATGATACTATAACTTTACTGTGCTCAAGGTCTCTTAAAGTAAAATAGAATATGTCCTGATGGTCTCACTGCCAACAATCTGATAAGTGAGGAGTCATCTGTTTTCTGTTTCTGGCTTCTTAATAAGAGGATGTGTAACTGTCACTTACACGTATTTTCACCACATTACTGACAGTTTCAAATGAGTTCAACATTAAAACACATTCACAACATGACTGGGGATTAGTAATAACTGCTGGTAGGAGTGAAAAAAATGTTGGGGAACGATACATTTGGATCATGTCTTTAATGCTCCTCTCTGCTCTGCAGCTGTGGGCTAATGACCGGCTCTGCTGAGAAGTCACGACCAACAACATCAAAACGGCCCAACTCTCAGGAAGGCCCACACATGGGTGAATCAGATTTAAATGACTTGGTGGGCTTGACTTTAGAAAAAGGGCAAAAGCTCTACACACTTTAAAAAAGAAGCTTCCCTCTGTTGTGTTCAGTTCAGCCCGACTGTGGGGTTTCACAGTACTGACTCAGAGGCTGCATCTGATGCTCAAGGCTTGGAAGCTGAGAGAGGCACATGCTCAGTGCTGAGATAAGAGATGAGCTGATCAAATCTCACAACACCAAACTGTGAGAGCGCTTCTCCCTCAGAGCAGAAAGAGATAGAAGCAGCTCCAAACTGAGCTGCTGCCAGCCTCTTCACAGCGGAGCCCGGGTTGTGCTGCATGAATACATGAATGAAAGTAGTCCACAGTTGAGGCGTCTGTGTGTGTCCCCCTGTGTGAGGTGACAGACCGGTTTGTTCTGGTCACATTTGCAGGAATGACTCATGATATTCAAATTTATAATGAGGGAGAGAAGACAGGCCAAAGTTTCTTAAGTCACTCATTTGGATGCGGTACCTTACTTTAACTTTAATACAACCTCCTGAGCTGGGAGAACATGATTAAACAAAATGCATGCCTCTTTTATAACATCACACATGGTTTGGCCCCTCCCCCACTCAGAGAGTTTTTAAGCATATACGACCAAATACACATCACTTAATGAGGGGTGTCTCAAGAGGGGATTGCATTAATCCTCCATAAGGAAGTGTGCTTTTAGTCAGTCGGCCTTTTCTGTTAAAGCCTCACGTGAATGGAACAACATCCCAACGGTTATCAGAGAGAGCAACACATATCGTTCATTTAGTTCACATCTGAAACACTGGCTAATTAATCACCACATCTGTCAGCACTGAACCTGTTCCGCTCGCTGCTGCCACCTTGTGTCTGGTTGTTGGTGAACGTGTCCTGTGTTTTTAATTAATGTGGCTGCATGCATTAGATATCTGTTGAGGTGAGCTTCAGGTATAGCTCACTCGATGTTTTGTATGTGGACTTTTTTAATTTGTACGTGTTTACTGTATACTAGTGTTACATTTTGTTGCTGCTCAATGCTGCTCCATGTCTGTCCTGCATGAGATGCATTTTTTTATATCAACCAAATGCTGCTTTATGTGTATCCTGCATGGTTCATGTATTTTCACCTGGCTGTTTACCTGTTTGCTTCATTACTGTCGTGATATTTCTATTTGTAGCTTTAAGCGATGTTTGAATTTGTTTCTTTTAGGGAGCCTTTTATAAAATCTGGCCAGGGACAACGGATGAAAATGATCCCTTTGGCTAACTCTGGCATATTTACAGAAATGTTTATTAATACGCAATGTCCCTGGGCAAAAAAAATAAAATAAAAAAATAAGTTCCAGTTAAGTGCTCTTTTACTTTCCAGGCTGTAGTTGGTAGTCTGGTGTTGTTGTGTGCTGCTGTCTTATGCAGTGAGAGGGTTGTTTAGCTGTATTTTGTCCACCTATTTATATTAGATGGAAATCTCAAAATCAATTAATAAATTATTGTTATTACTGATTATTTCATGGCTTGATCTGCAAAACATATATATTTTAAAAATAATGTATTTACTGTCAGATAATCAAGGTAAAAAATCAATAACAGTGCTCCTAAAGCCCCAGATGACATCATTTTTAATTGTCTTTTATCCTGATCACATATATAATTGATTTCATACGTGTAAGTGACAGTTACACATCCTCTTATTAAGAAGCCAGAAACAGAAAACATTTGGCTTGGTTTGCTTGATAAATGCTTTAAGATGACTCCTCACTTATCAGATTGTGGGCAGTGATGTTCCATCAATTATTTCAGCCCTGAATGTGACACAAAAACAAAAACAGCACCACAAACCACACAGCCTAAAACAATTTGTATTAAGTTCAATCATATTTTCTGTAACAGTTAGTCATTTGATGCTTCAGCCTGATAACCTCACAACTGATTTTGAATGAGTAAATATATTATTCATAGACACATAGTAACAAGTGAAAGCGAGATGACTGGTATTTGCCCTTAAAATCACAACACAGGGCGCGCCTGTTGCCTTGTGGTACGCGCCCTATGAATGGAGGCTGTGGTCTTTCGGGCGGGCGGCCCAGGTTTGAGTCGTGGCTCTTTCCCTGCATGTCGTTCCCAACACACTCTCTCTCTCTCTCCCTGATTTCTGACTACTAACTACCGAAAGCCTAAAAAAATCCTTTACAACCGAATTTACGTGTTGTGTCTTAAGTAAACCAAGGCTCTGCCCAATTAAGCAAGACGCAATTGTATTTGGGTTAACTGTAATCTGTGTATTGTTTAAAGTTATGTAAAAGCATGACAAGAGTTAAAAGGTAGAAATAGCTTTAAATTCTTCATGTTGATAATGTTTAATGCTTTTTATTGGAGCAATCGCATAAAAATAAACTCAAAGTTTGTGTTATATTGTTATTTTTTTACAACATGCATATCCCTGAAAAACAGCATGATTCCTTTTCCTCCAAAGGAATTCTTCTAACACAGAAAATCGTCTGAATGGTAGAAATATAAATCACTGTTTACCCTGCTGTCTGAGAAACAAATATGACCAGAAGAGGGAGACATCAAATCCCTGTGAAGACGCCCGTCCTCCTCCTGCTCGCTGCTCTGTTTGTCTCTGCTGCAGAACAATCGGGCCTTACACTAATATTGTCAAACATTATTAACCTCACAATGCTGGTGATAGAAAATTCAGCAATTGGCTCCATCACAAGCAATTTCCACCACTGCTGCAATGCTCATTACTCAGTGTTTGATTTCCAAATAATTCCTTATGACACCTGTTAGATGAGCCAAATAGATGTGGGGCCATTTCTTGGAGTCAGACCTGACAGTCAGACAAGGAGGAATTTTCTTCCTGGCAGGTTGTTCCCTTCACCTGCTCTCTGGCTAATCCCACATCACACATGCGGGAAAATACATAAATAACCTTTGTGTCAATATTCTTTTATCTAAACGGATTGAATTAGTCATTTATTTTCAATGTAAATTCATTTTTTGCCTCTGAGTGCTGCTGTGAAGACATTCTTTCATCTCTTTAAAGCAGTTTTCTCACCATTTCCAAAGCGTATGCCCTTCCTGGTTAATTATTCTTTCTATTTTTAGAGCTAATGATACCTTCATGAAAGTACCAAAGCCACCTTTTCTACAGAAATTATAAAAAAGAAGATATTTGAAATGAAAAAAGAGAAAACACTCTAGAGTGTGATCTGGTTGAAAGAGTGCGGACAGTGGAGAAAGTCTCGTCTTTCAGCAGCAGACCGAGAGACTTCATTTTGTTCCTGAGTGTTGAGAGGTGATAGCTTTGGATTCCAAATGACGGGATGGACGTGAGGCTTTTCAACAATCTGCAATAATGACCTTTTCTCAGAAGCTACAAACTGTCAGGTAATGACGCATCTCAGGCTAAAAAATGGACACTCTTTTGGCACAGGTAAAAAGTGTTACCTGGCAACCCGCAGTGTCCTATCAGTAGTCAGTGAGGAGATACTCTGGAGATGCTCGTCCTACCTACAAAGACCTGGTTCAGCCTGCTTTCTACAGGCCCCATGACCCCCCTGCACAAACAACAGCCTCATTCTCTGCACCTCTGCTGACCTCATTGTCTCTTTGTGAAGGGAAAGTCCAGAGTTGCATTCTGTTAAATGGCAAATGGTGCATCAACGTCGAGCGGGACAGACCTCTCTACCTCTGGCACAGGCCTACAGATGAGCACGGACACTCCTGCCTTTTCTTCAGGACTGTACGAAAGGAAAAAATGGTAAATACTCACTACACCTTGCTCTAGATGTCTAGCGTATGCAAAGACACCTACCTCATAATTTCACCTTCACTTGCACCCTTCAAACTTTCAGTAACAGCTGCTCTTTACACCTGTCAAATGCATCTGTCACATTTACAGTTAGATTTTTTATGTGCATCTTGGGAACTTCGCTACACAGCTGTATGCATTTCAAGATTGCGTTTTACAATATGCAACTCTTGCCTATTCACAATCTGAAATGACATGTTTAGCTACACTGGCGCACTGCAGTAACACAAGAGAGAGCAGATGGCATTGCATTTATTTTGATGGATTTTTATACTTCTATTGTATAATACCAAGTCTGCATTTCACAGTTACGGGGGGCTTTATTATAATTACTGTAATACTCTACAATATGTTGCTTATAGAACCAGCTGCTCCTTGGAGAGTAAGCCTAACAAAAACACGCACACAATCACAAACACACATGCACACACCGGAGAGATTATAGTTTTCTGAAAACACTAACAGAAAATGTGTTCCAACCTTTGAATTGAAACATGTTGTACAAGATGCAATAACAGACACAGCAGGGCTTCACTGTGAGGAAATATGTGATGCACACACCTGTGCACATCTGACTCCTTACATACAGGCTGCCCAGTGGTGGCTTACATGCAGTAATACCTTGCTCTGTGTCAGAGGAGCAGATGGTCAGCAGGTAGCTTTTGTATCAAACTTTTCCAAATGTCTGAAACACTAACTGTACTTCACACAGAGTCTTGATGGAGATGCACTATCAGTGATCGAGAACCCGGCGGCTGTCAGCCATTCTTTTCCATCAGAGAAAACAGTCGGAGACGCAGCGACCAGAGGAGTGCAGGGCTGGTTTAAAGGGATTCATTCAACAACACACGGTGAGCTCCAGTGATCCAGTTCAGAAAAAATGACACAAGATATTAAATCATGCTGAAACATGCCTAGACTAAGTCCATCACCAGTGAACTGTTAAGCAGTTCTGTCTTCTAAATAGAGATGCTCAGATATCATTCTCTCCTCTATCATACATATTTACATACCTAGACCAGAATATCAGGCGATATGCAATATCCATGCCATACCAGCAGGCTATAGACTTTTGGAAAAACACAAATTGATGACATTTTGCAAGCTTTGACAAACGTTATACCCCATACCAGCACTGCACTGCTGTCGTTTGTCACCATCACATCATAATTTACATGAAACCTAATGTTTGGGGGGAAATAACAAGTTATGGTGCATGATCGCTGCATGACTTGTGTACTTGCTGTCACCGTTTGAAGCGGAATCAGAGGCCAGAACTGATACTCACGATATCACATCTTTAACAACTCTAACAGTTCCTTTTTACTCTTTAGTGCCATTCATGTATGGACTAAAGTTAATAACGTCCCTGGCCTGTTCTGTCTCTGTGCTGTGTCTGTGAACTTTCTAAGTAACAGCTGACATTTAACAATTGTCTTCAGATCCTATCTGGGATCAGAAGGCTTTAACTCCAGGCTTAATTGTTGCTATAGCTCACAGGCTGTTGAGGCTGCTGGCAGCTGTGTGTGCAGTTGGACTCCTGGGAGGCTTGGCTGTAGGTGTCTGGTTTCTAGGTGAGTCATTGTGTTGAGAAAGAACCCCTAAATTAGTTTAACAGTAACCGGGAAATGGAGACGAATGTGCAAAATGCCTCGTTCGAGCCACTTAGCTGCTGCAGACTGTATTTTCAGGTCACTGCCGCTCTATTATACAGCAGGGCCGGACTGGATATTTTAGGATGATTTAAAATCAGATGTTGGAAGTTTTGGTAAAATGTAATATGAGACTGAAACTAACAATTTTGGTTTCTGCTAGCTAATCTTACCATAAATTGCTTACTAAGAAAACTGATAAATATGTATTCTCAATTTAGGAAGAGGAACAGCAACAAATTGTGTTCAGTGTTTGCCAGTTTTGCCTGATAAATCAAGGAAACTGTTCACAGATGACCAAAATATTCACAACTGCAGCTCTCACAGTATAATTATAATTATATATAAATATATAAATTTTCCGATATTAATTGACTTTATCTTCGAAAAGGTTTCATTAGTCAGGGCCCTCTGGTTGTTAAATTATGTAAAGGTTTTCATGATTTAAAAAAAAATATATTTAACTCCAGCCAGGTCCATATGTCAGTGGATATTAGAAGATATCCAACACGTCTGGATATCTTAATTAATTTAATTAAGTTAATTAAATGTTGGTGTGAAATTTTTGCTTGTCAGTCTCATATGTTCGCCAATGTATAGAAGTCCAGTCCTCTTTTTTTGTCCCCCTTTCAGACCTGGAAGAAAGATTTGTGAAACAGTTAATAAATGAATTAAGTGTATTGTTTTAGAGGATATGGAAATATTTGATTAAATCTTGTAAAAGAGTATTGCTCAAGATTCTGCCCATGATCTGATAGCATTTAGTTAAACTGAACACTTTATCTTTCAGTTTCACTGGCTAATTACAAGTGTGATTACCAACATCCTTATCTACAGTAAAATTCCTTCTGAAGCCTTCCTACTCACAAAGTCCTGTGGGGCTGGGGGACACAAAGGAGACGCCTTTCTGCAACGTGACAGAGGATATTTCCACCTCTGACCCGAGGAAAGGTCTGTGTTTCCTCCTCTTTCTGCTGTTTGTTTTGATTCTCTCTTTCATAACTTAGCCAACAGGGCTGCACATTTTGATGCAATTCTTCATGCTGGGTCATGGTTCACCTCTGGAGTGATTTCAAGATGATCAGAGGCACAATTACCATTCAGCAGCTGCTTCTTGTTGCCTTTTGTTTGCTCTTGAGATGTGCCCATTGGCTCACATGAAAACATCACAAATAATGATCTGTTAGTACTGACTGCATTAGCATAGATTCATGTGTTTTTTTTTTTCCTGAATCATTTCCCACTGCCTCAGAAGAGGCTTGTTCATTACTGTTTACTGAGAGCTCGTCTCTGGAGCGATTTTCAATCAATCAGGTTCAGTGTTTTACAGAATCAGCGCAGAGAACTCTCTCCTGGAGATCCAGCTGGGGAAGCTTCCCACCTGGCTGCCTGTGTGCTATGAGAGGTGGAACTCCTCGCTTGGGACGCTGGTCTGCAGACAGCTGGGTTATCTGAGGTCCTGACAGCCTCACACACCACCTCTGCTCTTAAAAATGATTGAAACTGGAGCACCCACTCACTTAGGATATTTAATCTTAGCCTTCTTTGCCAAGGTTGAAGGCTTGGCTTATATATGATCTGCCAATACCTCATTTGCAATCTCTCTTCACACGCTATGAGTCTGAATTATCTTAATACTCTTTTCCACCCATTTTGAATATTTTCTCTTCAGACTGACCAAGCATAAAGGAGTGAATCTCACTGATATCGGGCCAAACTACACTAATGGCTTTATACAAATTACCTCAGAACACAAGAGGAATCTGGAAAATATATGGCAACTCAGGTAAGGCAATTTGTCAGGGGACATCATACTCATAATGATGAAGAGAAAATTGTGGCTACCAGCTCATTAATTATGCATCATTAATTTCTCTATTTATTTTCATTTAGGGGAAGCTGTAACACAGGGAAGGTTATCGCTTTGCAGTGTTTTGGTGAGCAAATTAAAGTTAACTTTTTGTTTGACTTTGCACCCAACACCCAGTCCTGTAGTCCTTATTTATAACACTTCAGAAAAAGCTGCAGAGAGTGAATGATGCTGGTTGCTGCAAGCGCTCCAGCCCCCTTTTTTGATGAATGGATCTCTGTGCAGAGTGCGGGACCCGAGCAAAGCTGCCCAGGATAATCGGGGGAGTGGAGGCCACGCTGGGCAGGTGGCCGTGGCAGGTCAGTCTGTACTACAGCAACCGTCACACCTGCGGAGGCTCCATCATCACCAGTCAATGGGTAGTCACAGCCGCCCATTGTGTGCACAAGTAAGCCAGCTGACCTTACCAGTGCTAAACATCCAGGGTTACAGATTCTCTGAGAAGGGGAATAATCACTCATTAACAGCTGCAGCACACTGGACACATGACAGCGCTCTCTTATCAGTGTCTGCCTCCTTTTTCTTTTTTTCTTTTCTTATCTGAAATGTCAGTTACAGACTACCTCAGGTGTCCAGCTGGGTGGTCTACGCCGGTATCATCACCCGCAGCTCAGCTAAAATGGCCCAACACACTGGACACGCTGTAGAAAAATCATCTTCAACAAGAACTACAACCACAGGAGCCACGACAACGACATAGCCCTGATCAAACTGCAGACACCTCTAAATTTCTCAGGTCTGACTTTGAGCTTCGCACACAAAGTATGAACTCAGACAGCAGCACTCCAAAAACACTGAAAAATTCAACACTCCGACCTGAGTTCACATCTAATTTTCTTATTCTGACGCATTTTAGCAGACAAGCCGTCATCCGACCACTGCAAAGGTGTATTACTGCTCTTTTTGAAAATCAAAAAACGATTACTGCTCTGTCTCAAGTTGAACTCAAATCTGCAGCCATGTCGCCCAGTGAAAAACGCTTCCATTAAAACAATACGAACATATCTTGCAACACAACACTTAAACCCTCTTTTCAAGCACAACATAAACAAAAACAATGCTTGTGTTTGAATGCTTTACACTCCTGTAAGACATTTTTAAAACAAATTAAAACTGATGCCTTTACAGTATATGACCTACTAAAGCAAATGAGCCAATTATTGACAATGAGTGGTACATTTGAGTGCTAAAAGAAAGCAGGAAAAGAACTGTGTCAGGAATTTCTACCTACAAATGCGGTATGAAATCAGCGGTGATAGAGGACATACCGCTTTGTCCGATGGGGGCGCAAAAAAAAAAGGACACAGAATATAAATTCACAGGAGCTTTAAACTGAGATTTAGTATTTAGCATGGATTGGCAGCAGATGAACAGCATTTAAGAGTGAGATTATGTGTATTAATCAGTCTGCAGAGTAATCGTCAAACATTTGTGGGAAGCTGTAAAATACTATGTGGTACAACTAAATATGATACGTAAACCCAGTCCAAGTTGAACTAGAAAGAGTCTAAAGGCTCGGATAGAATAAGACACAAAAATCATCCAGTGCCTTTTCATAAACATGTTAATGTACCTCTTTGTCATGAAGTCACATAAAGATGGAGAGGAGAACTCGTAAGGACTTTGGTGCGTGGGGGTGGTTTGTTTCTATAAACCGCCTAATGGTGCGTTTCTTTTCTGTGAATGCAGAGAAGCAATGAAAACTTCTTTCCTCTTTAAAGGACAGTAAATCAAAAGATGCATCTTCCCTAAGAAAGAAAACTATTCGACCAGCTCATCATCATGGCTGCCACTCAGATATCCTAGGTCATTTCATTTAGTTCTAACCTTCCAAAGCTATATATTTAAGCATAGCCCATTACACAATAGGCACACAATTAGAATAGTGTGTGTATGCCTCTCAAACAATGCAGATGAAAAGGCTTTATAACTATGAACATGATTTGAATGAAAAAAGGGTTTGAACATGATAATTACATTTAAATGATAATGCTCCAACCTGCAAGAATTATAAATGAATACCCTTTCCCCCTCCCCCTTTAATTAGATACAATTAGGCCCGTGTGCTTGCCTCAGTATGACTCTGACCTTCCAGGAGGTACACAATGCTGGATCTCAGGATGGGGATACACACAACCTGAGGGGGGTGAGATGCTTCCGCACTGCTCTAAAACTAATTCACATCTGATTCACAGAAGTTGTGCAGTGTGCAGCGTATTGAAAAAGTACTGTGTTTTTATCTCTCAGTTCACTCACCTGACACCCTAAAAGAAGCTCCTGTTCCCATTATAAGCACGAAGAAGTGTAACAGCTCCTGCATGTACAACGGAGAGATCACACCGCGCATGCTCTGCGCAGGGTACCTGGAGGGAAAAGTGGATGCATGTCAGGTAAGATGCATGCACATAGCAGCACTTCTGCTAAGGTGTTGTTAAGATTAATTCTGTAAAATTTGTGTACGGTCAAATGGTGGCATGATGACAGCTGGGTGAGGGTGTTTTCAGTCGTGTTTCTGTGTACCTCTCCAGGGGGACAGCGGGGGTCCTCTAGTCTGCCAGGATGAAAATGTGTGGAGGCTGGTCGGGGTCGTCAGCTGGGGGACAGGCTGTGCTGAACCCAACCATCCTGGAGTTTACACCAAAGTCGCTGAATTCTTGGGCTGGATCTACGACATGATAGAGGTAAACAGACATTCTATGCTAGAAAGAGACCAAATATTTGTTCAGTGCAGCTGTACTTTGATTGACCTACTGTATATAGGAAATTGCAATGCCTGCTACTACCCTACCTCTCTGTATTCAGAGGTAATACACAACATTGTTTTATTTAAGGAAAACAAAATGAAAACCCTTTCATATCAGAAGCTGTAACAAGAATGTTTGGCATTAGCTTTAAAATGTTTCTTTGGATCAACTGCGCTATACGTTTAAATTCAGCTTGATTTCTCCAACATTAAAAAGCTGCTTAGGCAGACATTAAATACAACATTAATTATAAATATGATTCAATTCTACTACATGCTGAAGGGTCATACTACTGCTTAATGATTGTTTTTATTTCAATACTGTAGGCTATCTTTTACTGAGTGAAACATTACAACTTTTATGTCAGAAATTCAAAAATATCCCAGTTTTTATTAATCCACACAGTAATTATCATGATTGTTATAATACCAGCAACAGATGGGAATTGTAGTGTGCACAATGGAGTGCAAGTGCAGTTTCACTCTGATTGCTTATAATTACTGATTATCTTTGCAGAATTACTGAGAAGGGCAAACGGAGCACAACAAGCATGCAACGGATTCTACTGTTGGAGACAACTGGAAATTTACAGTTTTTTTTTAATTTTATGTCAGTTATTTCATGTAAACTTTAACACAGACTGTAGACATCTAAATGCATGTTTACGTTACATTTTTCATGTATTTAATATAAACGATGCATCTGAAAATGTGTGCAGTGTGATTATTGAGCTGCATCTCTGCTGTTCACCACCAGGTGGCATCGGTGGAACGTTTCCGCTCATCTAGTTTCCATGGCAACACACAACATTAACTTACCTGGCATTAGTTGATACTAATATCCCAAATATTGACGTTCGTTTGTGTCTGAATTAGCTGGATATATTTGGATATTTAGAGCATTTAAAAAAAGCAACAATCTTCAGTAACACTGTGGAACAGCTGGTTCTCAAACCTTAACTCACAAACACAGCTTGTAACAGTTAGTTAGCTCTAGTGTTTGCTAAATTCAGGGATAGACACTCACCTGACGATGTCCAACACTTGCAGTGGAGAGGATGCTTTACTGTCGGTTAATCAGTTCTGGTCAATGCTGGATGATCTTTCTCAAAATGACCCTGCATCTTACCGCAAGTTTATAGAGAAAAACGTGAAGGAAGGAGCTGCATTCAGCGCACCGCCTGAGCTCGACTCTTGTTTGCACACGGACATAGAGGTAAGTTTGCAGGCAGCAGCTCAACACTTTTGCAATAGAGCCTGCAGGCTACAGACATTTTACACAACAGCGGGGAAAGCACAGGGGAGACACACAAATAAAGGGTCGGTTTCCTGAGGTGTTGCTGCAGATTTTGTGACCAGTATGGAAGCTCATTTCCGCCAGTTAAAAAAAATATAAATGAAAATAATAAAGTGGCATAATTTCAATTTATCTCATTATTTTGACTTATCTCATTATTATGACTTTATATCTCATAATTTCGACTTTTTATCTCATAATTTTGACTCTATATCTCGTTATTATGACTTTATATCTCATTATTTTGACTTTTTAATCTCATAATTTTGACTTTATATCTCATTATTATGATTTAGCTCATTATTTTGACTTTATATCTCATTATTATGACTTAGCTCATTATTATGACTTTATATCTCATTATTTTGACTTTTTAATCTCATAATTTTGACTTTATATCTCATTATTATGACTTAGCTCATTATTTTGACTTTATATCTCATTATTTTGACTTTTTAATCTCATAATTTTGACTTTATATCTCATAATTTTGACTTAGCTCATTATTATGACTTTATATCTCATAATTTCGACTTTATATCTAATTATTTTGACTTTTTATCTCATTATTTTGACTTTATTATTTCATTTTTATTTTTTTAACTGGCGGAAATGGGCTTCCACAGACCAGAGATTCTACAACCCAAAAAATATTCCTCTTGTGTTTTACCTGCAGTTAATCCTGAAGCATATCATAATCAAATACAGGATTTGGGACTACAATAAGGGAAATATGTAAAAAAAAAAAAAAAATGTAATTGGTATAAAAAAATAGGAAGCCTTTAACACCAGGCCCTGGCACTGGCATAATAATATTTCAGCCATTAGCGATGCTACACCTTATTTATAGGTATAGGCCTATAAAAAGTGTTCTGTAGTTGAAGACCAATAAAGTAATTCCGTAATTATGTTGACTGACTGAACCCAGATTTATTAGGTTGTTTTTTGCTTTCCTTTTAGCTAAAAATCCTAATAAATGTTTGGGTTGATTACAGAATAAATTGTTATGGCTCTACTGTCAAGCCCTTAACAGAGAACATCTAATGTATATAACACACAGTTAAGCTGCCACACCTTTTTTTATTTGAAAGGTTAGAGTAAGGGTGTGTTTTGACAGGTTTTTCTGACCGAGGGTACATCTGTGTCCACAACAGGGGCCCAAGAAAGGGTCGTTGTATATCAACATATGCAGCTGGAAACGTGTGCCTGCTCCTCAGGATCCCAGCAGGCCTGTACCTGTGTGCTCAGGAAAATTGGAAACACACACAAATGAAGGTCAGGCAAAAGACAAAGCTGTGCTGCCTTACAAGCAGAAAAAAACATTTGCTTACTTTGTATTACATTTCTTACTTTATGAAATCAAGGATGCTAATAAATGGTGTATTTTGCTTTGCAGGTTGTGACACCGTGTTGGATGTGATGTTTAACCCTGCAGTGCTACAGGAAAGTCATAAAGACAAAGCAGAAATCTATTTGCTTGCCTTGAGCTTTGCGGAGCAGCACCATGGGTTGAAATTATCTCGGCAATATGAAGTCGTCAGCTGTAGCCCAAAAAGTAGCCCAAATGACTTGCACCGCCGACTCGGGTTTAGCCAGTGGCCTAACAACTCCAAACAACAAGACACAGGTAGAGCAGTAAATCCTATACCCTCTAAATTAGCCACAGACCATTTATGTTTGAGCTCTGTTCTTTCAGCTGCAGGTGTATTAACATGAACTTACTTCTGTCCACGTTCTAATAATCCAGAGTAGGGCTGGGCGATATAGCGAGTTTTTAAGATATATCGATATTTTCAATCGAGATAAAGGGTAAGACAATATCGTTAATATCGATATAGTTCACGTTGCATTAAAATAACGTTATATACGTCTTCGGTAGAGCTGCCAGTTCACCTATTTCTCATGTCACTGTCTCTCCCTCTTCACTCTGCTCCTCTCTCTCTATCTCTGAGCCAAACTCAGCAAACTAAATGGTTAACAAAACACACAACTGTGTTTACTTTGTTATGCAGAAAATTAATTAACTTCACTAACAGGTATTTTATTTTCATGTACATGTTGAACTTGTGCAACTGACTGTTAATAAAAGACATATCGATATATATCGAGTATTGCCATTCAGTGAAAAAATATTGAGACATTAGTTTTGGTCCATATCGCCCAGCCCTAATCCAGAGTGTTCCTTTCCACAGCTACTCAGACCCCAGCTGCCCTTTTGCAGCAGATCTCCTCTCTACGCTCAGAGACACAAGACCAGCAGCCAGTGGCCCAAATTATCCCCAAAGCTGCAGAGCACAAAAGGAAGGATTTGATCCAGGTCATCTCCTCCACATTTGTGCAGCCTCAGAAGCCAGACTACCAACTCGAGGTGAAGAATGATACAGCGGGAGTTCCTCGCAGCGTGGAATTGACAGTGGAGCTGCCAAAGGTTTCCTCCATGTCAGAATGCCAGCTGAGTATCTCGAAGGTTAGCACTTGCACACTCCCCTGAACAGTTATAATGAACCTTTTTAATGATACAACGTGTGTCGATGCGTAGTTGGGTGTCATAAAGAATATTTCTTTGGCATGTTTCTGCATTTCTCAGTCCCACAGTGTCATGACTTTTATTCTCTGCAGGACGACGTCTTACTGGAAGTGGAGGATGTCTACTATTTACACGTGGATTTCCCAAAAATTGTAAATGAAGACACAGCGTCCGCCATCTTTGACAAGAAGAAAAGAAGGCTTACTATGAGAGTAGATGCTTTAGAACCCTAATTGAGAAACATATTTACATGATTTAGACCTCTTGGAAACAGGCTGATAAAGATTTCTGATGATGAAGGTACCTCAAGAGTCCTTGCTATGCAATTTAAAATGCCTTGTGAAAAGATTTAAGTATGAAGAGACCATGCTTACCCTCTTCAGGTAACAAACAAACCTTTTAAGGCATTCTGTAAGCTGATCCTTCCCCGTAACCAAAATGCAGTTTTTTTAAATAAATGAATGTTTCACTGTGCTCATTTATGCTGTGTGGGTTGATGTGCAGCGGCAAATGTAATTCCTTACCCTAAAAACATTAATTGAGTTTAACGACAATCAGCAGCGTTTGTTTACTTTTGTGTGGGTGTAGGAGTGGAGGAGCATAATAGCTAGGTGCTGGTGTACAGTGTCATTACGGCGTGTACAGGGAGTAATTGACAACAAAATTATGCATGCAATAATTCATGTTTATTAAAACATCAAAATTGATACAGAACAACAACATCACTATTTGGCAATCTGGAACATGTGGCAAATGTCAGCAAACACCTTTGTGTTAAGGTTTGTATATTATGCATTGGTTACAGCTTTTTAGTGAGCAGCATATATTTGTTCTTATTGTTTCTGTAAATCGTATTATGGTTCTTTTTTCAAACCAGTATCATAATACTGACCATTAATGGGTAGTCCCATTTATTAATTTATGTGCTGCAAACAATGTCTAATATCCATTCCTTAAATAAATAAAAGTATGACCCCCCCCCCCTTTCTAGTCAAATTCTTCATTTGAAACATTCATTTTTTAAACTTTTTTGTTGTATAGAAATGGTGTTCCATCTATTGGTCCCAGTGTAGTGTATAACTTTACTCTTTTTATGGCATCACAAGTATTTTCAGTGGAATCCTGGTCCAGTGAGAACTACTGAGGTTTGTAGTGGTGATCTCTGGTTTTCAGCTCTACCTCCTCTCTCCGTGGTCCTCCTCCACCCATGCTACAATCTTTCCCTCCCAGCCAGGCACGACTGCGCCGTCCTGGAAGACCTGAATGGCAAACATTGTACATTTACATTTCCCCAAGAAAAACTTGCATCTATTATGTACAGCGGTGCGGACAGTGTTATTGAATTCTCTGAGATGGAAATGAGGCCTCCTGCAGTGTTTTGAAGTACTGTGCAGCCACAGCTATTATTAGCATATCCTGCTCTATAAATGGCATTTCATATTTGGCTGCAGAGGCTGATGTGAAAAGAAGTAGGGGCTGTAATTTCACTCCCACGCCTACCTCCTCCTTCACAGTGCCAAACTCTGGGTCGAGGGCCTTGAAGTGGTATCTGAAACTGCCTTGTCTGTCCACAGCAGCCTTGAAGTCTCGCAGTGTCACCTCACCCAGCCTGCGAAAGCACAGTGTCAGTCATAATCTCTGCCCACACGCACCCACATTGACATTAAGCTTGTCTTTGATTGACATCTAACCAGCAAAGATATCATAGCATGTACATGTAGCTTTAGTCATGCCAGAATAAATCCACGTTTTCCTTTGTTTGTTTGTTTAAAATCAGTGCATGAAATAAAACGAGAATAATCACTGACGACAGCAATAAATGAACCATCGAATGTTTATTGTCACCTTTTTGGGATGTTGATCAGAAACGGTGTGAGCGAGCGATCTGTGAAGTAGAGCACTTTAGTGGAGACGGCCGTGTCCAACCCTGGGCTGCTGTGCGAGTGGGCCATTTCTGGGAATGAAAACAAAAAACGGCAAACACTGTTTTAAAAACAAGAGTTTGAAATAGCTCCATCCTCACAGCCAGTGATGCCCTCTCCACACACAGCAGCATGATTGAATGGCACAATTTGATTTAACAGCCAGACTAGTAGTGATACTGCAGACGATGACAAACACCAAACAAAACAAAGACATTATTTGTCTCACTTGAGCTCGGAGGCCAGGATTCACGGTCTGTGGAGTTTGCTCTGCGTCCTGGAGATTTCAATTCCTCCTGGAAGCAGAAAGAAACACTCATGCAAAACAGCCAAACGTAGTCTGCTGCTGACTCATCGTTCATGAGGTGACAGCTGTGATGATGCACTCTGAAAGTGTGTAGCTGCGTACCCCTCTATCATGTCTACGCTGGGCGTCCACAGAGTGTAAACGGTCCATGAGACTGGCCACGCCCTGCTCCAGTGTGTCCAGTGTGTGATGTTGGGGATCATGGCCAGAAAAGTTGTCCCTCAAACTACGCAGAGCCTCCCTGACCAGCTGCAGCTCCTCCCCCTGTGAAACAGCGTCTTGATAGTCATACATTTATAGAAATGTGGATTGTTTTCTTTAAATTAGTATAATACTTTCAACAAGAAAATAGATTAAAAGGCATTTTACAATGAAATAAAAGAGTGTACATACTGGTGCACTATGTTGGAATGCTGCAGGTGAAGTTGAAGCCACTGAGTTACTGTAACCACCACTTTCACTCCTAAATGACTGCAAAAGAAATAGTAATGTAAACATCTAAATAGGGGCAGCTGATTTCTTTTGTATGTTATTTGCCTTCTGAACATGTTTTGTTAAAGGTACTTGAAATAAGTCTTGATCTGTACCCGTCCTCTGCCGACTTCATGCGCTTTATGTTGAGCCTCATCAAGCTTCTGCTGCTGCTGCTGCAGTATTCTGTCTTTCCTCCCAAGTTGCTGCTGTTGTGACAAGAAACATTTGGATCACAGAAGTGTGTGCATATATTTATGTATCAAGAGAAGGCACCGGCGCGTAAATAATTAAAGACGATACCTCATATTCACTGAGGAATTTGTTCCTTTCGCTCAGCTTGTGTTTCAGCTCTGCCTGCAAACAGAAAAAAATCAGCATGATAAACACGCAATGCAGTGCTCTCACATAAACCTGCATCCATGGGTTAAGCAGTTGAAATATTTTAAAGTGTCAAACGGAAATCATCGCTTGTCTCACATTTTCCCCTTCCAGCTGATCTTTGGCCATGTTGCTCCTCAGTAGTTCCTGCTTTAGCTGCAGCACAGCATCGTCCTGCACCGCCAGCCGCTGCTGCAGAGCATCCTAATGAGAGAGCGGAGGAGATCAAAGAAATGTCCACAAAAGACCTGAATACAGATACAGAAGCATCCGCCTGCCTTATGGACAGCATACACGCACCTTTAAATGACCTTATCTCTAAAAAAAAAGAAAGAAAGGAAAAACATCTGGAGTTTGTGTAATAGAAACCGCAGAATATCCAGTTTGAGAAAGCACAAGAGAGGAGTAGATTGAATTATATCCTTTAATCCGGTTTAATTCTCACTCAAAGGACAACATTAGAGGTTTACCTTGATGGCCTGAAGGTGGCGTGCCTCCTGTTTGTGTCTGAGGAGTTCTCTCTAAGAGCGGCACAAATGAACAGAGACATTAGAGAGAGGGACTCTTTGCTCAGCAGCTCATCTATATTAAACCTAATTGCATTTACTTACTGTACCTTGAGATCAAGGCCTTCCTCCACGCTTTGGTCCAGACGACTGCGGATTAGGACCTTCAGAGGGAGAGAGGGTATGAGCGGCGTAATTAGAGAATGGAAAAATGTCAGAACGTATGAGGAGGCAATGGGTCCGCATGACAGTGGGTGAGCAGATCAGAGAGATTCAATGGCGCTCTACTGCAGCTGCTCTGGAGAGGAGTGAGGGCTGCACACATAATCACAACAGAAGGCCTGACATTGACACTTCTCACAGAGCACACAGCAAGTTGTAATTTTCTCGAGTTAGCAGAGAGAGGGCACTATACCAGCTGCTGTTCCGCATTCGCACGGTTATCTCCGAAGCTCACAGATCCATCCTGGTCCTCCTCAGGGAGGGAGCCATGGAGCAGCAAAGCCTGAGGACAAAGACACACACACACACACACATTCAGTGTGAAGGCCTGTAAGCTCTCTCATTAAATATACATAAAAGAGAAGCCTGATGCATTCTGTATTTCTATTTGTAAATACAGCAATTTGGGATTTTTACAGACAGTACACATGGACATCCACAAATATTTTCAGTGTTTCCCTAGGTTTACAGCTTTTTTTTTTTTTTTTGGGGGGGGGTCTTGGTATTCATGCGTTACTTTTAATGGCAGCTGTCCCTTTCTATCGGAATGGTATCCTTAAATGACTTCTTTCCCTCATTTCCGACTCTATCCACTACCCTATCTACAATAAAGGCACAAAAAGCCCAAAAATAAATAAAAAAATAAAAAAAAAAATATTATTATTATTTTTTTAAATAATTTGACCTTCAAGGTTGATTTTTTTAAATATATTTATCAAGTTTATCAAGCATTTCTCTCTCTCTCTCTCTCTCTCGCTGCTGTTCTGTGTTTGCTGTTTACAATACCGTCCTTTGCACTTCATCATGTCACACACTACCCTTTAAATCCCTTAAATAACTGTGAAAGAGAATCCATAACTGTGGTTATTCCTTTAGTTGTGTACTTAATAAGAATAAATATTGTTAATTTGCCATCATTTATTCCTGTATTTTTCAGAGTTTAACAGCTTACACCTCATACTTCTATTTATATATTTTATACAATGTAAAAAAAAAAAAAAAAAACGTAGCCGTACTACTTCCAAATACAAGGAATACTCCATAAACATCTTTTTATTGCCATTCATTCAACACATAATGACTTTATATTAAATCTACTCTGCTGGTGAAAATATGGAAAAAATGTATTGCCCCATTAAGAAAATATAAACACTGTTAACAGGTTGTTAATGTTTTTCTTTTCAATAAATGCAACATATACTTAAATCCTTGCAAATGATCATATACTTCACTTCATTCATCTGGTCTCTAGCTTCATTGTTAGGATCACACAGATTCTTTGAATACATTTAAATACTGAGACATCTGTATTTTGATTTTTATGCTGGAAGAATGGAGATTAGATTGTCGGCCTGACCAGCTGTTGGACAAATGATAAATATTATCACATTAAAATGGACAAAAGAGATTTTGTGAGTCATTCTGATAATCATCAAGTGCCCTGATGAATCCTAAGTAGCTGAAGGGACGTGACGTTTCCTCTCTTTGCCAAATTTTACAACAATGCAAACCAATCAGTTAGTAAACAGTAATCTTGCACGCCTAAAACACAGACTTGAATTGCCTATTTTTGTTCTGCTTTCAGAAGTTAGAATCCATTCGACTCAGTTCTTTTGCAAAGTGTAATAACAGTTGTTTATTTGAGTCACCATGAAGAGTAAGAGAATAATATCAGATGTCAGGAATCATGTGGAAATCTCATCTGATGTTATTGTTGGGCTCACATCTTCCTCTGGTGCATCTATGCCCTCAGTCAATGTTTTCATATAGCAGCAGTACAGTTTGTTTTTGAGTGGTTAACCAGCAGGACTCACCTGTAGGCGGAACACCATCCTCCTGGCCTCCTGCATCTCTTTCTCCAGCTGCTCCTGGTGGGCCTCCAGCTGCTCCTCCCAGGACTTCTCCTCTTCCTGCCCATCCTGCCCAAGGGAGGGACAGAGTCCACACAGAGACACCTCCTCTGAAAGGGAAAGGGAGAGAGAGCACAGGAAGGATAAAGCAAGGGAAGTTAGTCTTTTATTTGTAGGGATTCATTGGTATTTTGCTGGACTAGAGTCGATGTGCAGCCAACCAACCTGCGACAGACTTCTTCTCTGTCACCTCAAATTTGTCATCCTGAGGTTCCCCCTGGTCCTCTGACTGACTGTGGAGTGTTTCCTCTTTGGGGGTGTCAGTGGCATGGGTGATAACATACTCCTCTTTGGGGGAGTGAGCAGGGCTGGCTGAGCTGAGACTGAAACAGATGGCAGGCACATGCAGGAGTGAGCGTGTTTGCATCTCCTGCCAAACAAACGGCAATAAATAAACCAAGCAACATAAAATGGAGATGTACGCTTAAATAACTCCCGAAGGAGCATAAAAAATGTGAATTAATCCCATCTGGGCTAAATATTTTAAACCATATCCGTTTTTAAACAAGTAGAGCCCATAGGAATACAGCGTATCACAGACCGTCTGTTCAAATAAATTTATGAAAACACAAGTCAGAGCAGGATTGAAACCTTTTCAGGAAGGGGATCAGGAACGCAACCAACTCTGTCATTTTTCCCACAGGAAATACTTTACATAGCTTTCTCCCCCTTTGGTCATAATTTTAAAACATAACCCTGATATATTTTCTGAGTCCCTGGTCTTTTCTGCAGCTCGAATGGATACACTTTTTGTGTTTCCTGAGAGCATCTCTAGCAGCCTGAGGTCCCGCCGGCTGTCATCTTCACTCTTCTGTGTTTGTAGAAATGGGTTACAGCCTCTGTGACCTGTAACCTATGGCATTATGCATGGTCCTTTAACAGGGGATTTTTTTTCTTTTTGCTTCTGTGTCTGCCTGGGAAAACATGCCTATGTCTGCGGAAACAGATCTAAACTCTTCTCCAGAGAAGGAACTGAAAAAGGTATCACAACTCATCCCCATGCTCCTCAGGCCAAGAAAGTAAGATGGAAGAAAATATCTGTGGACTAAACTATGAAATAAATCTGGAGTCCAAGGAACCCCCTGCGGGATCACTTCTGCAAAGCTAAACATGTTATTTCCATACACATGCTGCAAGATTTAGTTTGTAGCCGATGAGATTTTCTGCTTATCTAATAGCATTACTCAGCACGAGCAAGTAGCACAACAGACTGTAAACAGTAACACTCTTATTATCCGTCAATTTTTTAGCTCGCAGCCTCTTTATGGTATAATTGTGCACATAATCCTGTGACTGCTGATAATAATGTGCACGTAAATTCTGTCTCTGAACCACCCAATAAACTGCTTTCATGCTTTCAGGCGCTCTGTGAGGTTTTTACAAGGATGAACATTGTTAAAGATTTGTAAGGGCTATTTGTGTTTCAAATTGCAGTTCAGATTGCCAAAGAACAACATAGTTGAAAGTTTCAGAATGTGTTTCAAATGAAAAATATGTAAAACCGCTGCAGGTTTAGCAAGGTGTGAATTGAGGAGAACAATCTTGCGCTCAAAATTGAGTTCAAGGTTATAAGGTGTAGCAATAAGTAAGGTCTTTTACCTGCTTTTTGTAACATAACAGTGAGTAAGGTCTTTTTATCTGCTCTTTTGTAATGTTAACAGACAAAGAGTAAGGTATTTCACCTGCTTTTTGTAAAGTGTCTTGAGATAACACTTGTTATGAGTTGACGCTATACAAAATAAATTGAATTGAAAAAAATTGAATTAATACCAGTAGGCTGTTTTGTGTAGGCGGCAGGTTTTAACATACTGACCCAGTCAAAAGTATACCTAACAGGTTACAAAGGAAACAAGAACACAACCCTGGCCGGGCTCCCCGTGCCCCCTCTGCCATGCTGCCACGATGCCCCACAATTTGAGTATCACTGTATCAGGCTATTTGAATTATTTTAGAAGAGAGAAAACATTTTAACTAAAAGTAATGACAACAACGTTACGTTTATAGACTAAAACTGGGCTAAAACTATAAAGGGTAAAAATGAATGAAATTGTGACCAAAATTTAAAAAAATAACATTTTGTGTAAAGACTAAAACTAAGACTAAATCCAAAAAAGCTGTCAAGATGTCAACTTCACACAAGCTTAGCAGGTCGAATGTTTACCATGTTGACCATCTTGTTTTAGCAGCTGAGCATGGTAACACTCACAGATTAGCATTTAAGTGTAATGGAGATACATGGTGTTGATTATTAGTAGTATTAGATTTACGGTGTCATAATATCAGATTTAATATTCTCAGTACTGGACTGATTTCAATTTGTGATGATGGAAGGACAAGAATAGACAGATGAGAGATTAGAATCTGAGCAATTATCAACACTTCTTTAAAGTACTGGTACTGCACACGTTATTTAGTTTTTTTTAATTTGAAGTAAATCTTAGGGCTTTACTGTGGATAAATGCATCAACAGTAGCAATCTACTGTTTTTAATCATCACCTTCAAGGCCATTGCCTACATGGAGATCTCTATTAGGACTTATCTAAGTCATGACATGAAGAAATGTTAATGTTAACAAATCAATGTCACTCCCAAACCACCACCTCCGTCCCTTTAATCGGCCCACTTTTAATCACTTTATAAAGGAAATATTACAAAAGCCATTGCTAACTAAATGCTTTGTGACACTGCCACCTTTCCTCTTGAAATCCCTTCACCAAAGATAAAATACATCATCTAAACTTTTAGCAGAGATCGCTTACATGGCTAGATTCATTGTATTTAGAAACTTCAGGCAGTTCTGTCCTCCGAGCTTGTCAGGAAGAGTAATTGCACCAGGTCACATCAGCTGAGCGTCTTATCAGATACTGCTGTGATTATCCCTAAGTCTTTTTGCAAAGGGGATCAAAGTAGCGGCCTCCAACTAATCTTGTCATTGCAGATGATGACATTATCCAGATATCCTCTGTCATTGTCTCAGGGTGCATCAGGTCAATAAACTAACAAATTAACTTTAGTCACTCACTGCTACAATGTTGCACAAAAAGAACAAATACAAAGAACACAGATAGGTTTGGAGCATATGGGTTAGCCACGGATTAGTGCTGGGATTTGCAGGAGATGAGCTTCAGAGCTACAGATTACTAGCATTTGATCAGCAGGGTTGGAAAGTTTCCAGGGTGAGGTACTTTAAATTAGTTTCTCTGTATTAATAATTTGTTTTCCTTAGTTTAGAGGGAAATATTTTACTTTTTACTCCACTTCCTTTGTTTATCATTTAATGTTAGTAAAATTAAATGCATTGGAATGTTTTTTTATCTTATAAAATATAATGGAACCAGGACGCCGGTGGCCTAGTGGTTAGTTCATGCACCACATGTACTGAGGATGTAGTCCTTGAAGTGGGCGGACGGTGTTCAAATCCGACTTGTGGCTCCTTCCCACATGTTAGTCTCCAATCTCACTCTCCCCGATTTCTGACTCTAACGACTGTCCTGTCTCTCTAATAAAGGCATTAACCCCCCCCCCAAAAAAAAAATTATATATATATATATAATTAACTGACTTCTTTAAAACAATGCATTTTTGTTAAAAAAAAATACATTGTAAGAGCTAAAAAGACTCTTTGAACATTTATGAAATCTTAAGCAGTTCCACTGAAAAGACATTTGACCTCTAAACTACTCAGATATTTTAAGTTCAACACATATAACAGTTTGACTCGAGGTTAAGGTTAAGGTTAAAGTTTCACAAATAATGAAGCAAGATTAGAAAATAGTTTGACCATCATACAGCACTGGTGTTTAAATATTCTATCTTTTATTTACCAATTCATATCCCCTCTGATAAATCAAGCAACCCTCCGGAGTCCATATTTCAAAGTTAAGCTCCTGTGAGTAATTTGGGGTTTGTGTTGAGTTTGGCGACCCCTGTGGACAAAGTGTTTACTCTTACCTCTTTGATGATTTGGTCCTGTATGTCTATGAGTAGTATCATTTAACCATTAAAAGTCATCCTTCCCTCATTTAATAGTAAAATGTATCACTGGCCGTGAATCTTTGATGGGGAAAATATAAAACAAAAAAAAAAAAGGCTGTTTTGACAGAGGTGCAGTTAATAGCTTCATCTGACACCTACCCCCCTGCAGTGGTTTTTGTTGGTCTATAGAGGCTTCAATATTAATTCAAATCTGTTTCAAAACCAGCTAAAAACTCCTCACAGGAGCTTAAAGGTAGACTGACCTCCCCAACAGCAATCGCATTCAGTCATAGAGGAAGTTTATCTGCAGTGTGGCCTTAACTTTAGGTTCATATTCTGCTAATACATCCGTACTTTAACTGAAGTAGGATTTTAAATGCCAGATGCTTTCTGGTGAAGAATACGACCAGAAAGCATCTTAACTTTGGTACTTATTAACAGAGAACTTTTTTAAACCAAGCATTCAAAATCTGTACCGTAAAAGTACAGCACAAGGGGGTTTCAGTAGCCTTGTGGTTAGTGCCGCTAACCGCTTATGTACAGAGGCTTAAGTCCTCGAGAGTGTGTGGCCAAAGTTTGAAATCCTTTCTCGCATGTAATTTTCTGCCACACTCTCTCTCTCTCTCCACGGTTTCTGACTCTACTGTCTTTTTTCTTAAATCAAGACAAAAAATAAATAATAAATCTTAAAACAATTAGGCCTTTACAGTACCTATAGTTGGTTCACCTGGTAAACACTGGACCAACTCTGGTTTACAACAGTGGCTTTTTAAAAGATTCAGCACAAAAAGCCTTTCTTTCCAGTTTTCAGATATAACAGAACATTTTCATCCGAATCATGAAATGGACCAGCTGATAATGGAAGCAAGACTGTGGTTGCTAGGCAATAGCAACTCAGTTCTTACAGGCACATACAGAGACACACCCACACCTACTGCTCTATAAACACTGAACAATACCTGCACAGTTTGGGCATCAATGCCACATTGTTGAGATGTAATGGATTACTAATGCTAAAGCAGAGACACTTTTTCTTTTCCAGAAGCATACGATGATGTAAGCTCTCCTAAAAATGAATTTTGGGCCTAATGTGTTGTATATCTTTGCTCCTGATGCGATGCAGACAAAAAATAGCAGCGAGGAGCGCCATTAATGTTAAATAGATATAAAAAAACAGCTCTTACCATTTCATCTGTTTAGCTCCCATGCTGCTGTATACCGGCTTATCCTCCCATACAGTCAGAGCCCGGCATCTGGGTGATGCTCTGCTTCTCAGTCAGGACCATCGCCCAAACACAGCCAGAGGCAGCAGGGAGGGGAGCAGCCCTGAAAGCAGCAACACGAGGAGCCTCCACGTCGCACACTGTGTTCAATCACAAATAACAGCACGTTCAAATCCTCTCCAGATGCATACTTCCAAAAACATAAAGCTGCAAATCCCTGAACCCTCCTCCTAAATCATACACAGGCTCAAGTCCTAGCTAGCATAGACAGAAAGAAAGAGAGAGGGAGAGGTAGACAGAGTGAGAGAGGATTGGTGCTCAGCCACACCAGCGAGTGTAGTCTGCCTGGTTTCTCATTGCACACACCAGCTCCCATTCACGAACACAATGTTTTTTGTTCTTTGCGCACAAGAACTGATGCAGCTCTTGTGCATCTATTTTACCCTTTTTTTTCCTCCGCTGCTCTGTTTGCATTTATTCCCTCAGCCCTCCCTCCCCTCCTTTTCCCCTCCGTCCCTTCTGCTCGGTCGCACTGGCTTTGTATCAGTCCTTCCTTCTTTTCAGTGAGCGAGGATGTCAGACATGGCTCTGTCTGGGTGTGTTTACCCTTCCCCCTCCCCTCTTTCCTTCATTCCTCCTCCCTCCTTTCCCCTGTGCTCTCTCCTTACACAAGGAGGAGGAGGAGGAGGAGGAAGAGGAGAAATATTTTCTCCTTTCCTCTCCTTTCACTTTGCTTTTTTTTTTGGAGCACTGTATCTCACCGCAGCTAAAATAAAATAGAGAAAAACATAGAGCAGCCATATGATTTAATCAAAGGGAAAAGCTGCTTGGTGCTTGATGCTGTCTTTTGTTTGGTGACAAAATCACAGTCTTGCATAAGAACAACAACAGCATGCCAAACAAGCAATAACGTACGAGAGGTTAATGATATATTTACACAAAGAGAGGAGAAAAATGGTATTCATGGAATGCACACATAAGCCTTCAATTACCGCTCCTTTTGAAATCATTCATTGTTTGTCAATGCATGAGGCAAAACAGCACATGAACAGCAACTATGACAAAAAGCTTTCAAAAACGTGCTATTTAAAGAATGTCCTGAAACATCAGAGCTATCAGATGAGACCAAAGAGTAAAAAAAAAATGTCAGGTTTATAATTTTGCAGCAGGCATCAGAAACAACAGCTTCTCCCCGACATGTGCTGCTGCAGTGTAAAGTGCTCTTTTGAAGGACATTTTGGCTGAGCACTCTGTCATTACGCTGTTAGAAATGTAGCTGCTGTCATTATGTGAAATAGGTCTCTACGTGGCAGCCTACAGTAAGGCCCAGAACAAACTGAACCTGTGTTACAGTCTGTATGCGCACTATCAGTACATACTTTAATTGGGAGTGTTAACATGCAGCCATTACAATCTTTGTAGATAGAATAATACAGCTTTACAATTTACATAAATGCAATGAATACAAACAGCTAAGGTGAAAGAGCTAGAGCTGTGGATTAGTTAGAGATGATTAATACATAAACAAGCAGTTTTGTAGTTGATAGATTGTTGAACCTTTTAAAAAAAGTCAAATTCAATTAATCGATTAAATTTTAAACCTATATTTACCCTTGATTTTAAAGGGTGTGTTGATGTAGTAAACTGAAACGTGATTGTTTGTTTTTGTCTCTGTGTACTATAGCCATCTGTAACTTGTTTATAATACTTCCTGCAGAGTGATACAACTCACCTCACACATTTAGGCGTTTCAGAGAGGTTTTCATCTTCAGAAAAGTGTTCAAAGATTGTCTGATCTTCCTGTCAGACGGAGCAACTGAGTGTTTCTGTAGAACCCTGAGTTTGAGTTGATACCTCCTTGAGAAACCTTTTGATCAACTTCTGAGAGAGAGAGCGGGGGGGGGGGGAAGAGAGAGAGAGCTCAGCAAGAGGGAGGGAGCATGTCAATATGCACAAAAATGGAGGGACACAACACACACAATCGTTCATCTGTCCTAATTTAGCTCAGTTTACCAGTAAGGTGTACATTGCAGACTGCAGTCTATGTCAAAAGAGTGATGCTGTCTCATGTAAAAAAACAAAAAAAACTGTTATGTGAGTCAAGTGTGAATCAATGTCCGTGCATGTGCTTGTTACTTGTACTTGTTACTTGTAAAATTAATTAATCCCTACTGCTCAATTAATTATAAACTACGGAACTACAGACTGGTTAATTAGGCCGTGTCTGTGTGAACTCTGGGTCTGAGGGTTGTTGTCTGTTCAAGTGTTAAAAGTTCTCAAATCTGCACAGGCTGCTGTTAATACTCCAAGTATTACTGACGCTAAACTGGATAACATTGTCTTTCATTGAGCATAATGCGTATAATATACTGTTTATATCTTCAATATACCTTATCACCTTTATTCTGTAGCCAATAAACAAGCGGCCTGAACCTGGAAGACAGTCTCTCAGTTTATTTGACCATTTATTTACTCATCTTACCAAACCTCAGGGATACCATCTGTTTTATTTTCTATGTTGAGGGCCTGTGTTTGAAAACGGCTGCAAAACCAGCATCAAATAAATGACTTTGTATTTGTGCATTAAAAAGGATGACGTCATTATATTAAAAAAAAAGACCCTAAACACCTACTTCTTAAATGGTTAATGACCCCAGTAAACATGCTCCTAATGATTTTTGTGGGCTGAATTGTTAATTTCAAGTCTTCTTCAACACACCATGTACTGTACAATCCAAATCAGGTCACTTCTAGCTCCAAAAACACAAGATGGCATCGGCTAAAATAGCAAACCATGTCAAACAAGTCCAAAAACCTAAAGGTTATGTAAGGCCAAAGCAACTAAGTCAAAGTGGTTTAACTTTCTCTTATTGCCTGGAAGAACTAAATGGCTCGATTCAGAATTACTTTCTTCAACACTAAACGATGAATGCAGCTCAGTCTTAGCAGGTTTGAGTATAGAGTAAAAGGAGCTCCTGCTAGAGGGTTTGTTACAGTTTAGAAAATTCTGTAACTTTTTGGAAAACCTGTATTCAAACAGCTTTCATAAAGTTGCTACTGTTTCTTCTATTGAGCTTCTCTTTGAATATCTGATGATTTTTGGAAGACAAGGACAGACTCAGGAACAGAACAAGTATGCTGATTTGGACCTATAGGTCTGGACAATGGACAAACAGCAGACAAGTATGTGCTAGAGGGAATTAGATGAACACAGTGTATCAATTCTGTTCATGTGTGGATGATACATAACCTTGCTATTCAGAGTGTGATGGGAAAGTCATGCCACCGCTGGGGAGATTCAGAAGAAAGCTGCTCTGCTCCAGGGAGAGCATGCAGTCGGCCAATTTGTAAATCAGATGAGTTTCTAAAATAGAACTGATTGTTTGGACGCTCACAGTGGATTCTGATGGTGAATTATTATGTTTGCTGCTGTTAAGCAAGAGTTATAAATCTTTGTCTATTCTAGTGAACCTTAAACAGATATGAAGAAGGCCAACACACTGATTCTATTACTGAAAAAGATCCTATCTATTTTGTTGTCAAATACAATTGAGGAAGGAGGACGGTGGCTGATCAGGTTTATAATCAGCTTACTTTTTTGGCGGGGATAACACTACGATTTGTAAAATGCTCAAAAGTCAGTCTCTGTCCATGTAAGTGAGCTATTGTCTTAACTAGATTGTGCAATTAATAAATGCCAAAATAAACAATTTGCGATGAAATTACCTGAAATGATCACGTTGCTTTAATTAGAAATTAAATATTCATGGAAATAATATTTTTAACCGATTAAGTATCAAATATTTACAAGGGTAGGAGAAAATATAACGCAAGGAGGAAGTCCAGGATCCACTTAGATTTAGATTTAGACCCACTTCATTTAATTTTAAATTCTCTGTTTACACATTTGTACTCTATTGCTTACTAACACACGAAAGCAAATGTGAATATAACACTTCCAAATATAACAAATAACAGGGATATGGGCTATCATCATCAATGTATGAAATATAAAAGTTTTTATAAATGATGCCACCTTATAAATGCATTGGTGTAATGTAAAGTCAAGATATAATAAAACTCATGGGAGTAAAAGTACCTCTAAACTGTACTTAAGTGAAGTTGTATATAAATATATGACTGACTTCCATCACTGATAAATTGACTTTTAACACTTCTTCAGCTTTATTAAACAATAACTGTCATGCTGCTTGTTAAATGTGTACCATTGTTAAAAGCACACCAGTATTCAATACCTCAGAAGTTATACATTAATCTACATTGACACAAATGCTTCTGGAATGACTTGTGTGAACCAACAAAATCTTAAAGAACTGCTTATTGAAGTGCGAACAAATTATCTACTATAGAGAAAAACTAATAAAAATGTGAAAAAGCAAATATGTCCTTCTTGTTTATCATTCACCTATGATTAGTGTCAAAGATGATCAGGAAGGTCTTATTTCCTGAGCATCGATCATCCTAACAATAACTGGTGAATGTATGAGAAGAAATGAACAAAGTGCAACAAGGTCGAGCTTTTCAGTTCACAAAAACATGCCTGTATTGTCAGAGTGATATTAAAGTTTTAACAGTCCAGACTTGTGAAATTCCTGTAGCAGAGTGGTGCAGCTGTGAGTGTATTTTAAATGAATGGCAATGTTATTCACAACAGTTCCTATTTTAGACTCTATCTCTGCTATACAGGACATATCAAAGGTGCCATAACTCCAACAGGCAATTAACTAAATGAGGTCTGATATATATACACAAAATGATTCCCACTGGGTTCTATTTAATACAAACTACATCATTAGGAGCATTTTCATGTATTTTCTTCATGTAACCTGGTTTACTTTCAAGAAAACATATTAGGATTTCACTAAATTAAGGAGCAAGTAAGCTTAATTAGATGTTACAGTGAGCAATCTCCCAGTATTTGTGCATACATTCCCACAACTGTTGATCCAACCCTGAATGTTACAGTATATATAAGGAGGTATAAAACATCTTGTGTCACCTTCAGAGGATTTTAAGAAAAAGGAACTCTTGTGCAGAACAAGCTGATTTAAGAAGAAGACTGTCTTTTATTGGATCAGATATAAGTGTGAAATATAATATAATATAATATAAAAATACTTTTTTCTACCTGAGCATGTATATACTTTATACTTTGAATCTTTGCACTCTAGTCAATATTAATAAAATGTACAATAATATTTTGCACATTCCTGCATATCTGCCCCCCCCCCCATATCTTTTAAGGTACATATTTCTATGCAAATATAATGTTTCCTTGTTTATGTATGAAACAAGCTACAATTGTAATGTCAAAATGAAGCTGGAAGGTAATCTCAGTCGATTAAAATTTTAAATCAACATTACTACAACGATGTGCTGCAATCCTGGGGGGAAAAAACAGGCA